AAGGACGACCGCCACCACCACCACGCGACTCACCCCCACCCCCCCACCCCACACACACACCACACACTATGTCCTCCGCCTCCCCACCCTCCACCTCCCTCACCCCGCTGTGCAATCAACTCCTCGCCACCCTCGAGGCGGCCACCTCGTCCTCGTCCCTAACCGTCTCGCCGCCTCCCACTTCCTCGCCCGAGTCAAAGCCCAAGCCTGAGCCTGAGCCCAAGCCTGAGTCCAAGCATGAGCCTGAGCCCAAGCATGAGCCTGAGCATGAATTGAGCTTGTCGGTTGTCCATCCATCGTCACACACTCGTGCCATGTCGCTTGTCTCGCGCTTGCTGGCTGCTGCTGGTCGCGGTGCCGGATCGAGTCTGACGCCCCCGTTGCTCGCTGCTCTCGATGTTGCTGATGCCGCTACGGGCGTCCTTGCTGCATTGGCTGCCTCGCCGCGGCACTCCAGGCCTGACACTCCTAATGGGTCACTTGACACTGCCATGACTGTCTTTCGTGCCGCAAGCGCTAGGCTTGTGGCCGCAGTTAATGCCGACGCCGCCACTATGCCTGATGAGGCGCTGTCGCTGAGGGCAGGCCTTCAGGCGCTGCAGGCGCTGACCGAGGACGCGCTGGCGTTGCTGGCGCACAGCCTACCATCGTGCCCGCAGTCGGTCCGAGCCGGCTTGGAGGACATTGCTACCGAGCTGGCGAGCGGCGCCTCGCGCGTACTGGCTCTCTGCCGCCAGTCAGCAGGTGGCGCGTCGCCTGCGGCCATGCACTCGGTCGCTGTGGAGGCGCAAGTCAACGATGTCATCGATGTCTTTGTCCGCATTGCCCACGCGCTTAAGGCATTTGTTGACCAGCCGGAGCTCTCTTCCACCCGCGCTGCAGTCCTTGGCGCTGCCAACGCGCTCCACGCCGCGGTTGACGCCTGCGAGCTCCTCAATCCGGCTCCTATCGCGCCGCTTCTTGTCCTGCACCCTTCGCGCCCGGCGTCGCGCGCTGCTGCCGCCGCCTGCGCCCCGCTCCATGCCCGTCCTGCAAGCGTCCTCATCGACGCGCTCGACGAGCTGGCGGCAGCAGTCAAGGCGTCGGGCGAGTGGCAGGCCGTCAACATGGCGGCATCACACTTTCTCGCTACCTACGCCGCACTCTCGACCGCGCACGTGGCGCAATCCCACGATCTGGTCTCGCCGGCCGTCAACGACGCGGTTGTGGCTGTTGCTGGCGCCGCCACCAAAATCGCTACTACCCGCGACTGCGAGTCGTCCGACGCCATTGTCGCCTTTCACTCTGCTTCTGCCCGCGTTCGCGGCCTCCTCCTCCCGCTGCCTGCACCGCAACCAACTCCAGTCGTCGTCGCGCAGCCTGGCGTCGATGCTTTTGCCACGCCGCCTCCGCCTCCGTCCTCGCCTCCGTCCTCGCCTCCGTCCTCGCCTCCGTCCTCACGCCCGGCCTCGCCTCCGCCGGACGTCGCGCTCTCGCTCCCGCCGCGCCCGCTGACCCGGACCGCAGGCTGCCTCCCGCTCGCCCTCGAGATCGAAGACCAGTTGGGCAACCTGCACCAGGTCTCTCATCCCGAGCGGCGGAAAGAGACGCTCGCCCAAGCACTCCGCCTCCAGTATAGCGTGCTCGAGCTGGTGGCGCAAGTCGGAGCCGCCCACCACGTTGCACCTAGGTCGGTCATGGCACCAACACCGCAGCCGAGCTTGCAAGCCCACACCGCACGGACTGAACTCTACACTGCCGCCCTCGTCGCCGCCGACGCGGTCAAGAACGCCATCGCTGCCTGTGTCTCGGGCTCAGTCCACTTTCCGCGCTCGCGCAAGCTCGCCAACGCTGCGCTCGAGGAGCTCAAGGGCGCCATGGCCCAACCGGTGGCGGTCGAGCCCGAGCCGGTTCACCCAAGCGCTCTCGACCGTCTCGCAGTCTCGCCGTCGCTCGAGGCGTGCCAGATCACCTCGCGCGGCTCCAAAGCCGCCGATGCCCGCCAGCTCGCCACCACATGCAAGAACATGGTGGCTGCGCTCGCCGCCGGCGAAACGGACGAGCTCTTCTCGGCGCTCACCCGCGACGTCAACGCCGCCATCTCGCAGCTTCTCTCGTCGATGAGCAATCCACTGGGCCTCAGCTCGGCGCCAGGGCCGCGCGTCCACGGCGTCAAGCGCGAGCGCAGGCTCTCCGCACTCTCCTCGGACGACATCCCAGGCTCGTTTCTAGTCATGGACGCCACCGACGCCGCTGGCCGCCTCGTCTCGCACGCCGAGGCCGCGCATCGCGCCGGCGTCGGCACCACCCCCGACGGCGACGCCCTCTTGGGGCCGGTTCTCGACGCCATCAGCGCTGTCGAGTCCCACTTCAACAGGCTACAATAGCAATAGGCAATACCATCATCTGCTGCACAATGTTCGTCTTTGATGGGAGAGGGAAAACAGTGTGGGAGTGCTTACTCCTCGAGCTTGCCGTACTTGAGGTTGACGTAGGCAGCCTTGAGCTCGTCGAAACCGACAAGGACAAGAGCACCGGCGAGGCCACGGAGGACGTTCGAGCCGGCACCCTTGAAGAGGGCGGCGACACCCTCCTCCTTGAGGATCATGTTGAAGGCGCCGATCGACGACTTGTACTTGTTGGCGTTCTCGCCACCCGAAACCATCATCATGCGGCGACGGATGGTGTCGATCGGGTACGCGGCGATACCGGCGACGGTGGTCACGGCGTAGCCGAGGCCGAACTTGGCGAGGAAGCCGAGGTCCTTCATCATCGGGGCGACAGTGTCGAAGATGCCGAAGTAGGCACCGCGGTAGATGATGATACCGACGCACGAGATGACAAAGCCGTTGTAGACGCCACCCTTGAACCAGCCAGACTTGGCCGCGGTCTTGCGGATGCAGTCAATGGTACCGGTGAACTCGCGCTTGCCGCCAGTGCCGACATCGACAGCAAGCCGCGTCCGGGCAAAGTCGAGCGGGTAGACAACGAGGAGCGAGGTGGCACCAGCGGCACCGCCAGACGCGACGTTCGAGTAGAGGCGCATGCCGAACGAGGCATCCTTCTCCACCTTGAAGATCTGCTTGTAGCGCTCCTTGAACATGAAGTTGAGGGCCTGGGTCGGGAAGTACCGCATGACGTTGGCCATGTTGCCACGCCAGAAGGCGGCGACACCCTGCTCCTTGGGCACACGCACGAGGCAATCCATGATGCCCTTGTACTCACCCTGGGCCTTGGCAGCTGTCATTCCACCATACCGTCGCCATTGGGGTGAGTCATTCGTCCGCCTGCCCAGCCCTGCCATTCCCTCGCGAAAAACGGCCGCAGCATCCCTCCAAACGGGGGAAAGGTCCACGACTGCCCACGGGCAAGCTGCACGCAGCCTGGCAGACACGCTCTCACGCGCTGCAACACGCACCACCACCTTCCATGCAGTGCCCCTACCGCACTACATCCCTGCGGCAGGGAGTAGCAGTGCACCAAGGCGGCGGCTGGGGTGGAGGGGGGGGGGGGAGGGGGCGGTCCCAAGCGGCAGTGGAGGCAAAAAATAATCTCTCTCCCTCCATCCACAAACGCGTCAAGCGGGACAGGCCAGGGGGGGGGGGGTCTGTGGACAAGGGTGCCCAGGCGGGTGTATGACCAAGCGGGAGGAGAGAGGGAAGGGGGAAAGGGGGGGAGCGGGAGGGGAGGGGGGAACTGGCTGTGGACGTACCCGCGGACTCGCCCTGGTTCTGGAGGAGGAGCTTGATGCGCTCGATGGGGGCGGCGATGGTCTTGGAGATGGCAGCAGCGGTACCACCGAGGAGGAAGTCCTCGGCACCGTTCAGCTTGCGCGACTGCTTCTTCTTCTCAGCGCCGGCAGCAGCGACAACCTGGAACGAGGCCTTGGCCGACGGCATGGCCGTGGTCGCGAACGACGACGGCATGGCCGTGTACGACGAGATCGACGAGAACATTGTTCAATAAACTCGAGAGGGGTGCCAAATCGCCGAATGCTGAACTCGTTCTCGCTCGCCCGACCGGCCGACTCCGGCCGACCGACTGCCCAACTCGCGCGAGTCGGGTCGACTCAAAGTCTCCATTTCCCGCCCCTATTTTTTGGCTTTCTGTCACAGATCGCTAGCAAGGATTGCCACGCCGGCCTGGTAGTACTCGGCGCTTGGCGTATCCACTGGCTTGGCCAGCTGAAGCTCAAGGAGGAGCTGCCGCCGCGACGCGTCAAGGTAGAGCGGGGCGATGATGACAGCCGCTGCCGCCGGGGCCTCCACCGACTCGCGGTGCTTCCAGCTGAAGATCATGGTCGGGAGCGCGTTGCGCGGCGAGGACGAGAGCTCCAGGCCCGAAGTCGCAACCGGCCAATGCGCGTTGTCTGCTGCAAGGTCTAGCATGGCAAACGACTGGTCGTCAAGCCGCGCCGCCGATCCGGGCGCCACCGCAAGCACGAGCTCCTCCAGCGGCCATCCGCGTGACTGCGCCGCGTACTGCCGCGACGCCGTGATGTACGCCTCGGGTGAAAAGAGCCGGCCAAGCCTGAGCCCCGTCTTGCCGCACTCGGCAGCCGGATCGTGCGCTACACGCCCGAGCTCGCTCAGTCGTTCGCCCAAGTTGGCCACAAACGCCGCCACAGACGTGTCTGGAGGAATCGGGTACGCCCGCCACGAGCCCGGCACCACCCCTGTTGACAGGTCGTCCACCAGACCGCGGAGGTAGTTGGTCACCTTGACCTCGCCCACGCAGTAGCGTGCCACAGACTGCAGGTCACCCATGACTGTCGCCTTCAGCTCCAGCGCACGCGAGACCTCACGCTCCAGGCACCGGTACAGCGGGTTGAGCATCGCCTCCTGATCCAACGCCATCGGCTTGAGCGGCGGCGTTACGTCCGCCAAGCCTGTCCGCCACCGCTCAGCCGCGCTGCCAAGCTCGCGCATCCACGCTGGAGCACCAGCGCTTCCGCTATCGTCCTCAGCAGCTGTTAGCACAAGGTCGTCGTCCGCGACTGCCACCAGCTTGCGCGCCGCCGCCACCAACGCCTCGCCCTTGGCAGCAAGTACCACATTCTCGGCGTTGGCCGGCAGCCCCAGCCAGGCAGGTGTCTGCGAGTCAGGAAGCTCGCGGACAAACGCCGTGAAGTGCGCCTTGACACTGGCATTCGCCGGAAACGCGAGCCCGGCCTCGAGCCCGGGCGAGCCCGGCGTGATGAGCCACCCGCCACCCAGAAGCTGCGGCGTGAGCAGCGTCTCCACAAACGCGCCCAGCAGCCGCCCGTCAAACTCGTTGTCGATCCGTCCGCCGTACACACACACCGCCAGCAGCGTCGAGAGCGCCGCCCAAGGAATCTCGCCCTCGCCGCGCTCGCCCACCCAGTAGTCGACAGATGCCAGCGCAGACCGCATGTCGGCGTCGTTGAACTCGTACGACTGTGCAAAGCCAAGCGGGAGGTAGGCCAGCCGCTCCTGAAGGAGCGCGTGAAGCCATGCTACCAGAAAGTACAGCTTGGCCCGCGAAGGACTCGCCCCATCAAACCGCTCCACGTCGATCGACGCCAACGACCGCGTCAAATTAGCCTTGATTCCGGGCGGTGGCTCAAAGACAAAGACCCGTGAGATCCGCAACAAGTTGGCCGGCAAATTATCCGACACCTCGCCGGTCATAAAGACACGGAACGAGGCCTTGGCCTCCAGCGCATGAATCTTTTTCTCCAGCTGAACAAGCCAGTTGGGCGCAAGGTGCACGTTCTTAAGCAGGACCCATGTGCCCGAACGTGCCGCTGCTGCCACGGCAGCCTCGGCTGCCGCAAAGCCCTCCGGTGACCCAATCGCAATCGACGCGCACGAGACGCCAGCAGCCGCCACAAGATCATCCACCTTGCCCGACGCGTCGTGTCCGGGCCGCGAGACAAGAAGCAGCGGATTCGCCGGCCCCACCTGGCTCTCCACCACCTGACCGAGCTCAAGCGCACCGGGCTCGAGAAAGGCCGCGCCAAACACCGCAGCCACAAACAGCCGCAGCGCCGCGAGCAGGCGGTCCGGTCGCGCCACCTTGATCGCCACAAGATGCAGAAACGCTGCCCGCGCACCGCCTAGTCCACTCCCGCTCGCGGTAAGCATCGAGCTCGGCAGCTGCCGCTCGGCAGGCACAGACAGGTCAGTCAGCGCCCCACTTGACAGCAGCGCCGGCAGCGTCGGTGCATACCACTCGAGCGATGCAAGATCCGCTAGACTCGTCGCAGGACTCTCAAACGCCGCAAGCGCGTCCGCAGGCAGCGGCGTACCCGCGGCGTTGAGCCGGAGCTTGGCGAACTCAAACGCGAGGACCAACTTGTGGTCATTGAGCAAGCCGGCCTCAACCCGGCTGTACAGCGTGTCAAACAGAGCACCCAGTCGTGCGTCCAGCCGTGCCGTAGCCTCGCTCGCATCCAGCGGAACAGCAAGAACGTAGTCAAACGCGGTGAGGAAGAACGCGAGCGAGTACTGGTACAGCGGCGCAAGGGCTGCCAACCGCTGCAAGCAGAAGAAAATGGCTGCAGACGCCGACGCCATCGGCGAGTACGTCTCTTCCACAGCCGCAACCTCGGCCATGACCACGTCCGCGTCCGCTGCCTTGGACGCAATGTCCGCCGCATCGGCCTTGAGCGACTCGAGTGAGGTCACCACCGCGTCGTTGTCCAGAAGCGAGCCCTCGGCCGACGACAGAGTCTTCAGCAGTTGCGCCTCCATCGCCCGCAGCTTGACTCGGAACTCGCCTTGGACCTTGAGCAGCTCGGCACGCTTGGCGTCGATGTCTGGCCGCTCAGACTTGAGAAGCCGCGAGAGGCACTGCGACGAGAGTGACGCCGGCGTCACCGTAAAGTTGACAAACGTGACCCGCGAACAGAGGTCGGGCGCAAAGTTGAACGAAGGGTCGCGCGTCGCAAGGAAGAGCGAAAACGCCGGAGAGTAGTCAATGTCCTGGTCGCCAAGCTGGATAAGCACACGCCCGCCGACCCGACGCAGCTCGCGGTTGAGCACGGGATTGATGACCGGATCGTACGCCTCCACATCCTGCAGCAGCAGCGGCGTTCCAAACCGCAGCGCTGCCTCGAGGTGCTTGAGAAAGTTGGGATCGAGGAACGACGACTTGACCATCCGCGACGACGCGTTTGCCGCGCACACAAACTCAATGCCCTGTCCAGCAGGATCGATAATGAGTGGGTACCGGTTGTACTTGTTGAGCATGATCGCGTTGAGCGTGCAGAGCGAGTCGACAGGTAGGCCGAGCTCTTGCCAGGCCAGCTCCTCCGCCGGCGTCGCCAGCAGCGCGTTGAGGTCGAGGCTGGCGTCAAACGGAATCCGTGCACTCTGCAGCGCCGACGACCACGCCGTCACCAGTGCCGCCCGGAACGAGGCGTCAAACACTCCGCCATACGCCAGCATCGACGCTGCCAGCAGAATGTCGCCCGTCACAGATGCCAGCTGTGCGTCAAACGCCGCTGCCTCCTCAGACCACCGCACCTTTTCGGTCGAGAGCGAGGCCAGCAGTCGCGTCGATCGCTCCACCTTGGTCGCTGTCTCCTCCAACTGTGCCGCAATCATCTGCGTCTCGGCAATGAGCGCCGAGTACTCGTCCTTGTACTGCGCAATCGACGCTTCCAGCGTCGAAATTGTCGCATCCAGCGTAGCCTGCTTGGCAAGCATCGCCTCGGCCTCGGCCTCGTACTTGGCCAGCTCCGCCCGAAGCGGCTCCACGCGGTGCAGAATATCCGAGTACTGCACAATGGCCCGGAACCACTTGCACAGCGGGCCGCACGCTTGCGACGCCTTGTTGATAACCTCCGGCACAAACTCGGGGTCCTCCAGGTACTTGCCCATCAGCTTGGCCCGCAGCGGCGGCGCAATCGTCTCGGCGTCAAACGAGATGATGTCCGGGATAAACGTCCGCCCGGCCATCAGCTTCTTGATCGCCTTCCACGACAGGTCCGTCGCGCCGAGGAGCGACGCCACGGCCTCCATTGTCTTCTTGATCTTTGATGGCGGGTTGGCCAGCGCGCGGACTTCGTCGAGATGCCGCTTCTTGATGCCCTTCACCGCGGCCTCGGCCGACCGCACCATCGGCTCTGCTGCGTTCAGGTCCGCGAGCGCCACCTTGCGCTGTGCTTCCACCTCGACAAGCTTCTCAGCAACCTGCGCCGCAATTATCTCCGAGTCGGCCTTCTTCAGCTCCGCCTCCTGTTGGTCTACCACCATCTGCTTCAGCTTGGCCTCGGCAAGCTCATTCTTCTCCGCGAGCGTCAACTTGGTTGTCGCCAGCGTCGACTGCAACTCACGGATCGAAGACTCGGTCTGGATAAGCTTGTCAAGCCCGTTGGTGAGGTGCTCCTGCTGCTCGGTGAGGCTCGAGTGCCGCTCGCTGTGCAGGGCGGTGTAGTGCTGGATAGCGTCCAGAAAGTGCCGCGGCGTGATGTGGGTGTGCGTGGCATGCGGCGTGGCAGCAAGCGTGTTGGCCGCCACCGTCGCCGTCGCATGGACCGAAACAAGCGTCGAAGCAACAGCTGCCAGCGCGCCCTCACCACCCTCGTCGTCGTCGACCAGCGTCAGCACGCTCTCCAGCGGCGCAAGGAACTCCTCCGCCACCACCTGCAGCGCAGACCTCGACCAGTCGCCGAACCAGTCGAGAACGCACCGGTTGAACAGCGCCGGCGAGGTCGACGACCGGTTCTCAAACCCGCCGCCCGCAGGGTTCATCGTAAACACCACATGCAAGTTGTCGATGATCTGGTTGGTGAACCATTCGTAGGCCTCGTCGTCTGACTCGATGAGGTCACCGGCCGCCAGCGCCGCGTCCTTGGTCTGGGTCATCAGCGCGTTCCAGTCCTCGCCTTCAAACAGGCCTGGGATCTCGCCGTTGGCCAGCAGCGTGTTCATCCGCTCGAGGAAGCCCGTGTCCTTGATGTTCGACTCGTCAAAGATGAAGCAAATCTTCTCGCAGTTTGCACCCGCCCGGCTCAGCACCGTTCGCAAGTCCTCGTCAAAGTCGTCGCCCGAGTACGCGTTCGAGCCGCGAATGGTAAAGACAGAGAGACCGTTCATCCAGGCCACAAACCGTGACAGCACCGTCTTGCCGGCGCCAGACTGCCCGATCAGCAGCAAGTGACCTTGCTTCTGGTGGAAGACGCGATCAATGCGAAGAATGTGGTCCAGCACCTCGTCAAAGAGCACCAGCCGCACGTCGAGCTCCTCCTCGCAAAAGACCCGGAGCTTGGCATTGACAAACGCCCGAAGTTCGGCCCGCTCCACACTCTCGTAGTGCTTCGAGAGCCACGACGAGAACAGGATCGGCCGCGCAAGCGACAACGCCAGCGCCTCCTCGTCCATGATGCTGCCCATGTGCTTGGCCGCCACCGCGTCGAGCGTGGTGTCGGTCCACTGAGCCTCGTCCGGCGAGACGAGCCGGTCCTGGAACAGTCGCAGGCCTTCGTGTGCCCAGATGCGAAGAGCGTCGCCGAGCGTCGGCGACCTCGGCGCGGCAAGCAGAGCGTCGTGAAGGCCGCGGACCCAGCGCGTGAGCTCGCGCGGTGAGTAGATGTAGTGTTGCTGTGCGTCAGGCGTAAACTTGGCCTGTGAGAGCGTGTAGAACTCGACCATACAGTGAGTGAGCGGCTCCCAGTGAGGAGCGAGCGCAGGGTGTGGCTTGAGCAGCGCCCGCGCAAAGGTGCCATAGATCTGGACCAGCGAGTCGTACGCCGGGTAGTCGCAGAGAACCAGCGGCGCGTGCCGCAGGAACCGGTGGGTTAGCGGCGTCCGGCCCGGGTCTGTTGGCGGGTTGCACGCACCCACAAACTGAATCCGCGCCAGCGAAATCCACGCCATGTCCGACGTTCGCCAATACCCGTTGTGCTCCACAAGCTGACGCAAAAAGGTGATGACCGCCTGCGTCCCATACGCGTCTGGCGTCGGGAGGTTGATCTCGTCGCAAAAGACCACAATCCACTTGTCTGGAGCCGTCGGCGCGAGCACAAGCCCTCCTGCGGTCCGCGTCACCGTGCACTTTTGGTGGAGCGTCGAGAGAACGAGCTCAGGTGAGGTCGCCGCCGAAAAGTTGATCGGACAAACCTCATAGTTGGACGCCTTACGGAGCGTCGAGAAGAGCGTCATCGTCTTACCCGAGCCCGGTGGCCCACACAGCAGCAACGGCTTGTGCTGCGCCATCCACGCAAACAGTACGTCGACGTGACGAGTCGTGTCGACCGTCTGAATGACGGTCTTGCCGATGGCCGACGGTGCGACGTCAACGCGTGGGACGTGCGAGGTCCACGGCGTCCATGCCTCGCCACCGCGCACAGAGAACGCTGCCTCGTAGTCGATGATTGGCGCCGCGTCGGGCGGAAAGACAAGATCGAGCTCGCGCTGCGCTGCGCAGTGCTTTGCGAGCCAGTGCGAGAATGCAACGCGGTCCGAAATCGGCGCCGAGCCCGACAGCGCCCACACCAGCGCGTAGAGGAACTTGCACCGCAGGTAGCTCGCCACGCGTGCTGCAGGCAGCGCAAAGTCGGGTGACTTGGCCTGCGCCGCGACTACTGTCGCTACACCCGCGTCCAGGAGCGAAAAGAATGCCGAGAGCACACGGAACCGCGTGTAGTCCATGACATGGCTGTACTCCTCGGCGTGATCAAGGGCCGCAGGGAGCAAGTTCGCCAGCAGCGGCCCAAACACCTCGGCTGCTGCTGCCTGCAGCGCCATCGCTGCTGGCGTCGCCTTAAGGTCGTGGTGCGAGGTGACAAGCTGCGACCGGAGCGACGAGAGGTAGTGCGCAGAGACCATCGGGAGCGAGAGTGTTGATGCCGAGAACCAGACCATGCCTGTCCGCGAGACCGTGGCAAGTGTAGCGTGCTCGAGGTCCTGTACCTCAAACATGATACGGGTGTTCGACGGAAGTGCCAGCCGCTCGCCGTTGGGCAGCGTGAGCAGCTTGTTGTCGTCGAGCAGCGAGTTCATGTTCTCCACCCACTCCGGATCGACATCGCCGTCGAAAATGATCCAGTGCCGTGCCGACCGACCAAGGGTGCCACTCGCAGGCTCACCTTTGTCGTCGCCGCTTGCCACACTGTCATCATCGTTGCCAGCCGCAGCTTCGGCTGCCGCCTCCTTGGCCGCCGCCGCCGCCGACGCCGTTGAACTGATGATTGCGCGCAGCGTGTGAGTGAGCAGGCCGTCGCGCCACTCACGGGTCGTCGGGTCCAGCGAGCCGTACAAATCGTCCTTGTGGATGGCTTTGGGGTCGATGACGTACGCGTGGCATGAGGTTTCCGGCTCCAGAATCTCGTACGCGGCGAGCAGCGTCCGCCACGCCGACGACTTGCCCGAGCCGGCCGGACCGACAAGCATCACGCCGTGATTGAGATTGAGGATCGAGTGGAGCTGAAGAATCTTGTCGAGCCACGTTCCGCCGCCGGAAGCGCTCACTTCTGGATTCAGAGCTGCGTCCGAGAGTACGTAGTGTGACGCGTCGGCGGCAGAGGTGATGGCAGCCACAAGGGCAGCACGGTCCGGTTCCGGCAGCGCAGCCGCTGGGAACACGTCCGAGAGCAGCGAGTGAAGGAGCGGAATGTCGGGTGCTACGAGCTTGGGGATAAGCGTCTCGCAAATAGATTGCAGCAACACGTCCTGCTCAAACTTGGTGGCGTCCAAGCCGGGCCCGTTGTCGCCGCCGGCAATGAGCCGCTGGCGCTTGATGTTGCCTGCCGAGACAAGGACAGACTTGAGTGAGCGAAGGCCAAAGTCGTAGTGCGACTGCTCCGAGAGTTGCTCGTGGCAGAGCTTGAAAAGCGGCACCACCTTGCCGGCGAGTCGCTCGGCAGTGGCAAAGCCCTGCGAGAAGAGCATGACCTGCCCGATGAGCTCCTTGTCCGGCACGGTCATGGCCATAGGGCGGAAGAGCTGCTTGAGGTTGTCCGGCAGGTTGGACCGCCCAGCGTAGCCCGGATTCATGGTGATGAAAATGCCAACGTCTTGCGAGAGCGGAACCGACGAGCCGAGGAGCTGCACCCGCTCTGCGCCGGCTTGCAGCGTCAGCTGGATGGTCTGGATCTGCTGCGAGACGGCCGAGAGCATGCGTTCGGCGAGCCGGTTAAATTCGTCAAAGCAACCCCAGGCGCCGACCTGGCAGAGGCCCACAAAGATTCGGCCCATGGCCTGGACATCAAAGTTCTCGTCGCAGCAAAAGACAAGCACAAAGCGGCCGAGCTGGGCGCCGAGCGCCTTGACAGACTCGGTCTTGCCGGTTCCGGCGGGGCCAAACGGCGCGCCGCCGAGTCGCTGGTCAAGCGCCTGAGTGAGCGTGAGGTAGCATCGGTCAGTGAGCGGAGTGGTGACGAGCTTGGACTGGACTCCGAGGTACTCAAAGCCGTACACAAACTCGGCGTTGGCCATGGCGACAGTGAAGCTGCTAGTCACCGGTGTGGCCTCGTCGCTTGAGAGGTAGAAGCGCATGGTGTTGAGCCAGGCAAACGGGAGGCTCTCGCGGTCGTAGCCAGATCCGCTGGTGAGCGCCGGCTCGGCGCCCAGCGTCCGCAGCATGTCGCGCTGGTGGACCAGCTCGGTAATGAGGTGCTCAAACTTCTTGCGGGTGTTGACCGGGTGTGGATCGAGGACTGATGCTGCCAGGTAGCCCAGTAGCTTCTGGATGTCGTCGCCGATGCCTGTGTTCGGCGCCGCGCCGCTCATCAGGTTGGCCTCGACGGTGGTGGTAAAGTAGACTTGCGCCGCGAGGGTAAGGATCTGGTCCGGGTAGGCAGTCACCCAGGCAAAGTACAGGTTGTCGCTGTCAGCTTTTGTACCTTCCGCACCAACAGCTGCCATGGCGGCTGGCAGCTCGGCGACGGCGTCTTGCAGTGCAAGCGCCAGCGTTTCCTTCATCTCGGTCTCGAGCGCGCGGAGCCAGTCGTTGATGCGGGCGTGGGCGGTGGTCTCAAGCGGGTGTGCAAAGGGCACAACCTCGCCCGACGACGAGACCATGGCAGTGAGAAGGGTATCGGAACCGGGCTCTGTCTCCAGCGACGCGATGCCGGCAAACATTTTCTTGAGGTGCTTGACGATCTTGCTCAGGTCGTCCGAGTTGCCGATGATCTCGAGCAAGTCCTCGTCGCCCACAAAGTAGAAGCGCGGAAACGACGCACGCTGGCGCTCGAGGTACTCGCCAAGCGCCTTTTGGACGGCAGTAAGTAGCGAGCCGAGACGATCAAGAAGCGGCGCGAGCTCGTCGTTGCCGAGCACATCCAGGAAATCCGGGTTCTTGGCGGTCCGCTTCATGAGCGAGAGGAACTCACTGTTGATGGTCTTGAACTTGGCAGCCTCCTTGGGAAGGAGGACACGAATGTCGGCCGAGCCGGTAAAGATGCCTTCGAGGTAGACCCAGCGACGCTGGACGTCGAGCCAGGCATCAAGCGTCTCACGATGGGTGTAGAGTCGGTCCTCCCACAGCGAGGCCTCGTCGGCAAAGACCTTAAAGTACGGCGATGCACGCATAGACGAGAGCGAGCTCAGGTGCTCCATCATCTTGGCAAAGAGATCGTCCCACCCGCGGATGAGCCGGGTCTTCCCGCCTTGGTAGGCCACCATGTCAAAGACGTACTCGGACCAGGTCTCCTTAACTTCGCGCAGAAACTCGGCGAGACCACGCTCGCCCTGAGCAATTGTGAGCAGCGCGCGGACGGTCTTTTCGTGGGCAAGCAAGTCGACGCCCCACACGTGGCCGAGAGTAAGCTTGCGGCTGGAGCGCGGCCACTTGGCCGCCGGCTCGCCGAGCTCGGCGGCGAGCTGCCGCCAGTGGCGGTCGAGAAGTGCGTCGGAGCAGAGCGCGTCGATGAGTGGCATGGCGGCCGTGTAGCGGAGGACGCCAGCGTGGGTAGCGCCCCACGGCTTGAATGCCTTGACCTTGGGCGGCATGGCGGTGAGCGCGGCGCCGAGTTCGTCGAGCGTCTTGCGGAGCTTGCGCGGCTGGACAGAAGCAAAGACCTGTTCGCGCGCCTCGTCAAGCGCAGCCCACACATCGCGGAGTGCGCCCCAGACTGAGCGCTGCTCGGCGAGCTCGGCGGCCATGGCGGCCAGGGCCGGCGGCTCGGTCGCCGGCGGCATGTCCAGTGCATCGCGCCCTGCATTGAGCGCGGCGTAGGCCTGAACAAGACTTCCCACCCGCTGGGCAAAAGTGTCCAGTGTGACAAGCGCGGCGGCAGGAGCGGCAGTCGGCAGTGGCGCCGACTCGGCCCATTCGGCCGTGAGCGCACCAAGCGCGGATGCATAGGTCGCAGTGAGGCTGTTGACCGCCCGGCGAAGCGTCGGCGTGGCGTCGGCGAGCGCCGTGGCGCGCCGGCTGAGAAGCTGCGAAAAGGCCGAGAACTCGCCCTCCAGCGCCTCGGTGGGAGAGGTGGTGGCAAGTGCAGCCTCGAGGCCCGGCAGCTCGGCGAGAGCAGTGCTGGTAGCGTTGAGTGAGGCAAGCGTCGCCGCCCGCACACGGACCGATCGCCGGAGGGTGTGAAGGGTGAGAACAAAGTCGAGGACGGCCTGGGTGTCGGAGGCCTCGAAATCGCCGGCCTCGAGTGTTGCCCGGTCGGCGGCAAGGCTCTCGACGAACGCGTTCTGGTCAGCAGAGAGGTTGGCGACGCAGTTGGCGCCGAGCTCGCGAAGCGTGTCGGTGTACTTGGCGGCAATCTTCGACTTGAGACCCGACGCGTCGAGGGTGATGACGCCAAACGAGGTTGTCGGCGGCAGCGCCTTCAGCGTAGCGGCATCAGCCGCCACGTTTGCGAGCACCTTGCGCCACGCACCGTAGTTGGCGCCGAGCTTCTCGGTGAGTTCCGGAATGGAGACCTCCCAGAGCGCGGCGTATGGGGCAAAGGCGTGGCGGGCGTCGCGGAGCAAGGCAAGCGCGTCGTTGATGACAGCGTAGGCCTGGCGGACTCGTGCAGGCGGAACCGCGGCGAGGACGCCTGAGAGGATATTGTCATCCGATGCGCCGTTGACAGCGAGCGCCGGCAACGAGTTAAAGTGGGTCAGGAACGTGTTGAGTGTGGTGGTGAGCGTGGTCCGGAGAGAGGTGAGCGACGGGACCGGATGCGGCTCGCGCGGATTCTGAAGCACAGCGTGGACGGAGCCAAAGGTAGCAGGTGCCTGGGTCGCGTCCGAGCTGGCAAACGCAGTGTCAAAGCTGACAACGCCATCAAAGCCAGCGCTGAGCGAAGCCGCATCGGAAAGGCCCGAGGCGACGGCGGCGACGTCAGCCAGTGAGACGCCGGACGCCGCGGCGACAGCGGCAAACGAGTTGCTGCCGCGCACAGACGAGGCCGCCGCCGCCACTGTCCACACCGCCAGTGCGTCAGCGACCCGAGAAGCTACGCCGGCGACAATGCGGCTGTTGAGCCAGTCGACAAAGCCGTGGAGGTTGCGGAACCGAGCCTCCGAGGCGAGCAGGCTGTCCACGACAGATTGCATGGTCTCGACGACTTGCAGCATGGCCGGCCACGTAAGTGGGACGACCGCAAGCGACTCCAGCGCCGGCAGAAGCTCCTGGCGGTAGGCTGTGGTGAGCTCGTTGGCCGCATCTTGAAAGTCTGTGACAGCAGCGCTGAGGTCGGCGGCAAAGACGGCAAGCCGCGTTGCGCCGGCCTCCCACTTGAGGTTGAGCGCGCCGGCGAGGACGGCGTGGACAGCGAGGCGCGGTAGAGCAACCAGCGGGGCAAGGTGCTCGTCGAGCGCGGCCGAGGCCGCGGCATAGTCGGCGAGGGTGGTAGCAAGCGAGGCTGCGTAGGTGTGGACCCGGCGGATAGCGCGCGCGCCCGATGCAAGCTCCTCAGGCAGCGCGAGACCAAGGACCGAGGTGAGAAAATCGTACTCGGCGAGAAAGGTGGTGTGCGAAGCGTCAAAGGTGACACGCAGCGTTGGCGACGGCGAGAGCGAGACGTCGAGGACTCGGCCCGAGGTGGCAAAGCCGGCGCTAAGGGTGGCGGCGACCCACGCCGAGACAAGCGGCTCGGTGTCGAGCGCGGCGTCAAGCGCGTCGAGCGCAGCTCCCAGCTCGGCGCCCTGGTCCGACGCATCCGCCCATTCGGGGCCGAGCACTGTAGACAGCCGCGAACGGGCGGTAGTGGCGGCGGTAGCGGCCTGGCAAGCGTGAAGGACGGTTCCGGAGAGCGGCGGAATGTGGCAGAGGGTGGCGCAGGCGCGGGCATCGTCAATGGCCTCGTACGGCGAGGCGGTGGTAGCTGCGGCGAGGGTCGCAACATCGCGGGCTACCGCGGCCTGGAACGCGAGTGCGTGTGAGTTGAGGAGTTGCGCGATGCTTGGACGAAGGGCTGCGAGGCGCTCAAACTTGGCATAGTACCGAAACATCGCAGTCGACGACGAGGCCGCGGTGAGCGCGGCAGCGAGGTGCGAGAGGAGCGTGGCCTCAACCCGGGCAACGCCGGCCTCGTAGACGCCAAGCGCCTCCTCCAGCGAGACGTCGCCGTCGGGCGAGAGGTCAAGAGGGCGCATGAGAGCGCGGGCGTCGTCAAAGGCGTCTGTGAGTGACGACGCGAGGTCGACTGCAGTCTCGACCGGTGCCACGGCCGGGGTGACGGTGCGGACGGCGGTGCGAAGCTCGTTGTGCTCTGCGCGAAAAACAGAGAGCGCCGCGACGCGGGCCTCGAGCGCAGCATGCTCTTTGGTGACCCGGATGGGCAGCCGCTGCTCCTCAGGATTGCGGCGAATGCGCGCGACTTCGCGGATGAGATCCTTGTATTCGGTGACAAGGTCGTCCCACTCGGCAAAGACCGCCGTGGCGTCGCGCATAAGCGCCGCAAACTCGTCATATGGCAGGAGCATAAGCGAGCGAGCGTGAAGAATGTCAAGCATCTGCGCGTTGAGGTCGCGCGAGAGCGCCTCGGCGAGATGGAGGGCGCGGAGAAGCGGATACGCGGTGTTGCGCACCTTTTTGAGGTGGGCAAAGATGAGCTGCAGCGCGTCGGCAACGTTGGAGAGCGAGGTGGCGCCGAGGAGCGCGTTGAGCGGGAACTCTTTCATGAGCAAGTTGTTCGAGTTGACTTCAGAGAACGCGGCCTGGAGCTTGGTTTCCGACTCGAACGAGACGGTGACCGAGTAGCGCTTGGCGTACTTGAGCGTCTCGAGCGTCATGACGATCGGCGGCGTGGCGAGCGTGTCGGCGAGAGCCAGGCATGCCGCCTCCTTGGCGAGCCAAAAGTTGATTTCCTGCAGTGTCGTCCCGCTCCACGAGTCGCGAGTGAGGAGCGTGACCTTTTGGATCTCGGTGATCCAGCTCTGCGCCGTCTCCTGCAGCTCGTCCAGAAACTCGCCCGACTTTGCGAGCGATCCGAGGTCGGTCACTTCCATCCGCTTGCCTGTCGACATGCACTTGGCAAGTGTTGCCGCAATCTGAGGGTGAGGTGGGAGGTGCGGCTGTGGAATCTGGAGCTCCTGCGAGAGGTGCGAGAGCGAGAGCTTGAGCGTGGTGAGTGCTGTCGCCGCGCCCGAAGTATTGTCGCCAGCGCCTCGCCCACGCCCCGCCCGGTTTCCGCCACTTCCCGACGGCGACCGCAGATACGATGTAAGGTGCGGGTCGAACGTCGCATCGAGGAACGACGCCAGCGTCGCCGCGGCTGCGCTTGGCCCGCTCGTTGCCGGCGCGGGGAGGAGACAGGTCAGCAGTTGCGTGCCCGGCGATGCGTCCTCGCGCAGCGGCGAGGTCTTGACCACAACAAGCGTGCCCGAGTCGGACGCCCGATCCGGCGCGAGTGCCGTCGCGGGCGTGAGGCCAAAGGCATACGAGCCGTCGCTCCCGAGCCACGCAAAGAGCGCCACCAGCGAGTCGTCGCAGCAGAACTCGGTGACGGCAGCCACAGCCGGTCCGGACATAGCCTCAGCAGTCGGTAGAGCCGGACCGCCGAGTGCGGTCGGCAGCATGACGCCTACAGTGAAGGGGAGGAAGGGGGGGAGGGGGGGGGGGGGGGGGGCGTACCGAGATAGTCCAGCAGGGGTGCCAAGCTTGGCGGGACAGGGCTGTTGGGTGCAGCCATTGCACAGGTTTTGTGGGGGGGGAGGTGTGGGTGGTATGGGTATGGGTATGGGGGGGTGGGATGAAGGGGGGGGGTGGAGTGCTTGGGCTGGTGCCACGACCTGGTGCTACGACGCAGGTGGTGGTGGCGGCGCGGGCGCGAGTTGTCAGCGAAAGGCGGCGGCCAAGGTGGGCGGCGGCGGGAGGGTGACGGCGATGGCTGGCCCAGTGCGAGTAAACCCATTTCGCGGAGGGGCAAATTTTCGCCCACCGGTAAGGTTATCCTGGCGGCACTGACTCGTTTAACTTACCTTGTGCCGTGTTCTCGGTGATCACGCAGGCCAGAGTACAGCATGTGCGGCCCCCCATTGCACCGCGGTGGGTGGCATGTTTGAGCTCATCAGCATACCACTGTTGAGCTCGGGCACGGAATTTGTTTACATCGGAGGAAGAGCGTCCGAGCTCACCTCCGCCCCTTCTTATCTTTTTGCCTCGGTGGCGACCCACCGTCGCTCGTCCCTTTGACGGCTGGCATCCTCCATCCTCCAGGTAGTTGCAGTGCTCCTCACTCGCCCCCCTCCTCCTCCACGCACACACACCCAGTCCTCTCAAGTCACCATGGCAGGACGGCGACTCCCGGGCCTGGCTTCAGTCTCGGACCTCATTCGGCTGTACAAGCTCTCGACCCGCAAGGCGCTCTCGCAGAACTTCATCCTCGACACCAACGTGACCGACAAGATCGCCCGGGCGGCGCTCGCTGGCCACAACCTCAACGCGACGCAGGTGGTGGAGGTCGGTCCAGGCCCTGGCTCGCTCACCCGATCGATGCTGGCACAGGCGCCGGCTCGAGTCACGGTGGTCGAGAAGGACGATCGGTTCCGCGGCTCACTAGTGGCTCTGGCAGAAGCCGTGGGCGGCGCGCCGGCGCTCGACGTCATCATCGGCGACATGGCCCAGGTCGAGCCGGCCCGGATCCGTACCGATTCAGCTGCCGCGCCAGAGCTCGCCCTCGTCGGAAACCTCCCGTTCAACGTCGCCACACCGCTGACGGTGGGCTGGCTGGGTGACATGGCTTCCTGCTCCGGCCTCTTTGCCAACGCGCCAACCGCACGCGCGTCGATGACCCTAATGTACCAGGCCGAAGTTGGCCAGCGGCTGACCGCTGCACCTGGTGAGCCCGGCTACTCGCGCCTCTCGGTCCTTGCCGCAGCTTGCGCCAACGCCAAGGTCTTGTACACCTTTGCGCCCACTATCTTTGTCCCGCCGCCCAAGGTCTCGGCCTCGGTCGTCCGCTTCGTCCCGCGGCCCGACGCCGTGCTCTCACCAGCCATCGTCGCCGCCCTACAGGACGTCACCCGCGTCGGCTTCTCGCTTCGTCGCAAGACGCTCCGCAACGCCATTAAGCGCGCGCCCGACGCATGGCGTGCCCCTGTCATCGCCGCTGTCGAGGATGCCGGCCTCGCATCTCTGCGCGCCGGCGACGTCCCGGTTGCTGCCTGGCTCGATCTTGCCCGCGTCGCCGCCGCCTTCACCACCACCGCCGGCACAGTCGCTCCTACAGCCTCTGCAGCCCAATAGATCCACTGGTGGTCGCCCGATGCGCCAGTGCATCGCCGCGCGGTCCTGCTCTGTAAGCCTCGGCTGCGCAGTGCCGAACAACACGCACCGCCTCACTCTGTCCTCCACGCACGCACACACACTCGCGCCCACACACGCCGCAATGGAAACAAGGATGCCGCCGTAGCCTGGCGGTAGCGATGCTGCTACATGGTTGCTGCGCCCAGATGCCGCGCCAGCAGAAACTCGGTTGACGCCTTAGGCCTGCCACTGCTTGGTCTCGCCTCCTGGGCCGGCCAGCTGGCTCAGCTCCCGGCCGAACCAGATCCGACGCTCTCTTTGCTTGGTTTTCGGCGACGAGGCTTCGGGTAGGGGTCAATAGGTCCAACGTTAACGTAAGCAGATGATGCTACTCCAGATGAAACTCGGGCTCAGTCACCATCGCATATCACAGAGAAGCTGTCCTCCTTGTTCATCAAGCCGGTGCCCGCTCTTTCGCTCCGCCCCTGCACATTGGCCTATCGCGGATCATTGCCCTCGACAACATGCTGTACGAGTTCTTGAGCCTTGTTCCCTACCTCGGCCTCATGATGATCCACGTGTTCTTTCTCGCCGAGTCGTCAAGCTCGCCTAGGCCCGCTGATGTCCACGAGAGAAGCCTTGACCTCCAGCGCCAGATCCGCAAGTCCTGGCCTCAATCGCCATCGGTTGCGCCACGCCCGTCATGGCCATCGAAGCCGTCCTCCGTCGCCAACGTTCCTCTCTCCTCGCTCCGGGCCCATCCAGTACAGCATGACGACAAAGGTTGTTCCTCAAACAGGTGATGGGGGGGGGGGGGGGCGGTGTGGCGTGCCAGCCAGTCGCCACCGGCAGCGGAGCGACCGGCGAGCGAGCAACTAGCCCCAGGCACTCGACGTGGAACATGGCAAGCACTGCGACAAGTCCGGCTGCCGAGGCGGGAAGCAAGGCTGTGGCGGCCATGCGTGAGGCGCTGGTGGCTGCCGGTGCCGACGCGTACTACCTCCCGCACGGCGACGAGCATGCCAACGAGTACCTCTCGCCGCACCACGAGCGCATTGCCTTTGTCTCGGGTTTCACCGGCTCGGCCGGCACGGTGGTGGTCACCGCCACGCAGACGCTGCTGTGGACCGACGGTCGGTACTACCTCCAGGCTGAGAACCAGCTGTACCCCGGCTGGAAGCTGATGCGAAGCCATGCCGAGCTCGCGCCAGGCGCCTGGCTCAAGGCTGAGGGGCACACCCGCGTCGCCTCGCCGGCGTCCACGCTCGGCCACGCCACCGCCGCCAGGCTCAAGGCCCACGGGTGCTCGCTGGCCTTGCTCGACGACAATCCGGTCGACAGCGTGTGGAACGCGTCTGGCTCGCGCCCCCTTCCCGCCCGCGCCCCGATCGTCCCGCTCGCCACCACGTACACCGGTGAAGACGCCGCCTCCAAGATCGCACGCATCTCTGCTGCTGTGCACTCTGCAGGCTACGCTGCTGTCCTTGTCACCGCTCTCGACGAGATCGCATGGCTCCTCAACTGCCGAGGCTCCGACATCCCGTACAACCCCGTGTTCCTCAGCGTTGCGCTCGTGCTCACGCCTGAAGCCAAGACCCAGCTCGACGCCTCGCACGCGGTCACGCTTTGGCTGGACGACCCGAACGGATGCCGGCTCGACGAGGAGGGACGCTCTTCGCTTGCTGCCGCCAACGTCAACATCGTCCCGGTCCTCAATCAAGCCCACATCGCGACCGCGCTCGAGGCTGCCGCCGCTGCCGGCAACGTCTGGCTCGACGGCAGGACAGTGCCGATGGCGTACGCAAGCGTTGTGGAATGCAAGGCTCAGAGCGCCACATCACCAATCAACGACGCCAAGTCGATCAAGAATGCGACCGAGCTCGAAGGCCTACGCGCGTGCCACCTCCGCGACGGCGCGGCCCTGACTCGGTTCATGTACGCGCTCGAGTCCCGCATCTCAGCCGGCGACACACTCTCCGAGTGCGAAGCGGCGGCCATGCTTGAGCATGAGCGCTCAATCGAAGCCGACTACGTCTCGCTCTCGTTTGAAACCATCTCGTCGTCGGGGCCAAACGGTGCGGTCATCCACTACGCGCCGCAAGCCGAGACCGCGCGGGTACTCGCGGCCGACGAGCCTTACCTGGTTGACTCGGGCGGACAGTATCTCGACGGCACGACCGATGTGACACGGTGCCGCGTCTTTTCTTCTCCATCGGCACACATGAAGCGGTGCTACACCCGGGTCCTGCAGGGCCACATCGCGCTCGCCACAGCCGTCTTTCCCTCGGCACCACCGGCCTCACCCTCGACGCCTTTGCTCGCCAGTATCTTTGGCGCGATGGCCTCGACTACCGCCACGGCACCGGCCATGGCGTCGGCGCGTACCTTAACGTCCACGAAGGCCCGCATCTCATTTCCTACCGCGCCGCCGCCAACAACCCGCCGCTCAAGGCTGGTATGACCGTCACCAACGAGCCCGGGTACTACGAGGACGGCGCGTTTGGCTTCCGCATCGAGAACGTCATGCTTGTGGTGCCCGCCGCTACGCCGCACAACTTTGACGCCACAGACTTTCTTGCTTTCGAAACCATCACCTTTGCGCCGCTTGCCCGCGATCTCATCGACGTGGCCCTCCTCTCGCAAGCCGAGCGCGACTGGGTCGACGCCTACCATCAGCAGGTGCTCGACCACCTGACCCCGCGCATGGCCAGCGACGAGCAGCGGGCCTGGCTTGGCCAAGCTTGTGCCTCTCTCGGTGCCTAGTAGCATTAAAGCGTGCGTTCTGTGCTCACGTCGCGCCGCCAAGCCTTGGGGATTGAAGGCGGCGGCCCACCACGTGTTCATTGTGGCTCCAAGCAAACGCCAGTCCGTCGACGGCAGCCCTCACAGCAGATTGTTGCCAGAAAAGTCGAGCCCTGGCGCCGAGACGAGCTCGGCAATGTCAGGGCGCGAAGCGAGGGCGGCGTCGGCCGCGTCCGACGAGTCGTCAGCAAAGACGCCCGCTGCCGCTGCCGCCGCCGCCGCCGACGCCGACGCGCCCGGAAGCGCGTAGCCGAGGACGGCGAGCGAGTCTGCGCCGTTGTCGCTCTCAGCATCAAGGACCGAGTGGCCTGTCCGTCGCCGCGAAGAGCTGCCGCCATGCGATCCGCCGCGGACAGACGCGACGGCCGAAGCCGCCAGCGCCGCCTGCGCCTTGGGATAGATGACGGCAAGAGCAAAGAGGTAGTGCAAGCTCCCTGTGAGCAGATCAAGAAGAAGGAGGCCGAATCGCGACGGCGGATGGCCAGGCCCCACAAACGAGAGCAGCAACGAGTCCGCCGGCGTGCCCGGCGTGGTGAAGAGATGGAAGGCGACCGGGAGGAGGTTGAGGACGACGATGCGCGAGACAAGGGTCGATCGCGATGCCATGCGCGCCGAGTTGAGCGATGCCGCCACAACAGCTCGGTAGAAGAGGATCAGTAAGTTGCCCTCCAGCAAGTATCCGTACAGCGCCTGCAGCGCGAGTGCAATCGCCGTGCTGAGCCATAGCCTGTCCCGCGGTGTGCTTGCCGCCCTCAGCATTGCCTGCATGGCTGCCGACTGTGTCTTTAGAAAGGGAGGGGGGGAGGGGGAGGAGGAAGGGAGGAAGGGGGGGGGGGGGGGGGAGCGAGTGAGGTGTAGGGGTTGGGCCAGGGGGGGAGGCCTAGGAGAGGGGGGGAGACAAGGCAGACGACACAGGATTCGACCAAGCACGGGACTCGACCCGACACCAGCCAGTCACTCCCCCTCCTTCCCTCCCTAGCACACCACTTCGCCCTCTCACTGACCTTCTCGCTCATGGCTCGGGCCGCGGTGGTTGGCGCGGTGGCGGTGGTGGTGGCGGTGGCGGCGGCGCTGGCGCTGGTTCTGTTGCTGGTGGTGAACGACGACGCGCCTGCGCCTGCTCCGCACATGCTCAACAGATCAGAGCGGAAGAGTGGGACGGTTGAGTTGGACACGACGCGTCCGCACCCGATGCGGCTGCCAGCTTACTACTCTACAATGGACGAGACTATGACCGAGGTCCGTAGGCTGGCCACAACCTGTCCACCGCTGGTCGTCGACTCGCTCCCGCTGACCGGCGACGACCCGCTGGTTGTGCTCCGGCTCCACGATGCGGATCTGGCAAGCTCGCTCCCACCACGAGCTGCACCAATGGACCGATCGTGCTACACTCAAGGCCGGGCAAACAAGGACGCTGGCCTGGACGCGCTGCCGACGGTGTTGATCACGGCTGGCCTCCACCCGCGCGAGGTGTTTGCAACTGAGCTCGCGCTGGGCCTCGTCCGCTGGCTCTGCGCCGCATACGACCAGGCGAGCGCTATGGACGCCGCCGAAGCGTGGTCAGTCCAGTACATGTTGGCTCGGATGGAGCTTGTCGTAATCCCGCTCGCCAACCCGAGCGGCCGGCGGGTGGTTGAGGAGACCGACGCATGCGCACGGACCTCTGCAGCGGGCATCGACCTCAACCGCAACTGGGTCTTCCGCCACGGCAAAGGCGAGCCCAACGAAGCGGCGGGCAACAAGCCGCTCTCGGCCGAGGAGACCCGGGTCCTGTTTGACTACATGTCGGTGCTGACCAAAGACCCCGAGCGCAACGTGGGCCTCTTTGTCGACATCCATTCGGGCGTGACCGAGGTGTACATCCCATACGACTCGGCGAGCGATGTGCTGCCGCGAAGTAAGCGGGCAATGTGCCTCTACGAGGTTGTAGATACATTTGCCACGCTCGGATGTGGGGCGTGCGCTCGCGGCTCGGCTGGCGTCATCGGCAACGAGCTGGTCTTTGGCACTGCTGCCGACACCATGTTTGTTACGCTGGGCGTCTCTGTCGTCCTCACAGTCGACGCCTTCGGCGCGCCGGACAAGAGCGACTGCTTTCTCCGGTTCAACCCGGACGATGAAGCCAAATATCACTCCATCGTCGCGCACTGGCTCGACGCTTTTGATTTTGCCTTCTGGGATGTGCTCGAGTCGAGCCAGGGTACCTCCAAGCGTGCCGCTGCCGCCTACTATTACGACTTTGTCGACAGCTCGCTCGCCTGGGGCTCCAACCTCCGGATGGCCGCGCTCTCTGCCGCCGCCACTCGCCGCCCATCGAACTGGTACCTCAGATCGCGCGAGCGCAGCGAGCACAGTAGCGGAGCCGCCGCCAAGGAGCCCTCCCCGCCCTCGCCGCCGCCCACAATCTCTAATGCTGCACACTTTGAGACTGTGGAATCGCAGCACACTTCGTGGCTGGCCTTTAGTGCCTTTGCCATCAACGCGCTCGTCGCCTACGCCCTCTGCCAAGCGCGCGCCGAGCATCGTCGTCGATCCAGACTTGAGCCTGAACCCACCACACAACTGCACCCACCACACAACTGCACACAACTGCGCACAACTCCATGGGATATCACCATCCTCCTCATTTTCAAGTCCGTGCCCCCCCCCCCCGGCGCCCATCGGCTGACTCACCAAGGCGACCGCCGACCGGCCGGCAGCACCCAAGCGGACGGGTTCCAAGACTCGAGTCCGCAGCAACAAGCAAGGCGAGACATGGCTGGGCTTGTGTGCAAGCACACGGCGGGTGCACCCGAGGGTGAGCGGGTGTGGGACGTGGCATTCTCGCCGCTAGGCAACGCGCTGGCGGTGACGGGCGGCTTCCATGCGGTGGCCCTTGTTGACGCAGCGGCGCCGGAGCGGCAGCTGGACATGCTGGATGAGGTCCACGAGCGGACGGTGCGGCGGATCGGGTGGGCACCGAGCGGACGGGCCCTGGCAGCGGCCTCGTTTGACGGTACCGTCTCTGTCTGGGCCCTGCCCGACGACGGCGCGCCCGGCGGCTTTGCCCTCGCCCATCTGCTGCAGGGCCACGAGAATGAGGTCAAGGCCGCGGCGTGGTCGGCGTCGGGCGCGCTGCTAGCCACCTGCTCGCGCGACAAGTCGGTGTGGATCTGGAACTTAGATCCCGATGGCGGCGCGCCGGCGTGCGTGGCTGTCCTGCAGGGCCACTCGCAGGACGTCAAGACTGTGGTCTGGCACCCGAGCCAGGATGTCCTCGTTTCGGCCTCGTACGACAACGAGCTACGGCTGTGGATCGATGACGACGGCGACTGGTTCTGCTGCACTGTGCTGGCCGGCCACTTGTCTACCGTCTGGGACGTCGCCTTCTCGCCCGACGGCTCGTCGCTGGTCTCGGCCTCATCCGACGGCACTCTCAAGATCTGGACCCTCTCCGATGTTGTTGCCGGCAAGCCGGCCGGCTCCATCATCACCGAAAACTCTGACTACATGTGCGTCGCCACCGTCTCCGACTACTTTACCCGCGACATCTACGCTGTCGACTGGAACAAGACTACCGGCCTCATTGCCGCTGCTGGCGGCGACAACGCCATTGTCGTCCTCGCCGTCGACAACGCAGTTGCAAGCGAGGTCTCCACCTCCCTCATCGCCTCGGCTCCCGCCGCTCACGACGACGATATCAACGCCGTTGCATGGCATCCACGCCAGCCCGATCTCCTGGCCTCTGGCGCGGACGACGGCATGATCAAGGTGTGGCAGGTGCCCGAGCCGTAGCACTTTTGGCCCCCCTTCGCCCGTTCCATCCATCCATCTCCATCCTTGACCGGATCGGCCAACCCGACCTCCCCTCATGCTCCACCCACGCCCACAACCGAGTGCCATTGACGAACATCATCAGCAACAACTGCTCTTCCCCTACAAAACAACAGACATGGATCCCCAGAGCGAGGCTTCTTGGGGCGAGGACAGACAACGTGAGCGTGGCGGCGGACGCGGCGGTCGTGGCGGACGCGGCGGTCGTGGCGGTCGTGGTGGGCGTGGCGGGCGTGGTGAGCGAGGCGGACGACGGAGTGGTGGCCGAGGTGGTGGACGTAGCGGCGGACGCTACGGAGGGCGCGGCGGTAGGCGTAGCGGCGGGCGCGGTGGACGCGACGGGCGTGGCGGTGGCGGGTTTGGCGGCCGTGGGCGTGGCGGCCCTGGCGGAGCCCGGCCCAAGATGTGCTACCACTGCGGCGAGACCGGGCACTTTAAGCAGCAGTGCCCAGAGATCCGAGCGTACGACGTTTGCTTCCGGTGCCGCAAGTCAGGCCACAGTGTAGCCGACTGCCCCGAAGGCGGTGGCAGCGGCGGAAACGGTGGCGAGGGCGAGAAGGGGGGCAAGGGCAAGAAGAAGAAGCCCAAGTCGATCTGCTACAACTGTGGATCGAAGCGGCACACGCTCAAGCGGTGCAAGAAAGAGAAGATCGGGAGCGGGCTGGACTTTGCGTCGTGCTATGTGTGTGGCAAGCAGGGCCATTTGGCGTCCAAGTGTCCCGAGAACATGAACGGCATCTACCCCAACGGCGGGTGCTGCAAGCGGTGCGGCTCGGTGTATCACCTGCTGCGCGATTGCGACGCCGTGGCGCTCAAGAAGCAGATGGCGACGGCTGAAGCGGACGGCGGCATGGGCTGGCACGATCCGGGCACACTCGAGTATGTGGTTCACCGCAAGACAACCGAGGCCAAGATTTCCGAGGCGAATGTCGACGCCGGCGCCACCGGCGCCAACCAACTGGAGCTCGGCACACGTGCTGGCGGCGCTGAGCCGGCGGCGGCGGCGCCGTCGGCCCCGCTCTCACTTGCCGAGCGGCTCGCGGCCAAGAAGCGCAAGGCGACCGAGCCAACAGTGGCGGCGGCCGAAGCGCCGTCGGGCCCGATCTCGCTCTCGGAGCGGTTGGCGGCCAAGAAGCGCAAGGCGAGCCAGCCCGCGGTTGTTTCGTTTGACGCCAAGCGGCAGCGCACACTGCTCAACTGAGATGAAGGAACGGTACAGGAACAAAGAGGGGGAGGAGAGGAAAGACGGGTGTATTCACACAGGAACGGGGAGGGAGAGGGATGGTCGAGGTGTTCACGACGACGAGCCGGCAGCGTCCTTGAGCTCGGCCTCGAGCTGGCGAACCTTGGTCTCGAGGGCGGCGACCTTCTGCTTGAGCTTGGTGATGGTGGCCTCCTGGTTGCGGTGGGCCTCACGGATCTCGTCCTCGGACATGTCAGCCGGGTTGACGGGGCCGGTGGCGGTGGCGGCAGCCTCCGCGGTGACATTGAACGAGGCCTCGGTGGCGACAAAGCCGTCACGGAGCGAGACAAGGATGGGGTCGGCGTCGGAGCCGCCAAACCACTCATCGGCGGTGAGGGCGGGGACACCACCGGCGGTGTCGGGGAAGATGTCCTCGGCAAAGATCTCGGCCTTACGCGGGACGCGGAAGGAGAGCGGCTCGAGGGTGGTGTTGGTGAGCTTGAGGAGGCGGACAATCTCGCACTTGTTGACCGAGACGGAGCGCTTGCCGACGGAGCACATGCCCTTCTGCGAGTCGGACGACTTGTACTCGGAGATGTAGCAGACGAAGGGGTCCTCGTCAACGAGCTCGTAGTAGCGGATGTTGCCGTCACCCTTGCCAGCAAGGAAGATCATGGACGTGTCCGCGTCGTAGAACGGCATGAGGATGCCGGACGAGTTGTCGACCGACTTCTTGGTCATGGGCTTCTCGAGGTTGCGAGTGTCCCAGAGGGCGTACTCGCGCGAGGCCATCTTGGAGTAGCCGGTGGTGAAGATCTGCTCGCGGTCGCCGAGGAAGACGCAGCGCGAGCCCTTGATGCCGGCGTGCGAGGCGGTGTCAGCGACAGCGTCGGTCGAGCTGCGCGGGTCCCAGAGCTTGAGCTTCTTGTCCTTGCCCACCGAGCAGAACGAGGAGCCGTTGCGGTTCCACGAAAAGTCGTTGATGTTGTTGGTGTGGCCCGCGAGCTGGATCTTCTCCTCGGCCTTCTCGATGTCCCAAAGACGGATGGTGAGGTCAGTCGACGAGGTGGCGAGCACGTTGGCGGCAACCGGGTGGAACTGGAGCTGGCCAACCTTGCGGCCGTGGCCGGAGAGGGTGAGCAGCGGCTCAGTCACGTTCTCGGTCGGGCCGCCCTCGGGAACCTGCCACACCTTGGCGGTGCAGTCCTCAGAGCCGGACGCGACAATAAAGTCGTTGAACGGGTTGAACTGGGTGTCGAGCACGGTGCCGGTATGGCCCGCAAACAGCGGCGCGGTGGTACCGATCTTGCCCACGTTCTCGTGCGAGTTGACCATGAACGCACCGCCACCGCCGGCGTTCCAGTTGACTGCGAAGAAGTACGGGTTGGCCGAGACCATGTTCGAGTCCCATGCGCTGTCCTCGTCGGTTCGCGCTTGCGGTGAGTTCGGCCGCTCGCCCTCCGCCACCGCTCGATGCTGAAGAATCGTGGCCTGAAAAAATTGGGTTCCAAGGGGAAGGCGACCAAGCCCACAGCGACAGCGCCTGTACACCCACCAAGTGCATCAAGGTCGATGCTCTCGCCGCCGCCCATGCTCTCGCGGGGGGCGGTGCCCTGAGGGAGGACTGAGGGGGCAGAGGTTGGATAGAACGTCGCTTCTTAGTGCGCGTGCGGGAGGCCGAGCGCAGCAACGATTTCGGAGGAAAAATAAACTGAGGACGCCAGGCAGAGCAAGTCTGCGGGTACGGGGAAGGCGCAGGACGTACGACTTGGAAATGCGGAGCTCCTGGTACGTGATCTCACGCTTGGGCGGATCAGCGAACACGTGGCGGAACTTGGAGGCACGGACAAAGCGCGACATGCTGGGTGTTGTCAGACGGGTGGTGACGAGTGGTTGACGCCCACACTCGCAACGAACACCAGCCGCCTGGGAACGAACGAAACCAGCCGCGGAACACGTTTGAGTGCCGAAGAATCTGAAGCAAGTTTGCTCCCTTTGGGCGGGGGGGGGGGGGGGGGGTTCACGGAATGCTGTTACACCCTGCTACATGGATGAGCGTTGTGTTTTGGTGAATAGGTTCGGCACAAAGGGGGGGGGGGCTTCAGCAAACTCATATTGCTGCAATGATGATGGCGCAGACAATGAGAGCAAAGGCAAAGAGAATGAGCGAGAGACGGGCGAGGAAGCGGACTCTGCTGTTGGGCGAGCGAAGGAAGAGATAGCCGAGGAGCCAAGGGAGGATGCAGCAAAAGCCGGAAATAAAAATAGCGAGGATGATGTAGACGTCGGACCTTGTCTTGGCGAGCATCAGTTGCTCTTCACGGAGACGGACGGCTTCGAGCTCGCGCTCGGTGGTCGAGGATCGGATCAGTGCTGCGGTGTTGCAGAGTGGCGAGCCCCCATCCTGGACGGCGGCAATGGCGTCCGAGTCAAGCGTCTCCGACACGTTGTCCAGCGGGACAACCGCGACAACAGAACGGGTCGGCGCAAAGCCGATGCCGCCTGACGAGGCGTGTGAGAGCGCGCTCACCACCGACTCGGTCCCGTCGGCGCTGCGGACAGCGAGCTGGGTAGGCTTGACACCGAGTCCATGCGATCCGGAGACCGTCGAGTACTGCGGCGGCATGCCCTTGCTCTTGTACCCGCCATCGATCGAGAGCGACGATGACGATGACTCGCCAAGCCGGAGTACGGTGTTGTCGAGTCCAGGGAGGCATGCGTGCGACGAGTGCTCCGACTCGGAGAGCGAGAGCGTGGCGGTCGACGACGACGCCACCACCGCCGTCGACGGCTGGCGTTCCAGGCCAATACTCATGAGAATCCACCGTGGATTCCGACGTGACGCGCTCTCGTCACTCTGTCTTTGCTCCTCGTTGTCTCCACCCACACTCCTTGTGTACGTGAGGTATGACACCTTCATAACTCCCGCCCTTCCGCCCCCCACGCGTCCTCTCCTCCGCGTTGCCGCCGTGCCCCGTCGCCGGCCCGTGGCCATGTCCAAGACTGGTCGAAAAAAGGCACGAACACCATTTTTCGCCATCTCGGCCACAGTCGCCAAAATGCGATGCAGACTTTCATGCATTCGCGGCGGCGGCGGGAAGGACCGTGTGACTGGGCAGCCGACTGGCCGCCATCGGCGGCGAGCTCTGCGAGGGACCGGTCGGCGACGAGGCCAAGGAATGGGCGACAAGAGCGCAAGCGGCATCACTCGACACAAACAACTCACGAGACCATGTCCGCAGCCAAGTGCCCTGTGTGCACCAAGACGGTACGTGAGACGGAGGCTCTCCGCGGTGTTGTTCGCACCCCTCTTGCCTGTGTGTCGTCTGCCGCGCTGCCTGGGAGGGGGGTCATGGCGCTGCGCTGCGCATGGCAGGCGTCCAAAAAAACGTCTGCGTGTTCATTCAGTGGAACTCGGTCCGGAACAGAGGCCCAACGCGAGTAGGAGGCGCATGCAACGGGTGCCGGCCACAAGTGCAGAGCAAGAGTGGGCGAAGAGAGGGGAAGGGGAGAGAGAGAGAGAGACGCTATAGAGGTGGCAATCTTGGAGGCGTAGGCGTCTGTGGAGAAAGGGGCGGTTTCGAGGTGATGGTTCCTTCCTCCCCCTGGCCCGAAAGGGAACGACGCCAAACTTGGACAACCTAGTGGGGCTTTCTTCTTGGTAGCGACTCACGGATGTGCCGGTGGGCGAGCGAGGACAGGCATACCCGATGGAGTCAGTGCGCGCGCTGTCAAAGACATTCCACAAGGCGTGCCTCAAGTGCTCGACATGCGGCATGTCGCTCAACCTGAAGACGATCGAGAGTGAGGGCGGAGTGCTGTACTGCAAGGTGCACCTGCCCAAGGCGACGGCAACGTCTGTGGCTGACTCTGTGGATGTGCAGCGGGCGACGTCTGCGCCGAAGCGGCCGGTCAAGAGTGGGATGACGGCGCCGCCGCCATCGGGCCCGCGGCCTACGCGGACGGGTGGCTCGAGCGGAGGAGGCTCGTCGCGCTTTGCCTCGGCGGGCGACAAGTGCCCGGTCTGCACCAAGACAGTGTACCCGACCGAGGCTGTTGCGGCGCTCGGGCACAAGTACCACAAGGCATGCTTCCGGTGCTCCGAGTGCAACATGTCGCTCAACCTGAAGAACTTCCAGTCGCGCGACAAGATCCTGTTCTGCAAGCCGCACCTCCCTAAGGAGTCGCACACCGCTGTTGCCGACGACATCCACACCCAGCGTGCCATCAACGCGCCGAAGCGGACCATGGCCCAGGGCGTGCGGTCCGACCTCGAGGGCGGTAAGCTCGTCGATGCCTCCAACTTTTCCGAGAACGACTTCCAGCGCGAGTCGCACTTTGACCCGGTGAACCAGACGACCGAGTCGCTGCCCGGTGCGCGCCAGGAGGAGGAGCCCGAGATCAACACCGGCGGTTCGGGCGGCTGGGGCGCCCCTGCGCCTGCTGCCGCAGAGCCGGAGCCGGCCTCGGGAGGCTGGGGCACCCCTGCGCCTGCTGCCGCAGAGCCGGAGCCGGCCTCGGGAGGCTGGGGCGCTCCCGCGCCTGCTGCCGAGCCGGAGCCGGTCGCTGAGCCCGCCGCCGACGAGTGGGCCGCAGAGCCTGCCGCAGAGCCTGCCGCCGACGGGTGGGCCGCAGAGCCTGCCGCAGAGCCCGCCGCCGACGAGTGGGCCGCAGAGCCCGCCGCCGACGATTGGGGCGCAGAACCCGCCGCAGAGCCCGCCGCCGACGAGTGGGGCGCAGAGCCCGCCGCAGAGCCTGTTGCCGATGAGTGGGCTGCCGAGGCCGACACTGGCTCCTACCTGTACCAAGTCCAGGCCATGTACGAGTACGTGGTGGAGGAGGATGGCGAGCTCGGGTTCCCCGAGGGTGCTGTGGTCAACGTGCTCGAGGAGCTGTCGGAGGACTGGTGGCACGGCGAGTACAACGGTGCTGTCGGCATGTTCCCCGCCAACTACGTCCAGCGGATCTAATGTGATGAACCAAGATAAAGAATCGCTTGAGTGTATCACTTGTGTACGTGCCTCTGCACGTCCGTCCCATGACTCTTTCATTCCTGTGTCTCCGGCACAAGCGCGAGGTCGGAGATGGCCACGCGTGAGTTGCGTGGATTGGCTGCCCGCTCAACACACTGCGCAAAGAGCGCCACAAGCTTGGCACGGGCAAGCTGGTCCTCAACCGAGCCTGCGGTGTGGTCGGTGGCCTGGGTGGCGTAGGTGGCGGCAAGGTCGTGGACAACCTTGCCCTGGCTCCCACGCGACATCTTGCGGACGGCGCCGCGGCCGCGGCGGCTAGGTGCAGCCGGGCCCGGTCGGTACGACGCCACAAGCGCAGCCGCGTAGTTAAGCTGTTCACCAGCAGCGCGCGCCACGGCATCGCGGGCGATAGCCGGATTGATGGCGTCTTTGCCGAGCGCCCGGTACAGCGGGACAACGCCGGCGAGGTCGAGCGAAGCCGTGTACGAGGCACGCATCGAGAGCGGGATGGGCCCCAGCGGGCCGTCGATGAGTGTCGTGCACGGCACAGGTGCGGCATCAATGAGCACAGCTTTCTCGCCCATGACAGGGAGGCAGTGATGGTAGCCTGGGCCGTACGCGTGCGGCTTGAGCACGCCATTGCGGACGACGAGGCCGTAGCTGTCGGGCGGGACGTGGAACCGCCCGCCAAAGTACTGGTACACGCAAAAGCCGACGCCTCCGGCCATGACCGAGAATACAGCCGTTCGCACGGCCTGCATGATGGGATGGAGTGGCGTGTTCTGAGGTCCCTCAGCCCAGGGTAACAGCGACGGCAGTCGGTCCGTGTTCGCGACCGTGACCGACCGACCGCCGACGGGGTGAGTCGGGCGAGCCTGGCATCGGGCACAACACTCATCCGAATCGGTGCTAGAGAGGGGGAGGGGGGACGGGCTTTCGGGGAGACACGGCAGAGCAGAGCGCGGCGTAGTCCACAGTGGCACGGCATGCCACGAAGGAGAGCGGCGGGCAAGGCTAAGAAGCCCGCCAACCCGCACAACGCGGTCTACGTTCACATCATGCTCGGCCTCGTGGCCGCAGAGAGCAACGACAACAGGGCACGCGGCCTGCGCAAGGCGCTGCGGTCTGTCCTGGTCTATCCTCTCCCACTCGCTGCGCCGCATGAGGTCATCCGACTCGAAGGCATCGGCCCTTACACCCGCGATGCCGTCGTCGATGCGTACAACGCCCTGCTGGCGGCGTACGGACCCGAAGGCCTCCTCGCCGGCGCATGGGACGAGGCTCCTCCGCCTCCGTCCACGTCTGCGACTCCGGCAGTCGCTCGCAAGCGCAAGCGTGGACCCGGCGCCGGTCCCGAGTCGGCCGGTCCCGAGTCGGCCGGCGGCGCGCCGGCCAAGCGCAGCAAGCGCGCGTACCGACCGCGCAAAGGCTCGGGCGCGTGGGCGCTTGTCACCGCCCTGCATCGCTGGCAAGTCGACCAGTCGCCGCAGCCGTGGCGCGGTCCGGTGACCAAGGAGGAGGTCATCAACGTGGCCCAGCCGCTGACCACGTCGCAGTTTGCACCGCCCCAGGGCGACGACGCCAAGGCCGGGGCCCGCCGTGGTGCATCCATGGGCGGACCGGCGTACTCGTTCACGGCGTGGTCAAACATGGGTAAGCTTGTTGAAAAGGGCCTCGTGACCCGGGCTGGCCGCCCAGCGCGCTACTCGCTCACCGACGCCGGCATTGAGCTCGGCACACTGCTTGCGTCGGGCCAGCCTGCCCCGCGGCCATCCCAGCCATCGCGAGGCAAGGAAGAGGAGGTGCGGAAGAGAGTCCGTGCAGCTTCCGCTGCCTCGACCGCGCAGCTGCTCGCGCGTCCGGAATCGGTAGCCTCGAGTGCCCCGAGCTCGCACGCTGTGCTCTCGCCGCTGACGGCGCGGGCGCGCCGAGCCTCGCGCGCTCGCGCTCCGACTACTACACGTCACATGCGGTAAGCTCGCCAACGTGGGTGGCTGCGCGAACCTCACCCAGCGCATCTGCTGTCCAGCCGGTTGGCTCCCGCCCAACGAGCGGGGCGGCGAGCGATGGTCGGTACTCTATCAAGCTCATTGTCGACCGCCGAGAAGTGGTCCAATCCAGGCTTGCGGCGCGCAAGCTGGCCATGCACATGGCCAAAAAGACATTGCGTACGAAGAGCGGACATGTAATGTCGGAGACTTTGTCTTTATCATTACCGACCGAACGCAGCCCGGGTGCGAGTTTGTGGCCGACTTTATTGTCGAGCGCAAGGTCCTCGCTGATCTCGTCGGCTCGATCCGCAGCGGGCGGTACCGGGCGCAGCTAGCGCGGCTCGTGCAGAGCGGTGTCTCCAAGATATTCTTCCTCGTCGAGGGCAATTTCCTGGCCAAGACTCCAATTGCTCACGGACCCGAGGCATCAACGCTGGCGTCGATGGCTACAGCCGTCCACCACATCAAGGCCAATGGCGGCAACGTCCACACCTCGACGTCAACGGCCGACTCGGCAAGCTGGCTTGAGGCTGTTTATATGTCGCTGACCAAGGCGGTCATCGACGGCGGCCTCGATGCCGTCGCAGCCCGCCATCCCAATGGCAGTGGCGCCCTGCTTACCTTTGACGAGCTGCAGATCATCGGCGCCGTCGGCTACTCAGAGTCGGTCCGCTCCAACTTTGGCAAGATGCTCATGACTGTCTCGGGCATGTCGGCCGACAAGGCCGCTGTCGTGCTTGTCAAGTACCGCACATTGGGCGGACTTCGTGCTGCGTATCGCGCCGCCGGTCCCGATGCGGGTAAGACGCTCCTAGCCGGCGAAAAGGTGCCTGGTGCCCGCAACTCGTTTGGCCGTTCCTTGTCGAACGCGGTCTGGAGGGCGTTCTGGGCCGATGAGTGAGTGTCAGCTTTAGCCAAATGCCAAACATCACTCAGTCGCTGGTAAACACGCGACGCCACAGATCATCAAAGTCGAGATCGGCCGAGTCGGGCGCAGCCGACGGCGGCACCAAGCCCGACCAGGCAGAGGGAGCCAGCAACCGCCACGCGTGGGCTTCGTCCCAGCCGGCATCCGGCTTGCTCCACCTCGCTTCAAAGCTGCTCGCCAGGAAGGGGAGTGGGGTGGAGGTCATCAAGTGTGGGACGACAAAGCGGAGGCGCTGGGCGCTCACGTTGTCATCGTCGCTCTCTTTGCCGGCGCTGGCACTTGCTAGAGCATTGATCCATGCGCAGCACGTAGTTGAGGTGCCCGAGCGCGCAAGCAAAACAATAGCATAGCCAAGCCGGTCTGCAGTAGAGTTACAAACGGGCCGCGTGCTGGCATCAGCGGCCGTCAGCGCCCTCGCTTCGGAAAAGAGTCCGCCAGCGTGACAAGCGTCGCGTCGACGCCGCGGGCAACGAGCTCTGCTGCCAGGACCGGTGCGGAGATCCAGGCCTTGAGCGCAGCCCAGAGCTCGCCATGAATCTGAGGTCCGTCAGAGCTGCTGCCGCCAGCTGGAGAAAAGCTGGGGGTGGCAAGCGTTGCAGCGGCGATTTGACGAGTAAACGCGGCGGTGGTGGTGGCAGCAGCAGCATCGGCCACAAGCGAGCGGGCCGAGCGAGCCGACTCGGTGGCAAGCGCGGCGCAGAGCGAGGCAGAGAGTCCAGACGCCACCCAGACGCGATCGATCCAAATCGAGTTGAGCTCGGCAGTGGCGAGCCAGTGCGAGACGCGCGCGACATGGGCCTCGCCACCCTCAGCAGAGAGCAGCGCGTGGGTAAGCGGCTCCACAGCTGGTACAGCCCACAAGGAATCCATCACGCGTTCGGGCAGCTTCGAATGTGCACGCACGGCAGCCGCTAGCGGTAGTGCAATGACGTTGCGAGCACTGGGTCGCGAGCATGTCTCTAGGGCAGCAAGAAGCGGTACAATCCACGAACTCTCGTCCTGTACGACATCACTGGGCGGCAGTGCACAAACGACGTTGCCGAGGGCTTGCGAGACAACCTGAGCGGCAAAAGATGTCGGGGCCGAAATGGCGTGGGCGAGTGAGCGCGCGAGAACTGTGAGGGCCTCAGGTCCGGAGCCGCAGAGGCACCTGGTCCGGACCGAGGTGGCGAGCTCGGAGAGGACCGAGGCATCGTAAGCGAGGCGCAGTTCTGCGAGCGAGACCAGGCCGTGGCGCGGCAGGCCGTCGAGCCTACTCGAGTCGCCGAGCCGGCCAACAAGTGTGTCGAGCCATGGCTGAAGAGAAGCAGCTGATTGGGCCAGGGCGTCCGCGGTTGGCAGGACGGAGCGCCAGGCGCGCAGCCAGGAGGCTTTGGGGTCGAGCAGCGCGAGGAGGTCATCGCCACGGACGTCTGCGTCGGGGTTCGACGAGCGCAAGAGGAACACAAAGCTCGCCAGAACTTGCTCCAGCTCGGAAGCCAGTGGCATGTGGCCCGGCAGCGCGTCCGGCATTGTGACCGCAAGCTGGAGGACGAGGTGGACGCAAGCGAGGAGAAAGAGCAGCGGCAGTGAGGGGGCTTGCTGCGGCGAGTCGAGGCCACGGCGGGCATGGCGGACGAGGGTGGCGGCAAGATCGGAGAGCAAAATGGGCTCATGATGCGAGCGCAGAACCCGAGCGGCGGCCTTGGCCACGCCTTCAAACAGCGAGCTCCGCTGGCTCCGCTCGGCGCCGGGCCACAACCGAGCCACGAGGCCGAGGCCGCGATGTGCGTAGGCGAGATCGGCTGAAGCGAGGACAGCGTCGAGCGCGCTGATCAGATTGGGCCAGCACGGGGCCGCAAGCAAGTCATTGGGTGCAAACGACTCGAGCTTGGAGAGGGCGGCGAGATGGCGCTCGCCAGGGAGCGATCCGGGGTGATCAGCAAGCGCGGCAAGGAGCGCAGTGAGCGGCTCGAGCTCGTCGTAGGGCATGAGCGGACCGAGCGAGAAGCACGAGGCCATAGAGCGAGCTGAGGTAAAGTCGGACGAGGCATCCGACTCGGAGGCGAGCGAGGGAGAGGCCGACGAGCCGCGGCGAGCCGGGAGGACCAGACCGGTGCCCGGCGGGTGAGGCGAGGCGCGACCACCGGCCGCAGCCAGCTCGAAGCGGACGCGGGCAACGGCAGCGGCAGTGTCTGCGGCAGCGGCAGCGGCGAGGGCGGCGACGGTCTCTGACTCGGCAAAGCGGCGGGCTAGTATGGCTGTGGCGTCAGCGTCGACCGACGGATCGCCGCCCGGCTCGCCAGCAGCTGCGAGGTGCGGCAGCGCATCGAGGAGCGCAGCCTCGACAAGCGGACCAAGCGATGCATCCAGACGGGCGCGAAGGACTCTGGTGATCGAGAGGGCGTGGAACTGGGGATCTGTAGTCGGGAGCGCAGCGACGGCGGAGTCGAGGTCGATTGGCGCCGAGCTGCCAGCAGGCATATGCGCCTGCGCGGCCCACACCGCCGCCTCGGCAGCCGAGCGGACATGGTGGCGGGTGATAGCCATGCCACGGGCCTCGCGGCCGTGGTCGTTCATGGCGTAGCAGTGAGAAGCAACGAGCCTGAAGAGACTGGAGGAGTGGAGTGTTGCACTAGCACAAGCATTTGCTGGTTTGGGAGGGGGGGGAGGGGGGGCGGTGAGTGACATGTAGTGCACCATTCGCACTGAACACCACCGCACCGTGGATTCCGGGCCTTGTCAGCTCAGGGTGGGCGCCGCAAGGGTCACGGCAGGCGGCTGCATGTATTACACATTTAGGAGGAGAAGCAACATGGTTTTGCAGGGCGCGAGGAAACAGGGGGCTCAGCGAGCATGCACGCTGCTGGGCATGCACGTGAAAATCAGTCTGGGTAGCCTCGAGCCAAGGTCGGAGGACGAGGTCACTGCGATGGGCCAGCAGCAGCCGGGGCAGACAACGAGGCTGTGGTGCAGTCAAGGCCAGGGAGCGGGGAGGAGTCTTTGAGCTCTGCGCGTGGAACTCGCGAGTTGGGATGGAGAAGGCTGCTAGCGGCGGCGTAGACCCAAAGGGCCTGCGAAACGGCATTGGCCGTCCAAAACGTCTTTCCCCGTCTGCAGCCTTGGCGCCTGCAGCGACGCGGGCGGCCTCCAACACGCGGGCCTTGGTGCGAACTCGTTTGACAAAAGCGAGATAGTACTTGGTGGTGAACTTGATCGGGCCGAGCGGCGGTGATGTGATGGCCTTGGCCATGGGCGAGTCCAAAAACGGGACCAGGTCCGGAGCGTAGACGGAGAGCACAGCCGAGGCTGATGCTGGGCCGATGCCAGACAAGGCCGCCACCGAGTTGATGGCTTGCTTGATGGCAGCAAGCGTCGAGTCGTCATCGGCACAAGAGTATTCGTACTCGTAGAGGACTTTCTTGGACGAGTCGGCGACGCGCTTAAGGGCAAAGCAGCCCTTAACGGTGGCATCCAGGACAGCGAGCTCATCGTTGGAGAGGGTGAGAGCCTTGTTGCGCGGGCGCCACGTCCCGCGCATCATCTTCCATGTCACAATGTGGCCAAGCTCTTCGCGAGAAAACCACGGCTGCGGCTCGCGCATGGCGATCCTGCGTGGAAGAACGTTGGCCATCCAGGCGTCGAGTTCGACAAGTCGCGGCGAGTCGACACGTGCCGCCAGGTGCAACGGGTACGCCGCAAGGTATGCGGCCCAGACTGACTCGTCGTCGCAGGTCCACAAATCGATGTCTGTGGGTAGGCAGCCTGCCGCCAAGGCCACGCCGAGCTCGCCAGCATCCTTGATTGGGGCAGGGCCGCTGGTGCTACCTCCAGAAAGCTGTCCGCGTGGAGAGCCTCCACTGACGTCCAGAGGCGCGCGCAATCCGCGCAGTATCTTTGATGGGCGGCTCTGTGGAGAGCCCGAGTGCGAGTCTGCGCTAGAGGGTGAGCTTGCAACCTCGCCCTTGCCTTCTCCGTCGACCGGTCTCTTGCGCATGGCCGTAGTGAGTACCGCGGGGGGGGGAGTACCCGAGAGAAGTGAGTCAGACTTTTGCCTATCACAGCCAATCAAAACCAATCAGTGTCCACTGTCCAGGAATCACCTGGGAATCACGCCCCGGTCACCCACCTAGCACGCATGCTCTGGCAGAGGTCATGCCCAAGGCCCGAGCCAGGCATTGGCTCCGGCTAGGGTCAGTCGCCGCCATACCCGCTGCAAACAACCGGAGAGCACGCATGCAGCCGAGCCGCTTGCATCCTGGGTGGAGGTGTCAAGACACTGGGGCAGACTTGGTTGTCGGAGGAGGGGGAGCGGGGGGGGCGGCTGCCGCACAATTTGCGCCGCCGCCGGGCTTTCCCGTCAGCGCGGCCGCCAGCGCCCCTGCTCACGCACACGCGACTCGTCCCTGCACAGCGGGCTCCCCCTCGGCCAAGCGTTCTGCAGAGATGAAGCGCTTGGTAGTGAGAGGCGCAGACGTGGCGTTCGTTGTGGCACTGCTGATGGCAGCGGGTGCGGTATGGCCTTGTGCACACGGAGTGCGCGCCCGGCTCCACGAGCGCCGCGGTGTGGCGCGGTGCCCAGAGGCGGGCGAAGGCGGGTACGAAGCGCTGATGGCAGCCGGACTGAGGCACGCACAGAGCAATGCAGCGCTGGCCAAAGCGTTGGCCTGCTTTGACGCGGCAGCCGCAAGCTCACCTCGGTCGCCCGAGCCGCTACGCGAGGCTGGGCTAGTTGCGGCACGGGCGGGTCGACGAGTCGAGGCACTCACGGCGCTACGCAAGGCGGCCGCGCTAGCCGACGGCAGCGGGTATGCGCATCGGGTGTACGCCGCACTCTATGACGTGCATGCAGGTTCCAATGCGTGGGATAAGGCAGCGGCAGCGATCTCCAAGGCTGTTGACCTGGCGCCGTCGTGCGTGTACTATCAGGCGCTAGCGCAGGCGCGGCTCTCGAGCGGGGACGTGCTTGGGGCGTGGAGAGCACTGGTGAATGCACGGGCGGCGCCCGATGTAGAGAGGCTTGATGCTGCGCAGTTGGTTGCGCTCGAAACCAACATCGGACGATTGTCGTCGCCGGCAGCAGTAGCAGCAGCTGCAGGCGACGAGCCGGACTCGGAGGCCATCCGCAGCCGCGGGCTCGACGCGTTTGCAGCGGCCGTGGCCGGCTCGGCCAAGGCCGGCCTCTCTTCGTCGGCCGAGCTCCACTACCGGTACGGGACGGCACTGACCGAGGCCATGGCCCGGCGACGGTGGTCGACGCTTGCCGGCAGCGCCGACGACCAGTTTGACTATGTGGACGAGGCGCTGGCGCAGTTTGACAGAGCGGCGGAAATCGAACCGAACCACCATCACGCCCGGGTCTCGGCCTTTCACTCGGCCAACTACAACTGCGTGTTTGACAAGCGTGCCGAGAGCCACCGGTATGTGGAGGCGCTGATGGAGTCGCAGCTCGCGGCAGGCGCCGATCTAACTATTACGCCCGAAATGGCGCTCCTCGCCTTTGACGGGCCGCTCCTTGCCTCGGTCAACGCACGACTTGCGACCGAGGCCGAGCGAGACCACGTGAATGCGGCGGTCAAAGCCGAACTCATGGCAGGCTGGCCGAAGGAGCCGGCCAGCGATGGGAGGATTGTGCTCGGCATCCTCAACACTTGGGGCCCGAACGCAATCATGTCCAAGGTCATGGACTGTATGGTGAGCGTGCTTGACCGAACCAAGTACCGCATTGTGCTTTTTGATCTCGGCGCAGTTCGCGGCTATCTCGAGTCATGGCCTGTCGACGAGGTGGTGTACATGGGCGCGGCAGATGGTGTGACCGGGGCGCGGGCAATCGCGTCGCGCAACGTCCACATTCTGCTAGACTGCTCGAGCATGAAAGAGCTGCGCGGTTTTTACTACACGCTCCACCGGCCGGCGCCGATTGCCATCAGCTGGCTCGGCTGGCCGACCACCTCCGGCACTTCCGCCGTCGACTACATTGCCGGCGACCCGGTGGTGCTCCCCAAGTCACCAGGCGACGCCTCGCGCGGCGCGTTTGCCGAATCGTTCCTTGTCCTTCCCTCGTACTTTGTCTCGTGCCATCGGGCCAAGTCTGCGGCGCTCCTTCCGCATCTTTCCCTCGCCAAAAGCGAGCGCAGCGGCGAGCGCAGCGCGCTCCGTGCCGAAATCGGGCTGCCGCCAGCAGGCAGCGGCTTTGTCTTTGCCAACTTTAACCAGCTGTACAAAGTTACGCCGGCGCTTCTCGATGCATGGATTGACGTCCTAGACGCTGTGCCAAGTGCCGTCCTCTGGCTACTGCGGCATCCGTTACCGGGCGAGCGGCGGATACGAAAGTACCTCGAGTCGCGCGGCATCAGCCGCGAGCGGGTAGTCTTTACCCACACCACCCAGCCAGAGGTCTTTATCCGGCGCGCTTCCGCCGCAGACCTCTTTCTCGACAACTTTATCTACACCGGCGGCGCAACAACACTCGACACGCTCTTTGCTGGCGTTCCAGTCCTCACCCTTCCGGGAAACCGGATTGTGGCGCGGATGTCGGCCTCAATTCTGACTGCCATGGAACTCGATGACGAGCTGGTTGCTTCGTCGGTGGACGAGTATGTGGCGCGAGCAGTTCACCTTGCCACCAACGTCGACGAGTACGTGAGAGTGCGCACAAAGGTCGAAGCCGCGCGCGACGCAGACAACTCGCGCGTCTTTGATGTCTCGACATGGGTGTCCGGCCTTGAGGCCGGCCTCGATGCAGTGTGGAGGGCATGGGAAGGTGAGCAGGCCAAGCCGCAGGTCGTGGATGTGAGCCAAAGACAAGCGTAGCATACTCCTCTCGCTGCGGAGCTTGCTTGCTAAACACCTTGCACCCGCTCTCGAGCGACGCGTTCTACGGTGCCGGTGGCGCAACCATTGATGGCATGACAGGTGTCTCCTTACGGCCGCGGAGCTTCTTCTTGCGCTTCTTGAACTTGCGCCACGACGAGACGCGGGACTCGCGGTCCTTCTCCCACTCTTCCTTAAACGCAGCCTCGGCCTTGCGCTTGCGCTTCTTGGCCTCTTCGCGCTCCTTGCGCGCCGCCAGCTCGGCCTCGTGCATCTGCTTGGCGACGACAGCCTCGGCCTGGGCGTCGGCGATGCGGTTGCAGATCTCAATCTGGAGCGCAGTGTCTACGTCAAACGGCGATGGAGCGCGCCGCTCACGCTTGGCAGCCTTGAGCTTCTTACGCTGTGTCCGGGTGACGACGGCTGTCGCCTCGGCAACCATCCGCTGGAACTCGGCGTACGCGCCAGACGTCGAGGTGAGCGTGTCGTACGCTGCCTTGACCGCCTCGAACGCCTCTTGAGCGCGCGCATCGTTTGGGTTTCGGTCTGGATGCACTACCAGCGACAGCCGGCGGTAGCCGACTTGAGCTCGTCCTTGGCTGTCGTCGGCGCAATGCCGAGGACCCAGAACGGGTTGAGGTTGCGGAACTTGTGTCCCGGCTGCAGGATCCGGTCTATCGTCGCCGAGTTGCCCTCCTCGGCTGCTGGGGCTGCCATTCTCGAACCGAGAGGTAGAGTTTGAAAGAGAGAGAGTGTATGGTGCCCTGTAGAGCACGACAAGCGTGAGGAGAGAGAGTGTGTGCGCGAGACGCGTGTAAGAAGTCCAAGGTCGGAGTCAGAGGGCGGTCTAGAGAGTCTGGCGTTGTTGTGCGATCGCGCGACTCATAGGTTTTGTACTGTTCAGTCTTACTGGACAGGAGGCGAGCCAGCGACTCGTTCGGATCGCGAGCCGAACCGCAGACATGGAAACTTGTTAAAATTCAAACAAAAAGTCGTAAATATATTCATTCTATATATTCCATACCGTACTAATACAACAGTTTTGTACATTGTGTTATATATACAAAAAATTATATTATTACGCACATAAAAATATAACTGTATAGTTGAGACAGCATTAGTCTAATCAGATGCCGATTTGGGCCTTTTCGCATGTTCCCTCTTGCCGCGCGTGATACATGTTACTTGCAGGCACATACTACACTAAACTACATAGCGCATAGCCTTGGCTATGGGATGGAGCTATGTACAGTTTGGTGGCTTCTATGTATCGCGAAAAATCGTTGAAAATGCAGTCTCTATCCAAACTCCACCACGGCTCTCCTCTGACTTTATCAATGCCGGCAGCCGAGCTTGTGACACCGAGGCCTAGCTCCGGCTCTCGGCCGAGTCCGAGCCATTCTCATAGTCAGGCAATATCGGAAACATGCCGACGCCGTCCGAGTCATCGCTCCTGGTCTCGGAGCCGTCGTCGAGGGCGGTAGTGTAGCGATCAACATCACGGCCTGGCCCAGTGCGGTAGGGCAGTGGCTCGCGAACAACGCCAGCAATGTCCATGTCATCAAACGGCGAGATGGACGGCCACTCGGCAGCAAGAGGGAGCTCAGGGTCAAAGGCTTGGAAGAGCAAGCCGCGGATCCAAACCGGCGGCTGGTTCTTGGCAACAACGATCGCAGCAAGTGTCGGGACAGGCGCCGGCGTGAGCTCGTACTGCGCAGAGAGAACAATGTTCGAGGTGCGCAGCGCCGAGATGCCTTGCGGATGCAGCTCCCACGCGCCGCCATGCGTCGCCAGCGCCCGCCGGGTGAGGCTCGCAGGCGGATCGATGGGCGGAAAGACCGCCCGCGACGATGCGTACTGCGCATAGCCCGGCGCCACATATCGGCGGATGCGAACAGCGTCTGAGATCAGCTCGAGTGTCTGCCCGCGGCCCGCCGTCCACCGGCCGGTCACCACCAGCTGGTCATCGGCCAGCGTCGCCCCGTCACCGTCCTTGGTCGCGCTCCAGAGCTTGAGCACAAACACGCCAGGCGGGCGGAAGAAGAGCAGGCGGAGCCCAAACCGGGTCCACGCCCTGTCGCCCGACACAGACTCGCTGTAGTCGCCAAAACACAGCCTCTGCCCGCCAAACACGCTCACAGCGTCGGCGGCAGGCACCGACTTGGTGAGGGCTCGTGCGAGGCTGTCGACGACACCACCGCCGCCAACTGCGTCCGCCCGCCGCCGGCGGTCACCACCGGCAAAGTCGTTGTTGTCAAAGTGCACCGTCTCGCCCACACCTTCCTCCGGGGGTGGCTGGTCCTCGGTCCCAAACATGACCGAGAGGAACGAGCCCATGCCAGGTGAGTAAGGAAGACGTGTCTGCTCGCCCTCGCGTCAGGCGGTCAGGTCTGGAGGTTGATTCCGATCCAAGGCTCTCGATCCGACCACTTGGTTGGCTTTACTTCACCTCCGCTTCTTCTTGTTCTTCTTGTTCCGCTTCTTGTTGTTTTTCAGCTTACCACCGCCGTTTCCGCCGTTGTACGTGTCGTCGGAGGCAGCAGCGCCCTGGGTCGAGGTGTTGATGTTGCGGCCGCCGCGGTTGCGGCGCCCACGCGAGCGCGAGTTGCGGAAGTTGGGCCGGTCGCGCATGGGGGTCCACCGGTGCGGGTTGGGCGCGCGCGATGGGTCAAAGTTCTTTGCCGGCGGGTTCTTCTTCTTCTTGCGCTTGCGAACGAGCTTGGCCGGGCGGGCAGTCGATGCGCTGGCAGCGCCGGCGGCAGCCGACGAGTCGGCGGCGTCGCCCGACGTCGCTGCGCCAGCCTCCGACTGCTTGCCCTTGCGAGCTCCGCTCGTCCGCTTCGGGGCGCCGAGGACAGAGGCGATGAGCGCGTCGGCATTGCCTGCAGCCGGTGTCGGCTGCGGGAGGGCGGTGGCGGCGAGCTCGGCCTTGTCGGGGTCGGCAAAGGCGAGAGCCTTGACAAGCTTGGCCCGGAGGAGCTGCGAGTTCGGCGCAAGATCCAGGAGCTTGGAGAGCAGAACCGTGGCCTGCGCGGCCTTCCCGCGCCCGAGCAGAAACTCGGCGGCGCCCTCAAGGAGCTCGGGGCAATCACCATTGGCCTCGACCGCGGTCTCGATGACCTCGAGCGCGCCGGCGGCATCGCCGACTGCCTCCAACAGCGCCGCGTGCGTGCCGACAAACGCGGGTGTGTACCGAATCTCGTCAAGTCCCTCGGCGGCAAGCATCTCAAGCACCTCGTCCCACTTCTTGTTGTTGTACGCGTTCTGCGCCGCCACCAGGAGGCTCGCGGTCTCGTCGACATCGCGCGCTGCCGCCAGCGTCGCCTCGACCTTGCTCATCTTGTTTTCGCGCGCATACAGCGTCGCAAGGATAAAGAGCGGCGTCACAAGCGTCGGCTCGCCCTTGCGCATCTCGTCGATGAGCGCCCGGCACTGCTCAAACTTGCCCATGTACATAAACAGCAGCGCCCGGTTGAGCGCAATTGCCTGCTGCTGCGCCTTGGTCAGCCGCCGCCGCAGCACCTCGGCCGACGCCTTGGACGACTTCTTCATCGAGTCAAACAGGTCAGCCGTCTGCCGCAGGCACGTGATGTTGTTGTTTGCCACCGCGAGTACCGTGTCGTCGTTCAGCGACGCCTCCACTAGCTGCGCGTACACCGACGCCGCCTCCTCGCTCCGCCCGCTCAGCTGGTACACGTAACCCAGCTGTGCACGGATGACTGCAACCTCTTCCTCGATCTCGTCCTCGGTAAACCCATCCCCTGCAAGCACCTCGGTCGCCACGGAAATCGCCTCGTGCAGACCGGCCTCTGCGCCCGCAAGGTCGCCCGCCGCAATCGCACGTGTCGCTTCGTTGTAGAGCAGCTCAAACCCTTCGCGCGCCTCCTTCTTGCTCAGCTGCAGATCCATGCTCGAGCCCACAGTCGACGCCGCGTAGTTGGCCTTGAGCTCAATCGGCACCGCTCCGTAGTTGGGATCAAGCAGCAGCGACCGGTACAGCATCAGCGCCTCGTCGTACTCCTCCAGTTTGTACAGCACCTGCGCACGGAGCTCCTTGAACGGAATAGCCTCACCCTCGGACGCCTCCAGCGACGAGAGCAGCTCGCGTGCCTCCTCAAACGCAGACTGCCGGTACAGGCAGTACGCATGCTCAAACGCAAGCTCCTTCGAGAGCTCCGGTGTGAACAGGTCCGCAGCCTTATCTGCCTGCCGCTCCAGGAGCAGCAGCGAGATGTACGCCCATCGCGTCTCCTTGCACGGGTCGGCCTCAAACACTGAACGGTCGCCCACCGCCTCGCTCACCCGTGAGTGGACCTCGCACGCTCGTCCTCTCGCCCTCTTCTTTCTCCCTCCAGCCACAACTTGGCTCTCCTCTGTACCCACCCCACCCCGCCTGCCCTTCCTTGCCTTGCACCTCCCCACCGCCTCGGCCACGACGGTCAACGCCGCCACCCGGCCCGGTTCCCTGCCCCTGACCTCGAAAATCAAACAAGAGGAACACGGACCGCTTGCCCCCTCCCCTCCTCCTTCCTCTCCCCTCTCCAAACATACGCTGCTTGCACACAGAGAGCGCAGCCTTGTACGCGTGGTTCTCGATGTGGTGTTGGAGCTTCTGGTACTTGGCTGCCGTTCCCGACATCCTGCTCCACCTCGTCGAGTCGTGTGGCCACTCCCGCCGCGACTACCCTCCCCACCCCACCAGCCGCCCTCGCCCACCCAATTCGCAGCCGACTCCCGGTCTCCGGCCACCGCTCTCCCGTCTTGCCCAGCCATGTCGTTCTCGTTCTCTGGCCCAGACTACAAGGGCACCGAAGAGTCGACCTTCCCGCAGGCACGCGTCCGCAACATCATGAAGGCCGACCCCAACGTCAAGTCGGTCTCCTCTTCGGCCCTCTTCCTCGTCTCTCGTGCCACCGTAGGTGTTACCCTCCCCCCCTTCGCTTGTCCCACGTAGATTCATTCTCATTCACTCTCTCTTCCCCCCACCCCGCCACCACCACTCACCCCGGGCCACCCACGTCCCTCGCCGGCACCTGTGTGGACTGCAGGAGATGTTCCTTGAGCACCTCACCATTGCCTCTCTCCAAAACGTTGCACTGCGCAAGGAGGGTGGCAAGAAGACCATCATGTATCAGGACGTCGCCGCGGCTGTCCGCGAGCGCGACGAGCTCGAGTTCCTGGACGACATTGTTCCCGATCCCATCACGGTCGAGCAGCTGGAGGCCACCCGTGCAGAGTATCCTCTTCTGCCTACCTCGACCGCTACCGAGGCGGCTGGCGCACAGCCTGCTGCTGCATCCACGGCAGGCGCGGCAGCCTCCACATAAACCACGCGTTTACCAACAGCTACGGGTACAGGATGCGCGCAAAGAGCTCGTCATGAGCGCGATGGGCCGCCATACGCGCAATCCACGCCGGCATCGGGTGGGAGCGTCCTGGCATGCTCGCAAAGAGCGCGGGCTTGGCGGCAAGGACGCGCTCAAACGCCGCGCGGCCGAGGGCGGAGACCTCGTCGTCGCTGATCGGCACAAAGCCGCCGAGCCGCGCCACAGCCGGCGCCTCTTCACCGCGCCGGCGCACGAGCCGGACCGAAAACTCGATAGTCCGCTCCATCACTTGCGCCACAAACTGCGGCTTGAAAACTGCTAGCGCCCGCACGTGGCAATAGAGCTTCATCGCCGCGAGTACAAAGGCTTGGAAGACGTTGAGAGCCACCGTCTCGCGCGAATTGATTCCTCCGTCCAGCAGCAGCGCCACCAGCCGCGGCTTCATGTACTGATACATCTTGTCCTGCAATGAGAGTGCACTCGGCCCGCTCGCACCGAGACTCAGCGACTCGGAGACGTGAGTTCCGAGGTACCGCCCGTAGTCGGCGCGGACCTCGCCACTCGCCATCGAGAGGAACAGCCCACACCACGGGAGGAACTGCTCGTCAGCAGACTCGTCGACAGCGCCTGGCAGGACCACAAGACTCTTGCTCTCTACAGCCGTGCATGGAAAGCTCGCCGTCGTCTTACCGCCATGAACCTCAACGCCGTACACCTTGACCCGCTCCGAGTGCATCCGCGCCACAAACGCGCGCGCTGCGTCGGCGTTTGGCGTGAGAAACAGAAAGTCGTCGATGAGGTGCAGAAGGAGGGCAGGCCCGCCTGCAGCCTCGAGGCCGGCAAGGACTTTGGCGTGCAGATCCGCGTAGACTCGCGAGCAGAGAAAGGCCGAGAGAACCGAGCCCTGCGGAATGCCCTTGATCTGCCGGTACATCCGTGAGTTGAGCGAGACGTAGTTGGCCGTGACGTGCTCGCGGATGCGCTCTTCCAGCTCGCGCGCCTCCTCGGTCGAGTACACCACGCCGTCGGTAAAGACCGTGTTCCGCCCGCGCGGCGCCAGTGACTCGCTTGCCAGTTGGCCAAATGGCGTAAACTCGTCGCTCGGCCGTGCCCGCCGGTGCCACCGCGTCCGGATCGCCCCGCCACCCACGTACGTTGACGAGTACCGGAGCACTGTGTACGCCTCTTCGCGGAGAAGCTCGCCGGTTGCACGCACCACAACCTCGTGCGGGAGCGAGTCAAACGCGCCCGACACATCCAGCGCAACCGCAAAAAGCTTGCTACCCTCGGCTCGCTCGCCTAGCACTCCAGAGAGCCTTGCGTCGGCCACAAACGGCTTGTACTTGGCGTACACGTCCGAGTAGCCAAAGACCGATCCGCAGAGCAGCGACTCGTCGTCAGCCCGCGCCCGCTCAAAATTGAGAACCTGAAGGACCGGGAGCAGCGCCTCGTTGACACTCTTCACACGTCCAAACTTGCTCCCACTCGCGCTCGTCCGCACAAGAGCAGCCTCGGCGCCGCTCGGTTGCCGTGACAGGTTCATGATCGGCCGCATCGCCTTGGCCTTGGGCAGGAACCGCAGCGAAGCAAAGCCAAAGCCACGACGCGCCACCGCCGCACCAGCCTCAGCCGGCGACGCTGGGGCAAGAACGCTCGTCTCCAGTTCGCGAGTCGCCAGCTTGACAAGTCGAGCCCACACTGCGTTGCGGTAGTAGAAGATCCGCGCCTTGTGCGCGGCAGACTCGGTGACGTAAAAGTGGTCCGCAAGCAGTGGCACCACAAGGCCGTCAAACACAAACCGCACCACCCGCCGGAGGGCGTCTCGCCCGAGCCCGACGACCTGAGCCAACCAAGAGCCCTTCACCTTGGTCGCCATTCCTTCCATCGCCCATCCGAGGCCAAACGTCTCGTGCCGGTTGCCGCATACAAACTGTGCCACCTTGCCCATCAGCACTCGCCAGTTGGCCTGGCCGCCCACCAGTTCGCGCGGCAAAATGATGCCGAGCACGCACTGCACAAACGACACTACTGAACTGTGTGGCGAGAACTGACCAAGCAGCTCGCGCATGCTCGCATCCTCGCCGTCTGCACTCCGCCGCTCGGGGTTCGCGCAATGCTTCTCGAGGCACGCTTGCCAGCACACCCGGCGGGCCCGCTGCAGCATCTCGCCTACCAGTTGGCGGAGCAATGGCGACTTGGTCACGCGCCGTGGCGCTCGCCCGGTCTCGGACTGGCTGCTGGTTCCGCTCCGCACAAGCCAGCCAGTGTGTGGACCGTCATTGCCGAAAATCATGTCGATAGCCACAAGTTCCTTGCCTTTGCCAACAAGCACGCAGTGCTGCGGGTGGAGCCCCGGGCGCGGGCGAAACTGCTGTCGGTAGAAGATCCGTATGCGCTCGAGGAGGACCCGCGGCTGCACCCGGCGAGGCCGCGCCCCGCTCTCCTCGACTTGCGTGTCACTGCCGAGTAGCTTGGCTCGCTTCCGCCGCTTGCGCCGTGCAGCGGCCCGAGTCAAGCTAGGCCTCGCACTCGCGCCAGTTTGCAGCTGCTCTTCGCTGCCTCGTCGCACCCGCTTCCGCGTTCGCGCTCGCTTGCCACTGGCAGGTGGAGCCAGTTCACCACCGACAGACGGTCTGGTCCGCGCTGCCCAGATCCGCCGCGTCAGTGGCTCGCCTGCAACCTGCAGGTAACACTTGTTCTCGAGCGCGGTAAAGAGCGAGGTGAAGAGCAGGAGGAAGACCATGGCGTCGTCGCCAATCCGTGCCAGCAAGGCACGCCACGGCTTGGCGCACAGCGTCATGTGCAGCGTGTTGGGGTAGTGGCACTCGACGCCGTACACACCAACAATGCCGCGCCCGGCAGAGTTCCCGCTCAGCCGCCGGTGCCCGAGCGCAAGCACATGGTGCGTGCCCCAGAACGAGTCACTGCTTTCGCGCTGTCGGAACAGCTCCGTCAGCACCACCTTGAGAACTTGCAGCATGTGCCACGCCGGTGCCACACTCTCGCTGCACGATCCGCGCTCCGAGAGCACCGGCGCAGCAGGCGTCTTGTCGTCCCAACACACCAGCGTCGTATCCAGCAGCTGACCTACTCCGCCGTCGTCGGCCACTCCGTCGTCCACCTCCCGCCAGCCCATGACCTCGACGAGGTACCTCCCCAGTCTTGCCCTGTGTTGGTACGTTTTGCGCAGCACCTGGATCGTTGTCCCCTCCTCGGTCCCAGCTCGTGGCATCGCCACGAGTCGAGCACCAGCCGCGCCGCCGCCATCGCCCATGCGCCGCCGAGCACTACGCCAAGCACCACAGTCGCAGTCAGCCTCGCCACCCGGACCAGCCTCGCCACTCGAGTCCGCCTCGCGCACTCCCCCCGCGCCCACCTCGCTGCTTTCAGCGAGAGGTGTAGGTGTAAGGTTGGCGGCGCAGGGTGTGGTGTGGGTGTGGTGGCGTATTGCTGGTGTTGGGGACACAGGGTGGGCCCAGCCCCAGCCACCACCTCTCTCCCCCCCCCCCCCCCCTTCCTCCTCCCCCTCCTCCTCTTTGTTCTTGTCCGGCTATGGCCAGCGCTGGTGACGCCACGGGTGCCCCACTCATCGTGTCGGACACGTTCCAGGTGGTGCCGCCGGCCGCCGGCTGCCGCTGCGCCAAACTGCCGTCCGGCCGGTGCTCTGCCTGTGCCGTCCCGCATGCCATGTACCTGGAGAACCTGCCGTCCGAGCGCGGTTGGTTTGCCGGCTATCTTCTTGCCGGGCACGCCTCCTCGCCGGTCGACGTCTTCTACCTTGCCGACTCGCTGCCTGACGCCGAGTCTGCTGCCGACTGGCACCCATCGACCCATGCCGCAGCCACACCGTACGCCTTTATGCTCGCCTTTGAGGGCGATGTTGCTGGCACCAAGGGCGGATCGCCAGCTGTCGTCCGAGTTGTTCGATGGGCCGCCTCGGGATGCTCGTACTTTCGCCTCGCGCTCGCCAAACGCAAGAAGAAGGCCCGCGCCAATCTCAAGGCTATCCTTGCTGCGCTGGACCCACCACTTGCTACCCGCGCCTCCGCCTTTCACCATGCCTTGCTCCCAATAAGCAACGACGAGACTGGTGAGGAGGACACAGATTTGGCCAAGCTGCTAGCCTCGGCTAAGCGCGACTTTGCCGCTGTCGAGGTCGAGACGGTTCCGCACCTGCTCAAGATCGGCGTGCTCCTTGCTTTGCCTGGCCAGGTGGACCAGAGCGAGATCTTGGGCAACAGCCAGGCGACGCCGGCCTTTGCCGAGTTTCTGGATTGCATCGCCGAGCGGGTTGCGCTCGCCGGCCTCGAGCGCTGGCACGGCCGCCTCGACGCCTCGGGCCTCGACCGCACCGGGACGCATACGTATGTGACAACATGGAAGCCGCACAACGTCGAGGTCTTGCTCCATGTCGGGACCGAGCTGCCAGACGAACCAAGCTCCACCCAGCACATCGCCAAGAAGCGCCACATCGGCAATGACCGTGTCATTCTCGTCTTTGTTGACGACGAGTCGTCGGCGTCGTCGTTTGATCCTAGCACAGTGACGACAGCCTTTGGCGCCGTCTTTATTGTTGTCCAGCCACTGCCGCGCAGCCCGACAGCACCGCGCCGGTACCGGGTCTGGGCCGCGACCAAGTCAGGCATCCCTCCTTTCCTGCCGCTCCTCCCACCGTCGCGGGTTGTTGCTGCCGCGCACCTCCGCGCCGTCATTCTCTCGCTTGCTTACAACGGGCGCGCCGCATCATGGACGGCGCAAAGAACAGCCGACACCACCCGGTTTCTCCTTACCATGGCCTTTTGCAAGCTTCGGGCCATCTCCCACCCAGCCGAGCGCGCCGCGCTGCTTGCGCCCCGGTCGGCAGCCATGTCGTCAGCGTACACGCCGGCGCCACCGTCAGACTGGCCTGTCCAGCGGCGGCCGGTTGCCACCGTCGCTCTTGCACCTCCGCTTGCGGTCAACCCTGCGTTCTCGATTCGCCCGCTCAAGGGCCGACTTGCCTCCTCGGGACTCAAGACTGGCCTCGAGGTTACCCCGCTCTGTGACCTCGTCGATGGCTACGCCGCCGTGACCGGCCTCGGCCTCGTCTCGTCGGTCTCGGGCGAGCCCGTTTTTCGCGCCGAGCTGGTGAGTCATCTGCGGACGTGGCGCTCGTCTGCGTCGGCCACCTTTGTTCTCGCCTTTCTCGCCGGCAAGTCGGTGGCCAAGGCCGAGCTCCACATTCTCTGGCTTGCATCCGGCTCGAACCCGACACCTGTGGTCAGCAGCGTGCCAGAGACACGCGGCGCGCATGCGCTCGCACTGGTGAGCAATCCTGACCGCCGCAAGGACGGCTTTGTCCTTGCCATCGGCCTACCCAAGCATCAGCTGGCGCTCTTTGCTTCGGACCCGGCCTCCAAGTCTGTCCGTCGCTTTCACGTCGAGGACGTGCCCGGCGCCGTCACCTCCCTCGCCTTTCACCGCACACTCCTCTTTGTGGGCCTCGACAACGGAGTCATCCTCCGCGCAAATCTGGCGACCGGCCTTGAGTTTGTTCCGCTCGCGCTCAGCAATCCGCCGTCAGCCGCAGTCTCGTTTCTCGGCGTGGCACCTACAGCTGCCGTCCTGGTCGCCGGCTACGACGGCGGCATGAGCCTCGGCATCCCACTTGCGGCCGATCCTCGTCAGCGGGTGGCCTCACTCTGGCGCAATCGGCCCTCCACTCCCGAGCCGCACTATGCCGTGTTTGGCCAGTCCGACCTCGTGCTCGTTGCCGGCGACTTGGCCCTCGATGTCTACGCGGCGCTTTCGGGCGCCCATCTAGCGTCGCTCATCGAGCCTGCCACTGACGCGAGCATTCCGTCGCCGACTCGTCTCGCCGCCTACCGTCTAAGCTCGCAGCCTGCGCCCACGGCCACCGTCTTTGCCTGGGATGCGGAGGCCAAGGCCACACGCATCTGGCATGTCACCACGGTTGACTCGGGCATCACCGACGAGCGCCCCGGCCGTGGCAAGATCACGCGGTTTGCCGAGGCCGAGCCTCAATTTGAGCCTCAGCCTGCGGCCGAGGCCGAGTCTGAGGCAGAGGCAGAGGCGAAGACTGAGGCCGAGGCCGAGACTGAGGTCGAGTTCGAGCCTGGCAGTGGAAACCATGGTGTGCTTGTTGTCGACGCGGACCAACCGCTGGTCATGAGCTCCAACTCAATCTCGCCGCCATTATCGCCGCCACTCTCCCCATCGTCGGCATCGCTTCCTAGCCCTGAACCTCGTCAAGTGCTGTCGCCTTCATCGCTGCCTGCGCCTGCGCTCGTGGAGCAGAGCGAGACCAGAGCTGAGCGGCGGTCGCGATCGAAACGTGCCAAGCGTGGATACGAGGTTGTGGAGCTTTTGGCTGCGCCGCTGGCGACCAGTCATGGCGACGCTGTCGCAGCAGCTGCAGATGCCGACGCTGACGAGACTGAATCGTCTTCGTCGGCAAGCATGCCCGAGTGTGGACTGTCGTCGATTAGCGGTTTGTCGTCTGGAGGACGAGGCCCGAACTCGCAGAGCCCGGACGAGTCTGATGCCAGCGACATTGTCGTTGACGTCCCTCTCACGCCCCCGCCTGCCGAGCTCCACACTCTTGCCTCGCGCTACTTTATCCCTCCGACGACTCGGTTTGAGGAGGGCTCGCCACTGCACGACCGCGAAATGGAGATCCTCAAAGTGGCGCGGCAGCGCGAGCTGGCCGACCAGATGCGGGCACGCATCATGCCCGCGGCCGAAATTGCGTCGTCGCCCCTGAGCCTGCGGCAGCCCGACGACTCACCGCCACAAGCTCAAGCTGCGCCCAAGCTACTCGCACGCGAGGCCGAGACGGCACAACCCACGCCAGAAGGACGGCGGCGGATCCGGCGGCGGCGCGCTTTGCCGGCTACGGCCTCGGCCTCGGCCTCGGCATCACCGTCGGCGGCAGCGGCAGGGGCGGTAGCTCCAAAGCCGGCTCGCCGGCGTCCCCCTCTGCTCCCAGCTCGCCGGTCGCCAGTGTGCGGTATGACACTCGTGGCGCAGGCATTGCCAACAAGTACCGGCTGGACACTTCTCGGGCGCTTGGCATTCTGGCGTCGATCCGCCGGGCGGTGGCGGATGCCGATCTTTAACTCTTTCACCGCACCTTGGCGAGTTACAGTGTAAAAGTGTCCGTAACCACACCTTCCAAGTCGGGCGAGGTGTCGATGATGTGGAGGTTGCGGTAAGGCCGTGAATTTTGCAGCGGCGGCGCCCAAGCCGCAAGAGACTTCAGAATTGCGTCGAGCTGCGGACGGAGAGCCGTGGCGGTGTCGGTGAGGACGACCAGAGCGACGCCACCACCCATGGCGCCAGTGAACATGCCTCCATGCGAGAGGCCAGCAGTCTTGAGCTGGGAAAACAGCTCGAGGAGAACCTTGCCCGAGGCATCGGTGTCATAGATCGACGACACCGCGCCGGGGTCGATGATGGCGCGGAGGCCCATGTACGCTGTGAAACACTCACCGAGCTCACGGATGCGGCCAAAGCGAAATGCCTGCACAATGTGGGCATGGATGCCGAGCGAGGCCACGATGGCGGCGTACGGCTTGCCTTTCCGCCGCAGATACGACATGTGTCGGGAGTTGAGCCCGCGCCGATAGTCGAGCACAGCCGTTCGCTGGATGCCTGTGTCGACAACTAGCAGACTCTGGGTGGTGGCCCGCTCGGCGGCCTCAGAGACCCAGCCAACGGTGCACGGCAGGCTGGGTACAAGGACCGTTTCTGTCGGTGCGTAGTGGAGGAGCTTGAGGCCAGGCAGAACGCCGTCAACGTCCTGGCGACCAGACTTGAGGCCAAGGACGTTCTCAAAGAGCAGGACATGCGAGCCGAGGAGGATCGGATCGTCGGCGACGGCGCTGCCGCACGCGGCATAGAGTGCGCCGAGAAGGTTGACGGCGACGGCCGACGACGAGGCAAAGCCGGAGCGCGACGGGCCGGAGTTGATGATATCAACACAGAGCGCGTAGGCGCCGCCAGCATTGGGTGCTCCCGTAAATGCAGCGAGCTGTTCGAGGATGGGTGCGGTTCTGCGGCGAATGACGATGCCCGTAAACTCAAGGGCAAAGCGGAGGAACCTCAGCGGGTCGTTGGGATCGGAGGACATAAACGCATCGCTCTCGCAAGTCACGCTCGGCTCGACGTCGGTGACGGCGGCGACGGCACGGGTCATGGCGGCGGCAACGCTAGGATTCTCGAGTGCCGATTCGGGCACCAAAAGCGCGCTCACACGTTCGCCGGAGCCGTTCCAGTGGGTGGTGGTCAGGCAGAGGCCTGGGAGTGGGGCCTGGACCCTGGAGACTTTGGCGCATAGCGGGCGGGTACCATTGATGTTGACAGCCATGTTGAGGACCGAGCCGCCGCCGAGCTTGGCGGACGTCCAGTTGTCAGATGCGTTGGCGGATGAGATGCCAATCCGCATACCCGACATGGAGACAACACCAGACTTGGTGTCGTCGAACCAGCGCGGGCCGCTGGAGCTCTCATCGGGAGCGGCGGCGGCGGCCATGAGCGACTCGTGGACGTCGTCGACCTCAACACCGTTGGCCGCCATGAGGAACGGGTTGAGGAAGCGGAAGAAGGCCTCCTCGTTTGGCTGCTCGGTCTCGGGCTCGCGGGAGGCGTCATCCACGTCTGCGCTACCAGCGCGCTCAGCCTCAGCGACAGCCTCAAAGGAAGCGACCAGCTCGGCCGAGAGCGCCGGGTTACTGCGGCCGCATGCCTCGAGCGCGGCGCGCAGAAGCGCACTGACCCGGGCATACTCGGCAAGCGAGACACTGAGCTCCTCGAGCGCCAGAAACTTGCGCAGCGCCCAGGTGACGTCAGCGACAGCCATGATCAGGCGCTGCTGGAGGAGACGGCCGCGCCCCGAACTCAGCTCTGCGCGAAGTAGTGCAGTGAGGCTCTCATAGATGGTGCTGGCAAAGGTGCCAACGGCACCATCGACATTGGCAAAGGAGGCGACGAGGTCGGCGACGCTCGCCTCGACCGCCAGCTCGCCGTCGGCGGCGACAGCGTCGGCGATGGCGGTGGCAGCGGTGGCGGCGTGGGTGCCGGGTTGCTCGCCCAGCCAGCGCTCGACCATGCCAAACCGCATGACCTCGACCGCGATCGGCCAGTAGACGTCGAGCGGCGGGGCGTGGGGATCAGAGGCCGGGACCGAGAGCTGCAGCACCCGCAACTGGGCCATCGAGACCCAGTCGGCGAGCGAGACGCCACGGTTGAGCGTCCGCAGCGTGTCTTTGGCGAGGATACGCAGCGCAGCGTCTGTCGCCGACGAGACAATGTCAAACAGGCCGCCAGCCACGCCGCCGACCACTGACTCGCCTGCATGGACCGAGACATCGACGAGGTGCGAGGGCGAGGTGCCAGCGCCAGCGCTGGTCGGCCTGACAGCAGCGGGAGGGGCGATGCCGAGGGCGGTGAACCGCGGAGCAGACGTGCTATGCTCTGCACCATCTTCTGCGGCATGTTCTGCCGAAGCGCCGCAATGGCTATCGGCCACGGCGCGAGCAACAGCAGCTTCAAAGGCAGCCAGGTCGAGCGAGAGAGCGGCCTCGACGCGTGCAAGGGCATGTCCAGGCATGCCCCACGCCGCCTCGCTGAAAAACTCGGTGCCGGTGGCAAACGGCAGGACTTGGTACCGCAGTACATCCTGCAAGGCTGTGCCGTCAAGGCGCTGGGGCACGGAGCGTGCCGTGTCTGCCATGGGGAGAGTGGGTGCAGTGGTGGAGGCTGGGAGGCGACGTTTCCTGCTCGGCGTGAGGCTGGCGGCGTGCAAAAGGCGCACCGACGTGGCATGGCTTGTGCGTGTGCCGGTGTGTGTGTGTGTTACGCCACTACGGCTGGGAGGGGGTGGTGTCGCTCACGTACCCACGACATCGTCGTGACAACGACAATGCAAAGGGATCGAGAGCAGGTAGGCTTCGGGCCGCTGAGCGGCACCGGCCGCCGCCAGGCACGGCCTGCCCCGATGCATCTGCATCCGTTGCTGCGCACAGAGCGCTAGCGCGGGACGAGAGCGGTAAGGAGGAGCGTGGTGGCAGGACCGGAACGCGCAAACAGCAGGTCTGATCAAGGTTGAGCGATGGAGGGGACGGTGTGGGCTTGCGCAAGTCGGTGGTCTCTCCAAATTGAAGGCCAGCCCGGGACGGGCCGCCAAGAGTGAGCCCCGTTGAGGTACCGGGAGGGAGGGATCGGGGCTTGTGCGATGTGCAGAGTGCGTCAGACAGGCGAGCCGCTGGCGATCTGTCCGCAGTCTGCCGTGCGCTCGGCGGACGCGTCGCAAGCCCACACCTTGAGCTTTTGACGACGCCGCGCCCGCGAGCGGACAGACAGACGATACAGAGCAGGACCAGAGGCAAGCCCTCGGCAGCAGAGCGCGAGTCGCAGCCCGAGCCCGAGCCGCTGCCCGCAGAGGAGCAGCGCCCGGCAGGCGCAATGACTTTGCTACGACAAAGCGAAAACGGCGGCAGCAGGACCCCACACGAGCTCAGCCACAAGGGCGTCGTTGCTCTGGGAGGTGTCGCCACCTGTTCTGAGGGTACCGTTTTGAGGGCTGCAAGAGGCGGCGGTGGCAGCAATGGCGACAGGGGGGGGGGGGGGTGAGGGGTGAGGCGGGGGTGAGGCGGGGGGGGGGGAGGGTGCGTGTGTATGGGAGGCGCGGCTATATTTCATACAATCTCGCACCATCCGCAGACAGACGAGAGGGCGGGGAGGGAGGGGGAGGGGGAGGGGCGAGGGGAGGGGGGGGACGTACTGAGACTTTCTCTCGTATGTCCGGGGACTTTCCCCGAAGGGAGGGGGGAGAGGCCCGCCCGAAGGCGTCCTCTCGTGTGTGTGCCTTCGAATGCGCCTCTTCGGCGCCCGTGTGGCCGACCCAATTGTGTAGAGGAGACGCCAAAAGTGACAATTTTTGTTCGCCAACCAGACCACCATCGACGGTGCTGGCTCGAACGGATTGGCGCTGGGCAAGGGGGGGGGGGCAGGGGGGGGCATTGCCGAACAAAGTGCGACCTGCCGCCGGCAGTCGGCCCCACAGCTGGCCAAGCCAAGGCTGGACAACAACGGACGCACACACTCGAGAATCCGCTCACCTCACTACATACATCTACACTATGTTCCGCTCGCTCGCTCGTTCGCTTGTTGCCGCTCGCCCGGCTGCTGCCTCTGCCGCTCGTACGCTTCCACTGCCGTCCCCTCTCCTGCTCCCCTACCCTCCCGCTGCGGATCGGTAGTGCGGCCATCCACCGTCCCTCTCTGCAGACCCGAGACTCACGACATACATGGCGACAGGCACCATGGCCACGACCACGGCTGCTGCCGAGTCTGGTGCGTCGTTCAACTGGGGCTTTGCTGCCGGTGCCGCGTTTGCCGGCGCTGCCGCGCTCGCCATCTCACAGTACTCGGGCGAGTCGTTCTCCACCATGTCCGCGGCGGCCGACGTCCCTGTGGCTGGCCTCCCCGGCACTAACCAGGAGCGCTCGTTCTTCATGGTCAAGCCCGATGCTGTCCAGCGCGGCCTTGTGTCCGAGATCATCGGCCGGTTCGAGAAGCGTGGCTACAAGATCGTGGCCATGAAGATGGTCACGCCGTCGCGCGAGCTCATCGAGGCTCACTACGACGACCTCCGCTCGCGCCCGTTCTTTGAGGGTCTCTGCAAGTACATGTCGTCGGGCGAGGCTCCTGTTGTCGCCTTTGTCGTCGAGGGCAAGGGCATCATTAAGGTCGGCCGCGACATGATCGGCGTCACCGACCCGCTCAAGTCTGCCCCGGGCACCATCCGCGGCGACACTGGCGTGAGCATTGGCATGAACTCGATCCACGGCTCCGATGGCGTCGAGGGCGCTGCCTCCGAGATCCCGCTCTGGTTCTCGCAGGACGAGATCGCCAACTGGAACAAGACCGCCGACAAGTGGATCTACGAGTAGACGTGCGTACGCGCTCTCCGCCGACCCGTGGCCGCGGCCGCTTTCTGCAGCCTCTGCCATTGGAATACACACATCCGGTTTCTGACCAGCGTCCGACCTCTTTCTCCCCTCTCCGCCATCCCCTTTCGTGGGTTTTGTCCTCGGTGCCAGTCCCATCACGCCTTTTGCTTCAAGCCGTTCCGGTTCGCCAGGCCGAGTGCGGTCAACATGCCGCCAGGACACCGCCGCTGCTTGCAGATGCAGCACTCTGCCTGACTCTGTCTCGCCCCACGCACGACTCCTCCTCCACTCCCCCTCTCCCCCACCCCACCCCGCCACCCGCCACCATGAACCTTGACGCTGTCCGCGTCCTCGTCGTCCCGCTGGGCGGCCTCTCGCGGACCAAGTTCAAGCGCTACCTGGAGCTGCTCCGGGCTCACTCGGAAGTCGAGCTCGACGCGCTGGCCTCAACACCGACGCCGCGGAGTCAGGGCGAGGCACCGAGGCTACTAACGGCGTCGCCGAGGCCCAAGTCGGTGAGTCGGACAAGCAAGAGCAAGCGGCCGTCACTCAAGTCATTCAAATCGTCGACCAAGGCGTCGACCAAGGCGTCGGCCAAATCGTCGGCCAAGTCGTCGACAAAGTCGCACCGCCGCTCCGACTCGCGCGCCTCGGCCGCAGGTGACTCGTCCGACTCGGACTCGGGCGCGCCGGACATTGTTGTGGCGCCAGAGGTCAGCGATACTGGACCTATCTTTGCGTACCGCGCCGTCTCGGTTACGCCGCGCATCCGTTTCGAGTTTGTGGCCGATGCCGGGCCCGAGTCGCCTGTTGCCGAGCTCCACATGCACAAGCGGGTGCTTGGTGTGGTCGGCGTTGGGGCGTGCTCCGAATTGCTTGGAGACGCCGCGTATACCCGCCTAACTGCCGAGGCTGCCGCCTACCCGTTTGCGCTGCAGACCCGGGCGTATGCCTTTGACCCGCCGCTCGACTATCGCGACGACGACGACCGCTTTGTCGTCATTCCGTCCAACAGAGTCGACTTTTACGTCGATCGCCTGCTTGCTGACTTTGGTGAGGCGCTGGTCACCTCGTTTGAGGTCTCACTTGCTCACCTGCGTGACTCGCCAGCGCCAATTGTCGCACCAGCCCTCGGCCGCGACCCCGAGTCAGCCAGCAAGCTCCGCAAGCTCAAGCCCGGCCGCCTCGCGAAGATCATTGGCGACTGTGCCCTGCTCGCCGGCTCGCCGCTCGATGGCGCCGCTTACCACAAGAGAGCTATCGACCTCACTGCCGCCGCCTCTGACGAGCTCTGGCTCGCTGGTGCCCAGGAGGGCTACGCTGCCGCTCTGGTCCTCGCCTCGCAGCACGGCCTCGCATCCGACACTGACGTCGACTGTGACATTGCTGCCACCTACCGCGAGGCTATTGACCACTACGCTGCTGCCAAGCTTCGCAGCCTCGAAGTCGAGGCCCGCCTCAAGCTCGGCCTCTTTTACGCCTCCACCGGTGACACTCTTGCAGCGGGCGCCTGCATGATGGACGCCCATGCCCGGTTTCAGGACGCCAAGGCCTCTGCCGAGGTCCACGACCGCATCCTTCTCTTCAACACCATGGCTCAAGTGTTTCTTTCCATCGGCTACGCGCGCAAGGCCGCGTTCTTTCTCCGCCAGGCCGCGCTCGAGCAGGCCGACCAGGGCGCGCCCGGCACCGGCACCGCCCTCCTCGCCCTTGCAGCACCGGTCTTTGGCCTCTCGCTCTCGCAAATCAACTCGGACGCGCTCCTGCCGGGCTGGTCGCTCGCGACCCAGCAGAGCGACCCGAGCCTACCGGCGGCTGCCCCAAACGCCGTGGTGGTTCCGTTTGCAGCTTCGGCCCGCCTCTCTTGGCCATACCTGCAGGTTCTTGTCATCAAGGACCTCATCGAGCTTGGCGCGCGCCTCCCGGACCAGACTGCCACCCTCAAGTACATGGCGTATCTTCTCGCTCGCATGCATCCCTTTCTCGATGAGCGCTCGCAGCGCGAGTTCTGCAAACGCCTGGCATTGCTCGCCTCGTCGCTCGGCTCTGTGCCTTTGATCTCCACCCCAGGTCTTCCGTACGTCAACCTCATTACCCCGCTGCAGCTCTCGTCCGAGTTCCAAGTCCACACCGTCAAGGCCGCCGGCTCGGCCGCGTCACCGTTCATCTTTTCGTCGTTTGGCGCCTCGTCGTCGTCGTCGTCGCGGCCGGGCGCCCGATTTGCCCACGGTGACGAGCCACCGGTCTTTGAGCTTGGATGTCCGGTCCATTTTGCGCTCCTTGTCTCTAACCCGCTTCTCGTGCCTCTCCACCTCGAGCACATTACCGTCCTTGTCGACGGCATCGAGTTTGTCACCGAGGCCGCTTCCACCGTCCTCCCGCCAGAGACCACCGACTACTGCGTGACTCTTACCGGCGTCCCGCTCGCAGAAGGCACCTTTACCATCACCGGCGTCTCCATGCACGTCCTTAACATGGCGTCGTCGTTCGGCGTCGATGCCCATGGCGTGGGCAAGGTTCTCGCCGGCGCCACCCATGCAGTCAAGTCCAAGAAGAAGACCGCTACTGCGTACGTTGTTGCACCTCCCCTCCCGCGGCTCAAGCTGACCTCCAATGGCGTCTCGGAGACCTCACTTCTGGTCCACGAGGGCGAGCTCTCGATTGTCTCGCTCACGCTCGAAAACGTGTCGTCTGTTGCCGTCACTAAGCTCGACATCTCAGTTCCGCGCAACCCATCGTCGATGGCGTCGATGCGTGCCAAGGCCTCTGAAGTCATCCTCTGGAACGACGACGACATTGCCTCTTTTCTTCCCCTCGAGCCTGGCGCTGTGGCCACGCTTGATCTGCGGGTGTTTGGTGTTCTGGGCGACATCCACTCGGGCGTCCATCTGACCTACGCTGCGCCGCACAAGCCTGACCTTGCCTCGTACTACCGCACTCTTGTCTTTGACATCCATGTGCTGGCCGAGCGCGGCCTGCAGGCGCTTTCGTTTGACATTTTACCTGTACATCTCGCACTCGATGCCCCGTTGGTCTCGGACGAGCAGGTCGCGCCGGGCGCCGCCGCCGAGGTGGACGACCTCGCCCGCCACGCTCACGATGACGGCGTGCTCGAGCTCTCAGCCTTGTTCCCGGCCAGTACCGAGTCCCACGACGACCATCCGTCGCATGATGTTCTCCTTGTCTTTGCCGTCGCTAACCGCACCTCGGGCACCTTCCATCTCTCAGTCGGCGTCGCGCACGACCACGTTTCGCAGCTGCGAACCGCCACCGACCCGCGCGATGTCTTTGCACCGGTTCACTGCATTGCGCTCAACCAGCTGCTCGAGGAGCAAGCTGCAGCACGCGACGGAGTGCCGGACCGCTTTGTTACCCGCGTTGTGTCCATCGAGCCAACCACCGTGGAGCGCATCGCTGTGCCAATACCTCGGTTTGCGCTCGCACAGGCGCTACTGGACACACCAATCCGGCGCCTGTTTCCGGCATGGTCCAAGACCCAGTCGGCGCTCAAGACCAAGCCATCCAAAGCAGACGATGTCCGCATGCAGCACCTCATGTACTACAAGCTCGCGCTGCTCAAGCTTGTCCGCCTTCGCTGGTTCTCATCCTTCAACACTTCGGGCATTCTCCCGCTCGACGCTCTTGTCCTCACCCCATCGATGGTAGCTACGCTGACGCCGGACCCGGTCTCGCTCTCGCTCTCGTTTGACGCCTTTGGCCACGACGCGTCGGCACCCAACTCCTCAGGCTCGTTTGTTCTCGTCGCCCCGCACGCACTCGGCTCGATCACACTCAGGTTCCGCAACGCAGGCGCGGACCCGGTCTCGCTCTCTGTCCGCATCGTACTCGCCCAACAAGTGGCGTCCCGCCTCGCCTCAACCGCAGACGCTGCGACCGGAGTGCCCAACGTGGTCATCGACGGCATGCTCGCCTTTGACACTGGCCCCATGATGCCCGGCACATCGTTTACTCACTCGCTGGCTGCTGCCTTTACTGCTGACGGTGAGGCATACGATCTCATCGTCTACGCCCAGCACACAAAGCCTACCCCGAGCTCGTCGGCGGGCTCCGCCATCAACGAGGCCGTCACTATTGTCGTCTCGTCGGCCTGCGACGAGCGCGAGCTTCTGCCGCTGCGGCGGCCGCGGACCGGCTCCAACGCCTCGTCGGTAGGACCTCGCTCGTAGCCCGTTAGCGAGTCGCCGAAGACGCAGCAGCCATCGTTCCTCTTGTCAGCCTCGGCTGCCGCGTCGTGGTGGCACAGCGACACGTGCCCTTACTCATCGTCCCAGAATTGGATCACCGTTTGCTGCTTCCCTGCCAGCGAGCTAAAGATGCCTCCGCTCCTGCTTGATAAGTGATAGCTGCTGCTACTGCAACTGCTACTCGCACTGGCTTCGTCGCTCGACGTTGGCGCGCCCAACTCGGCAGAGGGAGCCGAGGACAGCGGCTTAGCATCCAGCGAGACGACATGGCTCGGCAATGTCGCTGCCGAGAGACCCGACGTCGTGCTCCTCGACAAGCTCGCGTCCGGCACTACGAGGTTGCTGCTTGACTCGGTGTCAGTTGTCCCAGAGCTTTGTGCCGACCGAGAGGCAGCAGTGGGACGGACTCGCGCCGGAGCGCGCGCGGGGTTGTGGTCGGTCGGCTGGCGCCGCAAAATCTGGCGTGTCGGCGTTGAGGTCAAGAGATCATCGTCGCAGACAAGCGCGCTTTCGCTCGCCCCCAGGTCAGAATCGTCCACGGCTTGGCTACGGGACGCCGACGACGATGTCGACATGAGGGTGAGGAGTCGCGACAAGCCGCTTGACCGCATGGGCTGGACGCTCTGGGTGGAGAGAATGCCGGCCGAGTTGTGAGCGAGACCGCGGCTGCAGCCGTCGACGTCAAGTCGGTAAAGCTCGACCCGTCCACGACCACGCATGCTCAGCACGATGTCGTCGGCTGGCTGCGAGAGGAGCTGGATTGGGGGCGGAAGCGAGAGCCGCTGGACTATGGCGCCGTTGCGAGCGTTTCGAATCTCGACATTGGTAGACGCCACCGCCACGACGTATCCACGAAGGGCAGCAAAGGCGTTGGGGATGCAACCCCATGACCATGTCGTCCGCAGGCACCCGCGGCCGACCTCACCCGACACCGCCGAGACGGTCACCCCGCGCATGCCGTTAGCGATCACGACGTGCGAGCCGGGGCGAGAGATGGGAACCTCCATGATCTGGGCGTTGTCGGCTGGCTGACCGACAACGTCTGCGACGGTGAAAGCAGTCAGCTGGCCGTCAGTGGTGTCGACCGAGACGTAACCCGCGGCAAGAACGAGACCGAGTCGACCCGAGACCGGAAAGTAGGACATGGCTCTGGAAGGGCCGTCGAGCTTGAGCGTGGTCCAGTGAATAAACGTGGGTGTTTCCCACACGTAAACCTCGACGCGTGACTTGACGGCGATGGCAAGCTGCGGTGCGCGACCGGGCCGCGACGAGACAACCACGTCGTGGGCGCGCTTGGTCCGCTTGTCCAGCGAGTGCCGGATCCACGGGCCAATGGAGCCGAGAAATATATAGTCGACCGGATACTTGGATGCCCGGTAAAGAACGATGGCGATTCCAGCGCTGTCAATGACGGCAACCTTGGCCACCGGGCGTGAGACAACTTGCTCGGCGATAGCCGCCGCATCGGGCGCCGAACACACAACTCCCATCTCGCCGGCACCGGCGGTGACGTACACTTGCTGGCCAGAGCCCCACTGGGTCCAGGCTGCAAGACTGTCGTCGCTCTCTCTCAATCGCAGTGGATACACACCCGACAAGTGATTGAGGACAAATGCAGTACGCTCGGCGGCCCTGGCGACGAGTGGAAGAACAGACGCGTGGCGATGAAAGCCAAGGAGCGGCGGTGTGACGACGGTGTCGATGTCTGCCGCGGCACCGGACTTGGGGCCAACTATGTGACCCGGCTGATCGGCGAGCACAGCTCGGTACAGCTTGGTGAGTGCGTCGGCTCTAGTCGAGACTTGGGTGTCGAGCGCGTCGGGTGAACCACCGCGGTGGGCAGCAGCCAGTCCGTTGAGCACAGAAGTGAGGATGATATGAGCAGTAGTGGTGCCAAGCGCATGGACGCGCGGATCCGGAAGCGAGCCAAAAAGTCCGTTGCCAGCCCGCCATGCGAGCTGGTAGGTCAAAAGCGTGCCCGGAGCCTTTGGATGTGGAGAGACAACAACAACGACTTGAGTCGCAGCTGCTCCATGTTGGCCATCGAGCACGCTGGGATCAAAGCAATCGTTGGCGCGCTCGAGAAAGACGATGAGCGCCGGCGCGCCGAGAACGTGAGACTTTCGCGTTGCAATCGCTGGGCTATCGCTCCCGAGGGCAGACGGAATGTACGGCGCGACCTTGAACATAATGTCGCGGTGAGAGATGCGAGTGCAGACCGAGAACGCGCCTGTCTGCCCGCCCTTGATGTCAAGTCCACCAGAGAATCCTTCCCACCCGCAAAGATCGACGTGTGTACCGAGCGTGTCGACAAAGTTGCAGAACTCGTCGTCATGCTCGGGGTTGAGCTCGTTGGCCAGTATGTCGGCGACCGAGGTCTGACCTGGCCGGACCATCATGACTCCGATCTCTGCTGTCCGTGGAAAGGCCTGGTCTTCGAGATTCAGCAGCCGCTCGACGCCCATCGCCCCAGTGACACACACAAACTTGTTGCGCGCCTTGCACAGAATCGGATCGTAGACTGCAAGCGCGAGAATGAGGTCTTTGCGAAAGTTCTTGAACTCGCAGCCTGGGTAGGCAACAAACGGGACGATGCCACCACGGCCCGACCAGACCACGGCGCGGACGAGCTCCTTGCCGGCCTCGAGGCAGCGCATGACCGAGACGGCAACGACGCCGTACGAGCTCCCGCGCCAGCCGCGGAGATCGGCCACAAAGTTGGCGTGCTCTGCGTTGAGAAAGTACAGTCGGTACCACGCGGCAAGCATCTTGGGCGCCTCCTCGACCACAGGGATACTCTCCTTGAGCAGGGCAGCCGGCCAGTGTCCTGGCTCGTCAGTCATCCAACTCTCAAGCTCGGGCTCGTCACCAGCCTCACCGTCGCCAAGGGATCGGACGCCTGTCAGCAGCGACGGCGATGCATCCGCCAAGTTTTGCGCCGACACAGCCTGACTCACCAGCGGCAGACACGACATCCTGGCGGACGCAGCTTCTTGCAGTGGAGGCAGCCATGCACGGGCCTCGGCTGACGCCGCAGTGTGTAGACGGGTGACTATGTTCGTGTGCGGGGCGACAATGACAACCGAGGTCGGGCCGCCTGGGTACACCGATTCCACGAGCTCGACATCACAGCCACGCATGTCGATGACACGGGCTCGGCTCCGAGCCTTGCCTGCAGCAGTCGGGCTCGACTTCTCATCGCCGTTCACTGGCGTAAGATGCAGCTGGGCTTGGACGAGCACAGCCTCGCTGCGACAAGTTGGGGGGGGGGGGGGGGGTCGCACGTGAGTCAATAAGTGTGTACACGTGGGAAGTAATTTGGCCAATGTAAGGCGAACGTACCATTTCAAGCTGTCAACACGGACAATGCCGGCGGCCTGCATCGGCGGCACACAGTGCGAGAAGGTCCAGCCTTGGCCGAGGTTGGGGAGAAGCACACCTACGTGGTTATTTGCATTTATGCCCGCACGGTAAATGCCCGTTGTGAGTCAAGATTCTGACTTTTAGTTGGGCGTGATAATGAGAGGGCCGTCACACTCCCAGTACTCATCGGTAGCAGCAACGCGCGAGGCCGAAGAGGCAAGATTGCGGAGCGAGGCAGCCAGTGCGTCCGAGTCGTCCGAATCGATCAGGTCCGACCAAGCCGTGTACGATTCGGCGTCCGAGTCCGAGTCCGAGTCCGAGTCCGAGTCCGAGTCCGAGTCCGAGCCTGTGTCCGAGTCCGAGCCTGTGTCCGAGTCCAAGGCCACCATCGATGCGTGAAGGGCCGAGAGCGAGTGAGACATGACGGCCTGGCCGCGAGCCTGGTGCTCTCCTCCGCATTCCACACCGAGTGTAGCTTGGAGTTGGGCGAGAGGGTGCCGACAGAGACCGATAAGCACGATGCCGAGGTGGGCGGTGGCGTGTCGAGTACCTCGGGCAGCGAGCTCCAGGTCAAGTCGCTGGGGAGGCAAATCGAGACATCAAAGCACCGCTGCGAGGAGCCCATGCGAATGTCGATGCTGCGATCCGGTTCGTCGTCCGAATCGGACTCGGACACGTTGTGTGAAGGTTGGTTGATCGAATCGACGCCTGCGTCATCGGCATCCCCAAAGGCGTCCGATGAGTCGGAGATGGCCGGGCCACCAAATACCGAAGATGAGCTCCCGGCCGACGAGCGGCCAAAGACCTCGTCGTCGCTTTGGGCCGAGTCGGGCACGGTCGACGACCACGAGGTAGACATGGACTCGTCGTCGCCACCATCTGCAAGCATAGTGTAGCTAAACGCAGCTAGTGACGAGGTCGACATCAGCGAGAGTGCCTTGACAAGCTCATAAGAGCGGGTGTATGAGCTTTGCGAGTCGGAGAGGCCGGAGGAAGTGACTGTGGCGAGCTTGGTGTCAACCGCAAACGCAATCTTGTAGACCGACCGCCTGTGGCCGGTCTCTGCGGCCACATATGCGACGAGGCAATCGCTCGAGAGGAGGCGGAGCGGGGGCGCAAGCACGAGTCGCTGGACAATGGCACCGTTGCGGCCGTTGCGGATCTCGATATTGGTTGATGCCACCGCCATGATGTATCCGCCGAGCGTGGTAAACGTGTTCGGGATGCAGGTCCACGTCCACGCCTTCCGCTGGGCGTCGACGCTGTTGCTCACCACAGCGTCTGACGGCACGGTGACGGCGCGCATGCCATTGGCGACGACAGTGTGCGAGCCTGGGTACGAGCCTGGGATCTCCATGACTTGCGCGTTGTCAGATGGCATACCGACGACGTCTGCGACGGCGAAGACGGTGAGACGACCGTCGGTCGTGTCGACAGCCACGTAGCCAGTCGGCAAAACGAGGCCAAGTCGTCCTGTGGCTGGAAAGTAGGTCATGGCCATGGATGGGCCGTCGAGCTTGAGGGTGGTCCAGTGGACGAGCTCTGGTGCCTCCCACACAAAGACCTCAATGCGCGACTTGACGGCAATGGCGAGCTGCGGCGCACGACCGGGGAGCGACGAGGTGATCATGTCGTGTGCACGCTTGGTCGCCTTCCCCAACGTCCGGCGCATCCACTCGCCGATCGAGTTAAGATGGACGTAGTCGATAGCATACCTGTTGCGCTCGTATCGAACGACGGCGAGAGCTGGTTTGGCCATGACTACAACCTGCGCCACAGGCCGCTTGAGCACCTCGCGTGGCTTCCGCTCGCTGCCGATGCGGAGGCCGGTGGCGCCACCGAGCACAAACTGGCGATGGCGCCACGGTGCCCAGGTCACAAACGAGCCACAGGCGCCCCTGACCATCGTGGCTTTGGCGACCGTGCTACTTGTCGTGCCGATCTCCAGAGACGGCACCGCGCGACGCTCCGGACCATTGCGGCCACCGAGAAGCGGCGGTGCGTGGAGGTTACGGCTTGAAGCGACAGCGCCTATCTTGGGCCCGATGTCGAAGCCGGGCAGCTCGCTCTCCACCGCGGCGTGTAACCGTGCAAGCGTCGCCTCACGATGTTCGACAGAAAGCGTCAGACTCGGTGCGCCCGAGCTGCGCAGCGAAGTGAGCCCGTTGAGGACGGCCGTGACGACTGCGAGTGCAGTCTCTTTGCCGAGCGGAAGCAGTTGCGTCCCGCTTGGAACACCAAACCACGTGACGTTCTCTCGCCACATGATCTGGTAGCGGTAGAGGTTGGTGGCCGGATGCCTGGAGACAGCGGCGGCGATTGAAACGTCCGAGTCAGCAAAGACTGCAGCGGGATCAAACGTCGGCGGGTTGTCGTCGACTGATGGGACCATGACAATGACGGCCTGACAACCCAGCACTTGCTCGCGGCGCAGCACCTCGCGTACACCGTTTCGCGAGACATGTGGAATGTACGGCGCGACCTTGTACATGATGTCGCGGTGGCCAACCCGGGTAAAACGGAGAATGCGCCCGTCCTCCGGCCGAGCACGTCCAGGCCACCCGAGTGACCGTCCCACCCAGTGAGGTCGATGTGTGTTCCGAGCGTGTCGACAAAGTTGCAGAACGCGTCGTCAGCACCGTTTGGGTCGGACACGTCGTTGGCCAGTATGTCGTCGACCGAGGTCTGACCTGGCCGGACCATCATGACTCCGATCTCTGCTGTCCGTGGAAAGGCCTGGTCTTCGAGATTCAGCAGCCGCTCGACGCCCATCGCCCCAGTGACACACACAAACTTGTTGCGCGCCTTGCACAGAATCGGATCGTAGACTGCAAGCGCGAGAATGAGGTCTTTGCGAAAGTTCTTGAACTCGCAGCCTGGGTAGGCAACAAACGGGACGATGCCACCACGGCCCGACCAGACCACGGCGCGGACGAGCTCCTTGCCGGCCTCGAGGCAGCGCATGACCGAGACGGCAACGACGCCGTACGAGCTCCCGCGCCAGCCGCGGAGATCGGCCACAAAGTTGGCGTGGTCTGCGTGGAGAAAGTACAGTCGGTACCACGCGGCAAGCATCTTGGGCATCTCCTCGACGACCGGAAGATGCGGAACCCAAATCGGGGAGCTGTCAATAACCCAGCCATTTGGTTGTGCGAGTGCGAGATCATAAACAGCAGGGCGCACGTCCAGTGGCAAGTCCGGCATACCGCTCCGCGAATACTCGGTGCTGGTGCCGATGACTCGTGGCTCGATGGTACTCGATGAACTTGCGCGGGACAGTGTGTCGTCTCCGCGGCTGGAGAGGCTCGAGTGGTTGTGGTTTTCGTACGAGACCATGGCGTCGGTTGCGCGACAGACGATACGCGGCGCTCGGCGGGCTTTGGAGAGCCACTCGAGCCACTGGTCGGCCTCGGCGGCGGTGGTGGTCGCCATCACCACCGCTTCACACTGACCAGAACACTTGATGTGGATCATATGTGATGATGACGGGCCCATGTCTAGCTTGACCACGCGATGAAGGTGCATGTCGATGTATCGTGTGGCGTCGGGCGCAAAGACAACAGACTCGTCGTCGAGTGAGCCCTTGGAGTTCTTCGACTCGCATGGGCGGAGCATGAACATGTTTCCTTCAAGAAGAGCTTCAAACGGTATCCTGTCACTCTCATCACCCACGCAACCCACCCCCGTGACATGGTTCGCTCTGTGAGTGCACGTCTGCCTCTTGCCAGCGCCAATGGCCTGGCTTGGGTCAAGACCGGACGAGCGGGTTTTTTTTGGGCTGGTGGAACCCATCGTTGACCTCGTTCCTGCCACCGACCATGCCTCCAGGGCCATACCAAGCGACCTTGGCTTACCATTTTCCTGTTACTGCACGCGGTGCGAGGCGGACAAGGCCGGATACGGTCCGGGGGGCCTTGGCATGCATGCTTGTAAGGTGCCGAGTTGCGTGTGGCGCGTGGGAAGACAGCCGCTGTTGGCAGAGAAGAACTCAACTGTTGTTGACCTTCGGGATGGCATTGAAAAATCGCGCACCATGCTTCCCAAACGTGCCAAGCGTCTGTAAACTGACCTATGTTTACGGCATGCGACTGCGATCGTGTTTACGTAGACTGCTCAGTGCAAGTCACTATGAATGGGCCTCGTCGAAGCGGGGCGAGTCTCCCAGCGAGGGCCTGGCAGCGCCTGATGGCTGTGCGGAGGTTGGGGTGCGGGCCAACTCTCTGACCAGAGTCGCGCCAATTAGTGTGCCAAAAGGGAGACTGCGGGTGACCAGTTTGGGCCGTCCTGCAGCAACCAGTGCCGAGGGCGAGCTGTGTCCGCAAGACTGCCTGGCGAGCTGCCACCGAACTCTGGCTTGCTGCAGTGCAGCCCACCAGCCATGTCCGAGAGCGAGCAGAAGCCCCAGGAAGTGGCAACAACGTTCAAGAAGTTGCTCGACAAGGCGCACCAGCTGTTTGCCGGCCTCCGTGACTTGCCGCAGTTTGGCAAGGCCTCGTGGCAGGCGTACTTTCAACGGACCTTTGCCCTGTTCACAAAGGTACGCTCCCGCTGAGGGAAGGGTGTGTAGTCTTCGGGTGGCGGGGGTGTCTCACTGCTTGTCTGGTGCAACGACGGCGGCGGGGGGGCTGGGTGTGGGCGACGAGGGCGACGCAGGTGTGGCAGTACCAGCAGACCCATCGGGCCGTGCTGGAGGCGGTTGAGCATGGCGTGGCGCTGCAGCGGTGGCAAATCGGTGAGCTGGCGTCCAAGATCGGCCAGCTCTACTACCACTACTACGTGCGGACGTCCGAGGCGTCGTACCTTCTCGAAGCTGCCGTCTTCTACTCTGCCATTCTTGAGCGCGGCTACTTTGATTCGTTTGGCGAGTCGCCGCCGGCAGGGCTGGCCGTCAAAAAGCTGCGGTACTGTGCTCGATTCGCTGTAGTGCTCCTCTTGCTGGACGCGCTCACGCCGCGGAGCCTCGGCTCGCCGACCAAGGGCGGGAGCAGCGGGAGCAGCAAGCGGTCGGCGTATGGGGTCGAGGCGGTCCGCGACGTGCTCGAGGCCGCCATCCAGGCCTACGCGGTTGACTATGATCCGCCGGACGCTGCCGAGTGGGGTGAGGTCCTTGCCGAGCTCGACGCCTTCATCGCTGCCCGCAAGAGCCTCTCGCTGACAGATTCGGATGAGACGCCGGTGCCGTCGCTGCGGCTTCCAGTGGCGCACTCGGTCTCACCAAGCTCGCTCATCTCAGACGCGCTGCTTGTCTCGCACGTTTCCTCTGGCATCAAGTTCTCGGAGCTCACACTCGAGTCGTTCCGCATTATGCTCTCGCTCGAAGCCGCGCCACTCGATGTCGATGGCGCGCTTTCGTCGCCGGTGGCCAACCCGCACAAGTACGTGTTGTACTCGCCGTCGGTGGCGCAGCTCCTCACGTTTGCCACGTGTGCGCTCAAGGAGAGCTCGTCGAGCGGGGTGCTCTTCCTCTACATCTTGGGCGAGACGACAGGGGCGGCGCCCAAGCTGAGCGCAGGCGACACCAGCGCTGCGGCTGCGGCTGCATCTTCCGGCGATGAGGGCACCGTTGCCATGACCGAGGATGCAGCTCGTCAGACAGGTACCTCGCTACTGGCCAGCGCAGGCGTCGCACTTGCGCCACACTCGACCGGCACCCAGACTGCCGAGTGGCGGGACGCGCTCACGCCTGGCGACTTGGCGGTCCTTGCACGACGCCCGCTGTTCTGTGAGATTGATGTTGCCGGTGCCATCGGCTTCCTTGACCTTGTGGACATGGCAAACGTGTTTGGCTCGCCGGTGGCCGTCGTTGTGGCTGGGGCCCAGCTCCCACCCAACTGGCCAGAGCACCTGGGCTCGCCGCTCTCGCTCTTCCTCACGGATCCACTGACGGCGTTTATGGCGTTGACCGGCGTGGCAAGCGTTGCCAAGGAGACGTACGACATGGCGGCCACGGTTGTGGCCGCCGCCCAGGACACTGTGCTGGCTGTGATGGAAGAGGCACTCAGCCGCGGGGACCAGGCCGACGATCTCGATGCGGCGGCGCTCATCTTCTTCAGCGGCGACTCGTTCCTGTCCCGCCATGTTGCGCGACTTGCCTTTTACCTTGCTGTCTGTGCCATGCACGGCGAGATCTCCAAGGACCTGGCGAGTATTGTGCCGCAGATGAGGCCAAGCCTGCCGGACGCCATTGTGCGGGCCGAGTCTGTCCTCGAGCACGTCATCCAGCTTGCATCGACGCTCTCGGTCACGTTGCAGTTCAACGATGTGTCAATGGTTGTTGTGAGCTAGCGAGTGGAGCTCAGGGGTGCAAATGTCGTGTCAACGGCGTGTAAAAGGGTTTAGCAAGCGCTTGGTTCTCACTTGGCCTTGGACTGGTTCTTGGTCGCCTCCACCTTGGCAGCGACCGCGGCAGCGTCGCCGAGGTAGACGCCGCTGAGCGGGCCGACGGAGCCTTCCTGCGCAATGGGGCGCATGTTGGCGTCGAGCTTGTAGACGAGCGGGACACCGGTGGGGATGTTGACGCCCGGGATGACATCCTCGGCGATGTCGTCGAGGTGCTTGACCAGGGCGCGGAGCGAGTTTCCATGCGCGGCGACGAGGACGCGCTTGCCCGACTTGATGGCCGGAACAATGTCGCTCTCCCAGTACGGGAGGAACCGCTCGGCTGTGTCCTTGAGGCACTCGGAGCGCGGCAGGTCAGCCGGGTCGACGTCGGCGTACCGGCGGTCGTTGGCGGGAAGCATCGGCGAGTCGTCGGCAAGCGGCGGCGGTGGAACGTCGTACGACCGGCGCCAGATGTGAACTTGGTCGGCGCCGTGCTTCTCGGCCGTCTCGATCTTGTTGAGCCCCTGTAGGGCGCCATAGTGCCGCTCGTTGAGCCGCCACGAGTGGTGAACCGGAATCCAGCACAGGTCCAGCGCCTCCAGCGAACGCCACAGCGTGGTGATAGCCCGTCGAAGCACTGAAGTGTATGCCACGTCAAAGGTCAGGCCCGAATCGACAAGCATGGCTCCCGCAGCACGGGCCTCGGCCTCGCCAGTCTCGGAGAGCGGGACGTCGACCCAGCCGGTGAACCGGTTCGCCAAGTTCCACTCGGACTCGCCGTGACGCAGCAGGACCAGCGTATATGTCTGGTCCTCGCCGCCGATCTTGGCCCGCTTGCTGTCGGGCTCTCCTGGGAGGCAGCAGGCAACGCATGTGGGAGTATGAAAGAGCTTGGTGAGTGGAGCATGGCGGTGACTCGGTGAGATGTGCGTGCAGCGTGTTTGCCGCAGCCTCCATGCGGCTGGCCAGTCTGACTATACGCAGCGTCTTGCTCTTGCCCTAACCCTAACTCCCGCGGTCACGTACCCTCGAGTGTCGGCTTGGGGTGGGTGTCGGCCATGGTGTATAGTTGTTGTGTGAGTGGGGTGGGGGGTGGGGCGGCTGGCTGGCCACAGTGACGGGTGCGTGACGGGGGTGGGGCGGAGCATCGGCGGGGCGGGCAGGGGAGGGGGGGGGGGACAAGGTTTAGTTGCGTCGGTATTGATCGATCGCAATCGTAGCCTACTTTGCTGAGGGAGGGGAGGGGAGGGGGGGGGGGGATGGATAGTGTCGTCAAAGCCTCAGCCAGTCATGGGCATGGCGAGGAGGCGGGCGTCGAGCACAATGCAGAGCCGGAGCTAGAGCTAGAGCTAGAGCTAGAGCTAGCGACGGACGGGGCTGCAGTTGGAAGCTCTGACGTCTGGTAGTCCCAGATGGGGTAGTAGTCCCAGGGCGGCGGCGCAGTCTGGTGGCCCTGCATCTGGAGCCACTCGCACATGGCGGTGGAGAACGGCTCAGAGGTGGGCGCAGCGCCAGTCCTTGCCCGAGTCGCCTTCTTCTTGGCCAGCGCAGCCTCTCGCAGCGACATCACCGTCTCAGCCAGCGCTGTCATGCTGGTGTCCGTCTCGGCCGACGACGCCGACGAACTCCGAGCTGCGACGGCGATGCCCGTAGCCCGAGCGTCCGCAGCCCGAGCGTCCGCAGCCCGAGCGTTCGCACCGGGGCCTGGACCCGGGCCCGCGTCGGGGCTAGCACCCCCGCTCGCGCCATACCCGTCGTTGACCTCCTCGGTCTGGTATGGAGCGAGCCAGTTCATGGTGGCGTGCTTGGGTCGAGTGGGGGGCGGAGCTTTAACTCACCGACGCGGGCTGCGGACCGGCGGTGCCAGGCCGGGGTGGGCCAGCAGCTCGTTGATGACGCGGATGGCGCGGTACGAGGTCGAGGTGAGGAGAAGCCTGGCCGATTGGATCTTGCTCGTCGACGCCAGACCGTGCTCGAGGTACCAGCCCGAGTTCTGGACCATGGTCGAGGCGAACCAGGCGTGGAGCGCAAGCTCGATGTGAGGGAGGAGCGATTGCGAGGCGTCGGGCAAAGACTCGGTCTCGGTCAGTAGCCAGAGCAGCGCGTCGTAGGTAGCGACATCGACAAGGGCGGCAGCCACGACGTGGGCATGGTCGCGGAGCCGGGCCCAGTAGTGGTGAAAGGCGACGTCGGACTCGGGCGAGCGCGCCACTCGCGCCCGCCATCGCTTGACCAGTGTGTGTAGGACTCGCTCGAGACGCAGCCGGAGCGTGCTCCACTGCCAGCTGACGTCGCAGATGTGGTGGGCCGATGCGAGACGCGCCGTCAGCGGCTGCGTCATGCGCCACGCCAGCGAGAGGCTCGCTACAACCGAGCCAGGCGCCATCCACTGGCTCGGCGCAGCCGCAGAGGCGCGGACAAGGTGTGCCAGCGCCGCAGCCTCGCCCGGCGGCATGCCGGTGAGGCCAAGCGCGAGATGTGCAACGAGTGTGCCTAGCGCCTGCAGCGGGCCGACAGCCACGTCAGGCGCCTCCCACGCCGCCTCGGCCGCTAGGCCCACCATTCGCTGTGCTGTCACCAGCCGCAGCGCCACTGCTTGCTGCGCACCAAGCTTGCGTGGGCTCTGCCGCTGCAGCGCTGTGCCCAGTGCGTATGTGGCCAGAATCCGGAGCGTGAGCCCAGCGTGGACTCTTGTCAGCGATGCTGACGCCGACGCCGCTCGGAGCACCGCACGGCCGACAACAATCGTCACCGCATCCGCCAGCGCACCGCCGAGCGCCAGCGCTGCCGCACTTGGCTCGGGCACTCCGCGCCAGGCATTGTCGGCCAAGTCGCCCATCGATCGCGCCGCATGCCACCCGATGCCGTCGTCGGCGGCTACAAGGACCGCGCCGTCAGCCTCGCCCACTGCCAGGCTCAGCGCCGCGCCACCGCCGACCGCCGCCAGCACCACCCGCCCCACAGCGGGCAGTGTGTGCGGCCTGGCTCCTGCGCCTGCACCTTGCGCGCCAACCGCGATCACAGCTGCCATCAACGAGTCAGGCTCGTCCTCGCCTGCGGCAGCCGAGGTGGTCGCAGCCGCAGCGGCCGCGGGCTGCAGCTGGTGCAGCAGCCGCAGTAGCCGAGTGCGGGCAGGCGGGAAAGCAGAGGAGGCCATCGCATGCACGAGGGCAGAGGTGAGTGTCGTGGTGTGCGTGGGAGACTGAGTCTGGCTGCGGCTGCAGGAGTCGGTGCTGGCATCGTGCCAGGTGAGGGAAGGAGGAATGCAGGAACACTGTTGCCACATCTGCAGCGCCCCTACATCGGAAGCATCGGGCTTTGGAACAGATGGTGCCTCGGCAAAGTGTTTCTAGATCCGGCAGAGAGGGGGCGAAATCAGGGCGGTGTGGGCGCAGTTTGTCAGCATGCGTGGCTTGGCATGTGGCATGGCTTGCGATTGCTGGCATGAGGTGCAGCGCCCATCGTGACTATTGTATTGTGTCCACGTGAAAGAATTGAAGGAGGCAACACAAAAAATACGTTCGTTCGTTCGTACAAACATGCGAACGAAGCATGCAAACAAACGAAATGAATGAAGGACAACCACGAGACCAAGTAAAGTCAACCAACGAATCAATGGAACGAATGAGAAGGTGACTTGCTACAAATCGGGTTGGGACGGACTGCAGTTGGGCGACCGGTGGCAGTCCTTGTTTCGTCCTACCGCTCACTAGCATACTCTCGACTCGGTATGTGCAACGGAGGAAGGGGGTAAAGAGCGGGTGGTGCACGGGAGCGTGAGAGGGGGGGATGGGAATTGGGTGCTAGAGGGGGGGGGGGGGGGTGCAGGGACATGGTCACAACAGGTGTGTGCTCGTGGGCGGGGGCACAGGGGGAAGAAGGCTTTCACCTTCGTCTGCTGTAAGCCGCTCATCGCGAGCGCTGCTGTCAATTATTCCGAATTCGACGGTGGGCTACCCTAGTTGGTGCGGCTCGTGAGGCGGTAGCAGACGACAGAGGCTGAGGTACAGAGGCTGAGGATGGTGTCCTTGTATGCAGCTTGCTCTGTGTTCACTTGCCGGTCTGGATGCGGTGCTGCTGTACCCCCTGCCGCCATGGCCTCGCTCGCCTTCCGGCTGGTGGGCCAGGTTGTCATTTTTCGGTTGTTCCGCCCGAACGAGCCGGCGAGTCCCCTCTTGCGGGCGCACATGACCTCGACGGGTGTGGACGGAGGGGTGGTGGGGGGGAGGGGGGGAGGGGGGATAGGTAGGCGATGGCGGTGCAACTCACATTTGCGAGCGGGGCGGTAATGTGTGACTGGCGGCTGGCTACGACGACGGCGACGACGATGCGGTGGGGGTAACTGATGTGCGTAGTGCCCAACATGGCTGACAACGAGCCGGATCTTTCCAAGATGACGGACGAGGAGAAGGCATTCTACCAGAAGTACGGCAAGATGCCGCCCAAGGCTACCGAGAAGTTCCGCCGCGCCCGCGGCGGCAAGCGCATTTTCGACTCGGCTGACTACTCGATGCAGATGGCTGGCGTTAAGGGCAAGATCGGTGGCGGCGGCCTGCTGCGCAAGAAGATGACGCTGCCGGCTGGTGCCGCGGCGTCGGGCGCCAACGCCACCACGCCCACAGGAGACGCGGGCGAGGACGAGTAGTGTGGCGGTGCAAGTTGCCCGGCCCCGTGAGCAAGTGAATACATCGTGAGAACGAGTCCTAGTTGTTTCCTATGTACCAGGCCTTGGAAGCAGTGAGTCCACTTGGGGCAAAAGGCCATGCGTTGCTCGCTTCCCCTCGACTTCTGCACCTGAACCTGGCCATCATTCTTGCCCTTACTCACGACTCTCCGGTCCATGTAGTTTGGTCCGGCTTCGTCGAGCTGGGGCGCACACACATACACATAGTATCATGCGACGATCACACACACACACACACACACACACACACACATACATGTATTGTATTCATTAACGGCACTGCAACGCGGGGAGAGGGAGGGAGGGGAAGCAAGAGGGAGGGAGAAGACGGGCAGGGCGGGGCATGACGAGGTCTGCGACGGGCAGTACTGAGCGGGTACGGGAAAATCGATCGGGAAGAGGGCGTTAGAAGCTCTGCGGGAAAGAACTCTTCGGCGTGGATGGGGCTCTGTGGCGTGGATGGGTGAGGAGGAGTTAGTGAGAGGAGAAGGGAAGGAAGGGAAGGGAAGGGGAAAGTTGTAGGCAGAGTGAGCAAAGGAGATGATGTACCACACCCGTATAAAGCGTCCAACATTAACGATGGAGCAGGAAGTAGCGTGGGTTCTTCTGCCAGTCCCCTCTTGCGAGGCGCGAGCAACAATGGATGCAAGCGGCAATGGGCGGGGGCTGGGTAGGAGCAGGGGTAGGGAAGGAGGAGGGCTTGGCCTGGAGCAGGGGCCCCAGGCTTCAGCGTTGTCGAGAGAGGAGGTGCAAGGGCAAGTTGAAATATTGGATGCTGGTTGGTCGACCACTTTGTCTGCGTGTGTGTCCGTCACATGGGCTTGGCTATCTGCGCTCTGCCACAGCCCTGCATCCGCATCATCCCGGCGGCAGCAACGCTTGTTGGGAGAGTGCTTGGAACCGATGTGTAGGTGAATGCGGGTCGATTGTCATTTACACAGATGAAGGGTCCATGACAAGGGTACTAGGCCTCCTGCTCGAGGACCTCGACGTCGAAGATGAGGAACGAGTTGGGCGGGATGACCGGGGGATGGCCGCCGGGGCCGTAGGCGTAGTCGGGCGAGGCGTAGAGGAGAGCGCGCTCGCCGATGCGCATGGTGGCGACGCCTTCGTCCCAGGCCGAGATGACGCGGCCTGCGCCGAGCGGGAAGCGGAAGGGCCGGCCCTTGTCGCGGGACGAGTCGAACTTATCGCCATTGGTCAGGGTGCCGGTGTAGTGGACGACGACCTCTTTGCCCTGGGTGGCTAGCGGAGCGTCTTCGGGTGCTTCCGTGGTGATCTCCTTGAAGAACCCGTTCTTGGCCGCCTTCTTCAACGCCTTGCACAACTTCTTGTGGTTGTTCTCTTTCCAGTCCTTGCCCTGGCACTCGGCGCCACAGTAGAGCACTCCCTTGCAACCAGCGCACTGCTGGAGCTCCGTCTCCTCAGTCCCACAGTTCTGGCAGCGGATCGGTCCCGACGACATTCTTCTTACTTTCTCTCAACACGTACGTCAAGTGTGTCTGTGTCTCTGTCGCTGCCTGCCGCTCCCCACCCTCCCCCTCGAGCTCGTACTCACAACACACGCCACCCGCCCACAAACTGCCATCACACCCTTCATCTCAATAGAGGAGAACTTTCATCGATCCCGTCCCGCAATCAGTCCACATCTGCATTCTCTTCCCCAACCCCTGCATCGCCGGCCTTCATTTCCCCCTCTCCCCTCGCTCCCGCTCATCAGCCGCTCATCGGCCATATCACCCGCTCGCTGTCTTGGCGCCGACAGCCGGTTGGCGCCACTGCACGACCCCCGCCAACCGCCAACCGCCACCACCTCTGCCGGCACACCCACCTCTCCCCGCTGCTGCCACCACCACCACTACTACTACTACTCCAACCACCACCACCACCACCCCCGACCGGAGATATAGAGAGCCATGGCAGCCAATGTGCTCCCGCTCCTCGGCTCGTCAACCTATGCCCATCGGAGCCATCATACACCGGTCCTCGCCCCGCTCGCAGCGGCGGCGACAGCGGAAGACGGAGAGTCCGCCAGCCCGGTCTTCGGCTCACAGCATCCTTGTCGTGACGCAGAGGCCAACGCACCACCATCGGTGTCCAAGTGGTCACGCCGCGTCCTCGCCGAAGACAACACCAATCGTGTCTACTTTGACGGGGTAGAGTACACCGGGGCATACCAGCCGGTCTTTGACACCTCAGCCGATCTGCACGCACCCACCGTCTCGGTCGCCTTGCGCACCAGCCATCACCCAGACGCTGGCCTCTCGCCAATCTCCTCGCGCCTTGCCTCTACTAACGACACCATCCGCGCTCTGCTTGACCGCTCAAACTCGCTCCTTCAGCGCTCGCCGCCGTCTGGTCGCGTCATGAGCTCCGACCACATCTACCAGCCCGGCGAGTCGTTCAACCTAGGTCCGCTCGCCGACGCCAGTGCCGTCGTCCCCCCAGCGCTTGCCCCGTCGTTGCAGCGGCAGACAAGTCCTAATGATGATGCCGACGTCGCCGACGATGGCGACGACGCACGAGCGCTCGACATCCGCCCGGCTCCGATCGTCACCGTCGCCGACACCAGCGAGATCGAACGTGATGCCACCGCCAGTCCTCCGCAGCGCCCGCTCGATACCACCGAGTCCCGCATCCAAGCCACGCTCGATGCGGCGCTGACCAGCGCGCGTTCTACCCAGCCACAGCAGGACCCCGACGCGACGCTGCTAGACGAATCCAGCTTTGCCGACGGCAACGAGTCGATGGCCCAGGTCGCGCTCAACGAGTCGGTCGCTCGCCTCAAGTCGGCCGAGGCCCGCGTCGAGGCACTGCTTGCCAAGCGTCGCGCTGAGCGCGCCCGGGCAGGCGCCAGCGGACCCAACGCCCTCGTACCGCGCTCGGCTGCACGTACCACCGCCGCCAACGACCTAGCCATGACTCACTCGCAGTGGTCTGAGCTCGACGTCCTCGAGCCGGCCTCGGACTTTCCCCAGCCCGACCACTACCTTTCGGCTCGTGCCGCATACCTCATCGATCCTAATGCGCCCTCACACCGCGCCTCGCCGCTCGCCACCCTTCAGGAGACCTCGCTGGGCGCCTGCATTCGCTCCGAGGACCGCGACTACAACGCTGCCGGTGACCCTCACAACGTCTCCGGTGCCGCCCATGACGCGGGCGAAGCCTCGTTTGTCTTTCCTGCCCATCCAGCCTCGTCCTCGTTCGCCCGCTCGGTCCCCACCGCCGCGCCTGCCTCGATCGGCTTTATCCGCGACGTCTTTGACCCGGCGTTTGAGCCCGCAGACTCAGCGCCGCATGCCGCTGCACGCACTACCATCGCTAATCTCTCGCACACTCTCTCGCCGTCGTCTGAAAACATGCCGCCGTGCGGGCCCGGAAACGTCTCGTTTGCCGCCTCGCCCTCGCGCGTCACCACGTTTGACGTCTCCGCTCCGCCGTCAGCCATCAAGGCCTCGGCCTCTGTGCTACATGAGCGCGCGGCATCGGCCGCGCTCGACGAGTCCGAGCTTGATGGGCCTGAACTCGACAACCCGTCTCAGGCGCTCTCGCTAGGCGCGCTCTCATCCGAGTGCTCTGATGAGGACGCCATCGAAGAGGACGCCATCCCGCCGCCAGAGACCGAGCTGCCACCAACCCAGCTCGCACTCTACTATCTCGAGTACGTCGCTCACAAGCGCCGGCCAGTCCGCGCCCTTGCCATGGAGCATGTGCTGGACGTGGTGACTCGGACCAAGCCCTCGTTCACCGAGCATGTCCATGCCGCCAACTCGGCCGAGTTTGCCTCGTTTGCGCTCGAGCGCATCGTGCAGTGCATCATCAACAACCTCGAGCGGTTCGAGGTCGACGGCGGCTCGTCGCTCAACTACTCGGCCGCCCAGATCCTGCTTGTTTTAGGGGCACCGTACATTGACCCCGCCCTGCCGGTTCTCCAAGTCATGCTCCGCAACCCGCTGCTCAACCTCGCCACCCATGAGATGGTCGTCAATGCGCTCCTGGCTGCAGGCTCTGCAGGCATCACTGCGCTCATGGAGCTCGCCCAGGACGAGGGCTTTACCGGCAACGCTCGCCTCCTCCTCAACGCGCTCGCCGCACACGGCCCCATCCGCACCCATGTCGTCGTCCCGGAGCTCATCCGCATGGTCGCAACCGGCCCGACCTCATCGCGCGCCGTCGCCGTCCTAGCCCTCTCCAAGATGCTCGACGCCGCCGCGCCGGCCATCCCGGTCCTCCGCAACGCCCTCCTCTCTGGCTCGGTCGACCGCTATCTCGTGGTCCAGGCCCTGCGGACCGCCGGCGACGACGGCGAAGCCGTGCTCATCGAGCTCCTGGCCACCGCCCGCAACGCCGCTGTTCGCGCTGCCGCCGTCCGCGGCCTCGGCCTCCCGCGCTTCCACATGGCCAGCGATGCCCGCCTCGTCGCCCGTGCCACCTCGCTCCACGTATGCGTTGAGGCCGACCTGGCCTCTGCCGCCACACACGCCCCGCACGATCCACACTACGTCTACCTTCTCCCGCCAGACGCCTCGGCTACCACAACCGTCCGCGCCGACGGCAACGAGCTCCCTACCGACGCCGAGGAGCGCCTCGTCGTTGACGCCCGCGAATTGGTCTCTTCCATTCGCCGCGCCCTTGTCCGCGGCGTGTTTGATGATCCCAAGCCGTCGGCCGACTCGGCTCGCGCCGCCGCCCAACTCACCATCGACGCCCACGCTGCCGCCGCCGCTGACGCCGCAGCAGCAGCAGCGTCTCCGTCGGTTTCAGGCACTGTCGAGCCGTTTGTGCGCGAGGAGCACACCGAAGCCGCTCTCGTCGCCATCGGGCACGGCCTCTGCGATGTTGACGCCGGCGTTCGCATCGCCGCCCTCGCCGCCCTCGCCACCGTCGGCATGCCCGTTGCCTCGCCGCTACTCGCCAACCTGCAGGCTCTGCTCAACGACGAGGCCAAGGCCGTCCGCGAAGCCGCCGCAAACACCGTCGGCAGTCTCGCTCCCGGCTACACTGCCGCTGCGCACCTCATTCCTTTCCTCACCCACCTGCTCCGCGACGAGTTCTGGAAGGTGCGTTACTCGGCTGCCAAGGCGCTTGGCAAGCTCGGCACTGCTGCCGAGCCGGCGCTCCCGATCCTCCGCGACGTCCTTGTTGCAGGTACCGTCACCCGCAACCTCGCCGCCGCCGCCATGGCCCGCATCGGCGACATTGGAGTCGCCCACCTTCGCGAGCTGTTTTGTACCAGAACATGCCCAACACTCAGGTCCGCATCGCCGCGGCTTACGGCCTCCGCAACATGCCACTCACTTCCGAGTCGGTCGACTATGCTGTCCGCGACATGTTTGTGGCCGGCAAAGATCCTATGCCACTTGTCCGTTGCGTCGTCCTCGAGTCGCTCGCCCTCCTTGGCGCCGCCTCGGACGACATGATTCCCTACCTCACCGCCAAGTCGCTCGTCCCGTTCCTCTTCACTTTCCTCAACGATGACGCTGCTGATGTCCGCCGCAAGGCCGCTCACGCCCTCGCGGACTACGGTCCGCAGGGCGAGCTCTTGCTCATCGAGGGCGTGCTCAAGGACCCGCATCCTCGTGTCCGCTCGGCAGCTGCCTACGGGCTCGGCATCCTCGGCGCCCAGTCCACTCGCACTCTCCTCCTCGCTCTCAACGACCCCGCCCCGGCCGTCATCCGCTCCGCCTCCCGCGCCCTCCTCGCCATCGGCCTTCAGCCTATTGTTGCCACTCTTGCCCAGCGCCCGCCATCGCAGCGCGACTCGGTTGCCGTCTCAGCCCGCGACGTCATCGCCCAGGACCGCGACCGTCCACTGCCCTCGGCTGTCGTCAACCTCCTCGATGCCATCGCATCCCACCTCGATCGCGTGCATACGTCGCAACCATGGTAGCACGATTGTCACATCTTGCTCACAGCAAACTTCTCCTCCTCATACTCATTGCGTTTTGGCCTGGTGTGGTCCTGCACGTGGTTTCCCTCCGCTGTTGCCGATCGAGGCTTCAGGTAGTCACCAGCACGAGCGCCGCCCACTTCCGCCATTTCAGTCCGCCGAACGGCGCGCCATCACTCCACCCACCCACCCGCAGCGCTCCCTCCCCCCAACCTCCGGATGGCGTCGACCCCACCACGGCCAGGACCCGGAGATCCAGGTCAAGCTGGGCTAGCTGGAGCTACTCATGCTGGTACGCAGACAGTAGAGCCTTCTTCGCATACACTATCCCCCCTCTGTCCGCCTTTTGTCCTCCTGCGCCGCCTGTGGCCATTGGCGCGCGAATGATTTGCAACTTTTCAAACTGCCGCACGACAACGGGTCGGTGGGCGAAGTCGCGCCATGATAGCCTACTGGGAGTGGCGCGAGACTCACACTAGGCCTGGGGATTGGGTGTGTGTACTTGTGCTTGTGGAGAGGGTAGAGCTGGAGACTACAACAGAAAATGCCTCGTTTGAGTGGGTGGCGTGGTCGACGGACCTGTCGCCGAACAACCCACAGCGTCTTCGGGACGGCCTGGCTACGCTCTCGCATCTCTCGCCCTCGCTGCTACTCCGCTCGGCTTCGAGCGTCACAGTCCGCCCAACTGGTGGTTATCTTACGCCACCACGCTCGGCATCGGCGTCGATGCGGTCGTCACCGGTCACGCCTTCGTCTCCGCTTGTCCTCACCGCGGAGGAGGCCCGGCTGGTCGAGGACTCAAAGGCCACGCCGGCTTCTGATCGGAAAGACGTCTTCACCGACTCGTTTGTCATGTTCCGCACCACGCCACCGGCCAACTGGACGCCGCCAGAAAATGCATCGTACTCGCCGTCGCGTGCAGCGTCGGCTTCGCGGCTTGCCCATGCGGGTTCGCCATCGGCTGCCAAGAGGCTCTTGTTCGAGATTGACGAGGTCGAGCCAGAGACCGAGGCAAGCTCGTCTAGCCGAGCCCCGGCTGCTGGTGAGGTCGATGAGTGGCGGACCAAGCACGCCCAAGCCGAGGCTGACATCGCCGCCCTCACTGCCCGCAACCGCGAGCTTGCCCGCGAGCTCGCTCGGCTCCGCGAGACGGCCTCCGACGCAGCTGCACTGGTGGCCACCCGCACCGAGCTCGACGCGCTCGTTGAGGCACGCAACGAGTGGCGTGCTTCTGCAGAGGCCGCCAAAGCACGTGCAGACGAAGCGAGTGCTCGCGCCAGCGCCGCCGAGGCTGATGCCGAAACCCATGCTGTCAACCTCGGCAAGGTGCTCGAAATCCAGGCCAAGCAGCTCGAAACCATCCAAAGTCTCGAGGCCGAGCTTGCAGCAGCCAAGAGCTTTGGTAGAACGGTGGCCACCCGGGTTGCGGCTGCTGGGGTCGGCGGCGATGACGCCGAGCCTCTGGGGCACCTTGTCGCGAGCCTGACCTCGGATCCGGACGCTCTGGCCGACTTTATCAGCTCAGCCATCACCCTTCAAGGTGCGTACGCCAACCTGCAAGACTACGCTCGGTCCGACTGCACAGGCTGGACGTCGGTTGCATCGTACGCGGTTGGCCTGGCCTCGGGCTCTGCCGCCGACGTGCATGTGGCCACACCGCCGACAACGCCACCGCGGCCAGCACGGCCGCTGGCATCGGCCACACTCCCGCACCGTGGCTTTATCACGCCAGGAGCCGCGGGTGACGATGCCGCCCGCCATGCCTCGGCTTTGGAGGCACGGTCGGCGTCGCTGGTGGCACTTCGCGGCATCCAGGCTGCGCTTAGAGAGCGCGACGGAGCAGTGGAGGCCCTCTCTGCCGCAGCTGCGTCCGACACCACCGAGCTGGCCATGGAGCGCGACACTGCTGTCCAGCTGGCCGATGAGCTGCGCGGAGAGGCACGTGCCCTTCGGGTTCGCAATGACGAGCTGCAAGCTGCACTGGGCGACGCAGATGAGCGTGTTGAGGACTCGCAGGCACAATGCCACGAGCTGCAGACGCTGGTGGCTGAGCTGGAAAGCCGCGTTGCGGAGCTCATGATGCGGCCTACGCTTGAAGCATACGCAGCTGCCGAGGAGGCGGGTGCAACGGCGGGCAAGCTTGCCGAGGCAGCGCGCGCCGAAGCGCAGCAAGCCCGCGATGCTGCCGATGATGCTGCTTCAGATGCCCGCCGTCGGATGGAAGGCATGGAGCGCACACTGGTGCAGCTTCGCGCGGAGTTGGATGGCGCTCATGAATCACTGGACACACTGCAAGCTGAGCATGCACTCTGCCCCGAGGCAAAGGCGAACTTGGAGGTTGAGCTCGAACGGTGCTCGTCGAGCCTGACTCACTCCCGCGAACAGCTTGCTGCGCTCGAGCAGGCGCACAAGGAGCTGGAGGCATCGCACGCGGCGGCTATGGCAGACGCTCTGGCTCGAGGCGAGCTCGACGAGCTGGTCAGCGCGTTGAGTACTGAGCGTGACGCTGCTGTTGCTTCGCGAGTGAGCGCCGAGAACGAGATGGCACGGCTTCAGAAAGTGGTGGATGAGCAGCAGGCTGCTCACGCACAGCTCGAGGCAGCGTCTGCGGCGGCAACGGCCGAGCTGCGCATTCAGCTGGAGTCGATGGACATGGCGCTGACAGCCGTTCGCGCCGTAGAGACGTCAGCGGTAACAAGTGCCTACACTGACGTGCGCGAGGTGCTAGACAAGCTCGCGCGTGGGCTCGGCAGCGCAAGCAAGTCAGACTCAGCGCTGGGCGAGGACCAGCTCTCTGAGCTAGACACCAAGACCGGGGAATCGGAGCCTGGAGCACAGGAGCTTACTGCGGCGCTTAACCTTCTGCACGTCGGTGTTGGCGAGGCTATGACCGTGCTAGCCGACAAGCGTAGCTCGCTGAAGAGCATGATGGCTACCTTGAGAGCCTCGCAGACTGAGCACAAGCAGACGATGGGCGATCTGGAGCGGCTGACTGAGGCACACACGGTGCTGTCGGGCGAGTACCAAGTGCTAGAGAAGAAGCTCTCCGACATGCGCGTGGGCATGGCAGAGGCGTCCAAGCGAGGCAAGGCACTTGCTGCAATTGCTGATACATCCAAGGCTGAGTTGGTAGTGGTGACTGCCGAGCGCGATGCTGCGCTTGATGCAATCGCAGCTCTGGAGGCCGAGCAGACACGGGTCTTGTCGCTGGAGGAGCAGCTGGCTGGCATTGCCGAAGAGCGCGATGTTGTGATGGCGCAATTAACTGAGCTCTCTGCCACTGCAGTGAGCCGCGAGGAGACTGTCCAGTCTACGCAGTCTGAGCTCCAGACTCTCCAGACCCAAGTGACCGAGCTGCGCGCCGAGGTTGAGAGTTTGATCGAGGAGCGCGACGTTGTGTTGCCAAGCTCGCCGAGGCCGAGGCCCAAGTGGCCGAGGTTGAGAGTATGATCGAGGAACGCGACGTTGCTGTTGCCAAGCTCGCCGAAGCCGAGGCTCAAGTGGCCGAGGTTGAGAGTTTGATCGAGGAGCGCGACGTTGCTGTTGCCAAGCTCGCCGAGGCCGAGGCTCAAGTGACCGAGGTTGAGAGTTTGATCGAGGAACGCGACGTTGCTGTTGCCAAGCTCGCCGAAGCCGAGGCTCAAGTGGCCGAGGTTGAGAGTTTGATCGAGGAGCGCGACGCTGCTGTTGCCAAACTCGCCGAGGCCGAGGCTCAAGTGGCCGAGGTTGAGAGTTTAATCGAGGAGCGCGACGTTGCTGTTGCCAAGCTCGCCGAAGCCGAGGCTCAAGTGGCCGAGGTTGAGAGTTTGATCGAGGAGCGCGACGTTGCTGTTGCCAAGCTCGCCGAGGCCGAGGCTCAAGTGACCGAGGTTGAGACTTTGATCGAGGAGCGCGACGTTGCTGTTGCCAAACTCGCCGAGGCCGAGGCTCAAGTGGCCGAGGTTGAGAGTTTGATCGAGGAGCGCGACGCTGCTGTTGCCAAGCTCGCCGAGGCCGAGGCTCAAGTGGCCAAGGTTGAGAGCTTGATCATCGAGCGCGACACCGTTGTCGCCAAGCTCGCCGAGGAAGAGGCTCGGACCGCTGAGCTCCACGCAGAAATCGATGTTCTTGGAGCTCAGAACGACGCCTTGTCGACCGAGCTTGCCGCCAAGACCGCCGACGTCAATGCGCTGGTCGCCGATCTCGAGTCGGCTGTGGCAGACTCTAGTGCAGCAAGGATATCAGTGGCAGAGATGGAGGTTGTCAGAAGCCAGTTGGAGGTGACAAGGGCTGCCCGCGACGAGCTGGCCGACAAGGTGGCCGAGTTGGAAGAAGTGACCGCAACTGTGACCGCGGCAGAGTCTCTTGCTGCCGAATTGGATGCTGCCACCCGAACACGTGATGAGCTTGCAGCACAGCTGGCTGACGTCCAGGCCGAGCTGGATGCAACTAGCCAGCAGCTCTCGACAGTCCAAGCCGAACGCGACATCGCCCAGTCACACCTGGAAATGGTGCAGGACGATCAGTCTGTTGCCGACGCGCGTGCCCAGGAGACTCAAGAGCTACTTGCGACGCTTGCAAACTCGCTTGACGAGGCCCGCTTCAATTTACTTGACACACTCGCCGATGCAGACGGTGATTGTGCTGCTGAGCAAGTTGATGCGGAACGCAGTCCCTCGGAGGGCGACGCTGTACAGGCGCTTGCGGCGCTGCTTCAGGTCATTGGCTCGCTCTCGAGTCGGGTCAGCACGGCCGAGCATGCAGGTTCCGCCGAGCTATGTGCCCGTATTGACGAGCTGGAGGACCAGCTGGCTGCAGCCATTGCCGAGCGCGACGCCATTCAGTCGTCGGTTGCGCACCTCGCACACTGGCTCAACGACGATGCGTCTGTTGGCCAAGCCGGACCTCCGGGTGGTGTTGGCCTTCCGGCTGGTACCGGTCCTTGGCATCCTCTAGACCTCGAGGCCGAAGCCGAGCTCGAGGCCTTTTCCGCTGCTGTCCGGGGTCTTGTTGCCGAGCTGGATGTTGCCAAGAGCCCCAGCGAAGCGGGCTCGGGCTCGGGTCCGGGCTTTGAGCCGACTTACTCGTTCACTCTTCTCAACTCGCTGGTCTTTTCAGCCGAGCGCCGCGCAGGTTCGCCGCTGCCGGTCGTCACCCTGCGCGACGACTCGCCTGTTGCCGGCCTTGTTTCCGCCGCCCGCGACCTTCACGGAGCAGTCCTGACGCTGATCAAGGAGATGGTTGCCACATACGGCGAGGTTGTGGCGCTTTCGGACAAGGATGCCATGATTGACCGCCTTGCCGAAGATCACCTCGTGGTGATGGAAGCGCGCAAGGCCGATGAGCTCAACACCTCACACACCCGCCTTGTCTCGCTCTCGCAAGAGAACGCCGTCCTTACCGCACGTGTTGCTGATCTGGAGGCCGAGCGCGCCGACGCCGAAGCCTCGCGCTCGATGCGGATCTCGTCGCTTATGACCAACGACACGATCGTGCCTGCCGAGACCGCTAGCCGGTTGCGAAAGGTTCTAAGGACGCTGACCACCAAGGTGACCGCACTGGGCGGCGCCGAGACCGCGCTCCAGCTCAACCGACTGTATGTAGACGCCGAGATGGACGCTGCGTCGGCGGTCCACGACCGCGCGCTGGCCGACTCGGGCTCCGGCGACAATGCACACGACCGCTGGTTGGAATCTGGGGTCTACGAGCTTGTGCTCTCATTCTCGTCGACGCTTGCTAGACTCAAGGAGCGCGAGTCCTTCCGCAGCCAGCAGGGCTTGGGCTCGGCAGCGTCGGCCTCGCCACCTGCACACCTCCCGATTCTTCGCGCCTCCCACATGGAGGCGCTGCAGGCTCAGAACGACAAGCTGCAGATAGAGCTGCGCGAGGCTCGCGCCGCAATCGCAGCATCGACGTCGGACAGATCATCGACCGCCGCTCGCGGTGAGACTGCCTGGGATGCCATTCGCCGCCTCGTCAACACCATCTGGCTCACCGACGTCAACCTCAAGCGCCACATCATCAAGGTCCGCCAGATCGCACCAGTCGACAAGGACCGATGGGAAGAGCTCTCCGGCCCGGCGTCGCGGCTGTACGACGAGGCTGCCTCGCAAACCCAAATCACCACCATGCTGGAGACGGCCGAGTGCAACCGCGAGAAGCTCAACATGCTCATCGTTGCCCTCCTCGACCGCGCCGCCTACCTCAAAGACAAGGTCCACCGCATGCGCGCGTCGATGGCCGGCTACCTTGTCATTGTCAACGAGCTCGAGGCGGCCCTGGAGCTCGAGTCGGAGCGCTACATCAACGCCGAGAGCCAGCGGTCGCAACTAGCCAAGCTCGTGGCTGAGCTCGCCGGCGGCCTCGAGGCCAACGCGAGTGTCTCACTCCTCGACATCTCGGCCGAATGGCCGTCGCCATCCAAGACCCCACTCGCCCACGTCGTCCTGCCCACAACCCGGGCTCTCGATGCCTCGTTCCGGTCTGACTCGTCGGGCGGCTCGCCCAACGCGCATCATGCCGACAAGCTCGCCTTTGCCGATGGACTTGCCTCTGTCGAGCACACCGGCAACGTGCACGTCGTCAACGCAGACCACGAGCTCTCGGCATACCTATCGTCGCCGTCAATGACCGGTGAGTCCATCCTGCTGCTGCAGCGCTCAAACTACGACGCTGAAAAGTCGTGGGACGAGCTGGACCTCTCGTCGTCGTCGTCATCGTCGCTGCCTGTTGTCTCGTCCCCTCGTAAGCGCCCGCCGCTGGTCTCGACTGCCGCTCCCAACGAGAACTCGCCAGTCTACGAGGCACGCTGTTCTGACAGCTCTATGGCAAGCTTGCCAGTCTACGGCCTCATCCCCTCGCCGTCGCGCGTGCTCGACTCGCCATCGCCAGTCCGCCACACGCACCCAGCCATGTCGTCCACCCGTGTCATGTCGCCATCGCAGGTCGGTCCGCTTCCTACCCTCGTCTCACCAGTTGTCCGCCACACCTCGCCGCACCCTGATCCTCTCCCAGACCTCACCGGCGACTACTACTCTGTCATCTCTTCGCTCTCGCCATCGCCGACCCGTCGTCCGCGCCGCCGTTAGCCCGCCACGATTCGGACAACCTCTGCTGCTGACTATGAATCGGCTTTGTACAAACACACACACACACACACACACACACGCGCGCGCACACACACGCATGCCACACGTACATGCGCACACACACACATAACTGCTTGATGGTTGTCAGCAGAGCACGTTTCCATGGTCTGATCGGTCAGTCGAAAAGCGCCATTGTTCAATATTCCGCCCCCCCCCCCCCCCCCAACACCCCCGCCGGTCGCCAGTCGTTCGTTAGTCAGGCATATTGCGGCGGTGGCATGGGCAGGGGCGGTCAATGGCACGGACGAGGTGAGGGGAGAGAGAAGGGCGAGGGAAGGGAGAGCACCCCACTTGGCAACCTCACACCAAGAGGGGGAAGAGGTGCGGCATGGAGAACCATGGCTGTGTCACCCACACCACAGGTACATGGGAGGAAGCCAACTGCAGGTGGCCAGACTACCTCCTGCCCTTTACCCCCTACCGACTGGTAACCATGGTCTCCGAGGCCGAAGACCCCGAGTGGCTGGTGGGGAGTCTGGACGGTGCCCGTGGCGTCTTTCCCGCTCTGTCGTCGAGCGCCTTGTCCGCCCAGCGCCGGCCACCATTGCCAACGCCTCCCGCATCTCCGACCTCGGCGCCACCACCCGGACAGAGCCCGTCGAGCCACGCGAGAGCCCGTCGTCGCGCTCGCGCGCAGTCTCTACAGACTTTGACCGCGCAGCCGCAGCGTCAGTCATCGGCGCTCGCGACCCAGGCGCGCCCGCCCGCGCATCACCTGCCCGCAAGCGCTCGGCGGCCTCGCGCATCCGCCGCATGGGATACCTCCTCAAGCGCGGCGCCCGCTTCAAGTCATGGCGACGGCGCTGGTTTGTTCTCCAGGGCGGCGTCATCTACTACTTTTCCTCGGAGCACGCCTTTGACTCGGACGAGCGTGCCCTCGGTCTCATTCCCGTCGCTGTCTACGCTCACATCGAGGTCTGCGCCGTCCCGGACGGCTTTGGCTTTGCCCTCGTTCTTCCGGGTGCCCGCACCTACTACCTCGCCGCCGCCACCCGCGATGAGCGCACGCTGTGGATTGACGATCTTCTTGCTCTTGGTCTCACCGTCCTTGACCATGGGGTTGGATTTTCTCGCCGTCCGACTCTCCTCTCCGGCGCGAGCGCGGGTTCGGGCTCGGCCGCCGCGCCCGAGCCCCAGCACATGATGTCGCACGGCGTCCTCGCGCGGACGCGCTTTGCTTATGATGGGACGGGCGTGTTTGTCAGCCCGACTGAGCTGCAGGCTGCGCGCACCAGCGACGCGCCGCACGACAGTGCCAGCTTCATCTCGGGACCAGACACCATGCCGTGTGCACTCTCATTTTCGGTCGGTCGGCTCATAACCAACGTCGAAATCTCCACCGACAGCCGGTACGGCTACGGCCGGCTCGACGACGAAGTCGGTTTCTTCCCGCTTGCCGCAGTCACCATCATCTCGTCGCCCATCGAGGCTCAGGACGGGCCGGCCGCCCGCGACGAGCGGCGGACGTCGAGCTCGGCTGGCCCCGCACCGGGCGCTGCCGGTGACGACGCCGAAGACGAGCCTGTGTTGGAAGCCAATGGCGAGCGGCCAGAGATCGACGTCTGCAAGTCCTATTTGGACGAGGGCTGGGTCTCCGCCGAGGTCTTCCGCATGGTCTCGGACCAGGTGGCTGTTGCGCTCGGACCGGGCGCCGAGTCGAGTGACCCGGCTCAGCACGAGTCGATGTACGAGGCCGGGCTTGTGGCGTGGGACACAGCTGTTCGTACGCTGCGAGCCGAGGCCAACCCGCTCATCGACTCGTCGCGCGCCTGCACGCTAACACCTGACGAGGTTGCGGCGATCGACGGGCTGGCCCGGATTGGCGTTCTCTCCAAGTGTGGCGGACGGGTCAAGTCATGGCGCAAGCGGTTCTTTGTCATGCAAGAGCTCACGCTGTACTACTTTCGGTCGGAGGAGGCGTGGCGCGATGGTGCCGAGCCGCAGGGCTCGATTCCGGTCGCCGAGTACGAACAGGTCGGCCTCCTTGCCGACAACGAGATGGTCAACGGGTTTATGATCACCCGCTGTGACTCGCGCACTTACTTTCTCGCGGCGCTCACTCCAGTCGATCGCGACGCCTGGGTCCATGCCTTCCAGATTATCGGCCTCAAACTGGTCTCGCCTGGCCGGCTGCACCTCGCGGAGGCGTCAGATCTCGACTCGGATGGCGAGGCGGCAGCACCGGCGCCGTCGCCGGCCCGGTCGCGTGGCTCGTCCATCTGGCGCTCGGACGCGTCGTACAAGCGCAAGAACACCGGCCGCCGCCGCTCGGTCTCGCTGCAGAACAGAGTCGGCTGGCTCTACAAGCGTGGCGGCATGCGCAAGAACTGGAAGCGCCGCTACTTTGTGCTGCAGGAAGGCGAACTGGCGTACTACGAGGCCAAGGTCCTTGTCCGTCCGCTCAAAGTCATCAACCTCCGCGAGTACTACGAAGTCGACTTTGCCGAGTCCGAGTCGAAGCGCGCCCGATTTGGCTTTAAGATCACCGGCGATGGGCTTCGGACCTTTGTCTTTGCCGCCGCCACCGAGGAGATCCGCGCCCAGTGGGTGATGGCCTTTCACCAGGTCGGCCTTGTCCGTGCCTACAGTGTTGTCAACTCGCCGAACCCACTCTATGCTGTCCGCGCACGCTCAGTCTCATTGCACGAGCCCGCGCGCAAGCTCTCGGACGTGGCCGAGGTTGCAGCACCATCAGCCGCCGCCGCCATCTCTGGTGTCCGGCCAGGTCGCTCTGCTACAACCTCCTCGCGTCCATCGTCGCTTGCCTCGGGCGGCTCGGGTGATCTCTCGCACGCCGACCACGTTCACGCCGACGATGGCGACGATGCGTCTGAAGTCTCGTCGAGCTCGTCGACTGACGAGCCTGACGACGATCTTGACGCCGGAGAGCCCGACGACAGCGACTCGAGCTCGGGGCAGTAAAGAGGTGTGTGCACATGCACGTGGACCGCGTGTATGCGTGTGTGTGCATGTATGTGGTATGTGTGTGTCGGCAGTTTATCGTCTCAGATGACGTTGAAGACCGTCTTGAGCTTCTTGATGAGGATCCAGTCCGACTTGCGCATCTCGTCGCGGAAGTGAGCCTTGAGGACGTCGATCGAGTCGCGCGAGACGACCGAAATCAGCTTGTCCTCCTCGGTAAACTGGCGGCCAACGGTGAGGCCGTGCGGCGAGTCAAACTTGACAGCAACCTGAGTCGTCTCGCGCGCTTCCTCAACGTCAATCCCATTGTCCTGCAGCGAGATGACGCGGCCGACCTCGAGGTTGCCCTTGGACGGGACGCAGAGGAGCGAGCCGATGCGAAGGACGCCCTGCTCGACCTCGACGCCGAGAACAACAGGGTTGCGAGCGTTAAAGACAGCAACAATGTTGCAGATGCAGGGGAAGATGGCGAGGTCGCGGACGGCCTCCTTCTCCTCCTGCTTCTTGCCGTCGAGGTAGCGGAGGAACTCCTCCTCGAGCCGGTAGATGGTCTCGTTGGTGAAACATGTGACCCCGCGCTGGTTGGCGTAGAGCTGGATGTCAGGTGCGATGGCGACGTTAAAGGCGAGGATGCACGCGTACCGCGGCTTGCGGTCGAGCATGATGGCTGCCTTGTTGACGTCCTTCTTGTGGATGGGACCGAGGCCCACGCCGTTCACGGGCACGCCCTCTGATTGCAGGAAAATGAGCAGGGCCTCCAGCGAGCCGAGCGTTGACGCCTTGACAAACACGCCTTCGCCTGACTTGTCCACCGCAGACTCGAGCACGGTCTCCATGTCTTCCATCACCTCCTCCTTGAGGTCTTCGACGTCGTCGTCAGGGCCGACCACCAGCAGCGACGTGCCGGCAACCGCGTTCTCGAGGTTGTGCGCCGAGATCTTGATGCCCTGCGCCGCGTGGACCACCTTGTGATGCTGATACGGCGTCTTGACCCGCAGCTCCTTCATCGGATGCGGGGTGAGGAGCGCCCGGATCTTGGTGTGGATCGGCCCCTCCATGCCACACACCACAATCTCGTCGCCCTCGCGGATCGAGCCATTGACCAGGATGATGTCAATGGTGGTGCCGAGTCCAGGCACAGCCTTGACTTCCAGCACCGTCGCCTCGAGCTCCGGCTGCAGGTACAGCTGCTTGGCCATCATCCGCTGCGTCAACTGCACAAGCATCAACAGCAGGTCCGGGATGCCCTCACCGGTGTGCGCAGACGTCGGGATGAGCGAAATATGCGTCCGGTAATCCGGGTTCTCGTAGTACAGCGCGGCGTTGAACCCGAGTTCGGCAAACTGCACAATCACGTCGTTCGTCCGCGCCTTGAACTCGTTCAGCGTCGCCTGCTCCTGCTCCTTCTGCGAGACCTTGAACGGCTGGTAGATCGGCGAGTCCGCCGGCGACTTCCACGCGTAGCAGCGGTCGATCTTGTTGAGCGCGACCACAAACGGCGTCTTGTTCTTGCGCAGCATCTCCAGTGACTCAACGCACTGCGGCTCGATGCCGTGCATCAGATCGACAACAACAATCGCAATGTCGCACTGTTCTCGTTGGTGCGCGAGAGTGGGAGGGGGGGGGGGGGGAAAGGAAGGGGGGGGTGGAAGAGGAAGTGAGCAATGTCGGTCAACAACCAAGTACGACGGTCAGAGCGGGAGCACCCCGAAGAGGCTCAACCGCTACGCGCACGCGACAATAGTCAACCCCTAGTGACGAAACCAGGTGGGCAAGCCCTTCGATATAGCCTCCCTGAGGACCCCGCCGCGCAATGAGGTGCGGCGTGGAAAAAAAGGGGGCATAGTTGCACGCCGACAGTGTCGACGGCACAGCTGCGGGGATGAAAGGGAAGAGGGGAGGGGGTAAGGGGGGCACAGGCAGGCAAGGTACGTACCAGCGACGAGCCACGCGAGCGCAGGTTGGAAAACGACTCGTGCCCGGGTGTGTCGATAACGAGCAGGCCAGGGACCAGCATCTCCATCTTCTTCTTGGCGGTACGGGTAAGCGCATCGGTCTGGCGCTCAATGGCGTCGGCCGGGAAAAAGGTGGCGCCGATCTGCTGGGTAATACCGCCGGCCTCACCGGTCTGGACGTTGGTCCGGCGAATCTTGTCCAGCAGCTTAGTCTTGCCAGTATCGACGTGGCCCATAACACAGCAGACAGGCGCACGGTACTTGGGGCGCTCCGGCTCGGATGCGCCAGCAGCGTCAGCGTCGGCGGCGGCGGACGGGCCATCGGTGCCGTCGGCGTCCGACGCCGACTCGGCCTCCTTGTCATTGTCATTGTCATCACCAAAGCCAAAGCCCGAGTCGTCGCCGGACGAGACCGAGTCGGCGTCCCACTCGTCGGGCGTGCTCGACTCCTCGTCCTTGGCGGCAGCCTCGGCCGCGGCCTTGGCAGCGGCCTCGGCAGCCTCAGCAGCCTTCTGCTCATCGGTCTTCTTCTTCTTGTTTCCATAGCGGACCTTGGTCTTCTTGCGCTTGCCCTCGACTGCATTCGGGTCGATGAGGCCCTGATCAATAAGCTCCTTCCGGCGCGCCTCGGCCGCGGCCTTGGCCGCACGCTCCTTCTTAGTCAACTTGGGCCCAGCGGCCGCCTGCGCCGCGAGCCGGTCACGCTCGGCCTGCTCCTTCCGCCGCTGCGTGTCCAGCCGCTCCGCCTCGGCCTGCCGCTCCGCCTCCAGCCGCTCCTCTTCTTCGCGCTGCTTGCGCTCGGCCTCTGCCCGCTCACGAGCCTCCTTCTCAGCCTTGATCTTGGCGATCATCGCCGCCTTGCCCTTGGGCTTGCCGCCCTTGGTCTTGCCACCCTTGGTCTTGCCGCCCTTAGCCTTACTCTTCTTGTCCTTGCCCTTGTCCTTGCTCTTCTCCTTCTTCTCTGCCGTTGCCTCACCACCAGCATCGGCCTTGCCGTTTTCCCCGGCATTACCATCCGCAGCATCATTGCCCTTGCCCTTCTTGCCCTTGCCCTTGCTCTTTTGCTCACGAGCTGCATCCGCCTCGGCCTGCTGCACCGGATCTGCCTCGGGGTCAAACGTGTCCCAGAAGTCGTCACCTCCGCCCTTGTTCTTCTTGCGGCGACCCATTCTGCTTGCACCAAACGATAGTGGCGGGGAGAGCAGAAGAGGGGAGGGGGAGGATGAGGGTGAGTGGATAAGGGGAGGGAGAGGGGAGGGAGAGGGGAGGGAGAGGGGAGGGAGGGAGGGAGGGAGGGAGGGAGAAACGACGGGTCAAGGTGGCGGAGGGGATGTGAGGAGGGTGAGCGAGGGGCTCTCTTCAACGACTCGTTTTCCAAGACGCTCCATCATCCACCAACTTGGGGGGGGGGAGGGGGGAGGGGGGGAGGGCAACCCTCCCTTTCCCACGTCCGTTAATGTTTGGTGCAAACCATAGGCACCAGCAAGTCTGAGTACACCTACAGTACTATACAGGTACATCAACTTCACCACATGGGTGTATCTGGCTGAACATGGCTACCTCTGGCGGGGGGGGGGGTCTTACTTTGTGTGCGGTCAAGTGTGCGAACAAGTGACCCGTCGACTTGTAGCTGGTACTGCAACCAACCAGACCACCGAGCCGAGCAACTCATTCTTGATCTGGCCTAAGTCAAAAATGATACATTATTAGGAACCGAGCAGAGTAGAAGAGCCGAGCCGAGTAGAGCCGAGCCGAGCCGAGCCGAGCCGAGCCGAGCCGAGCCGAGCCGAGCACCCGGGGTCGAGCAGGGGGGCGAGACGGAACAAGGCGACTCGGGCGACAGTGGGGCGGAATCGAGGCGGTAGAGCTCATCACCTCGCTAGTTGGTACAGGCTTTCGGGTGGACAATGTCGCGCAAGCGGAGCAGAGCTCAGGCTGAGACACAGGGACAGACCGTACTCGACGAGGGGACGTACCAGGCCGGCCTGGCCAACGCTGTCGAGGCCGAGTTCTTCCCGCAACTTCCACTGCTCCGGCTGCGGGCTCAACTCGCTGAGGCCGAAGATGCTGGAGATGCTCTGCGCGTCCGTGGCCTCCGGGCGGCCATCGCTTCCCGGAGTAGATCATCGACCAGACAAGGTCTCAAGGCCGACTCGGGCTCGGGCTCGGGCTCGGGCTCGGGCTCCGACTCTGATGACGACGGCGACGAGCGGAGCAGGGTGGCCAAGCGCGCACGCACACTGGGTGTCACCCGCTATCTGGCTACATACGTCTCTGAAGATAATGCAGCGTTTGAAGAGGCACACATCGCGCCGAGAAGCACATCAGGCGCGCCCGGCTCGTCACTGGCTATGGTCCCGCTCGCCGGAATGGGATCCAGTGCGGTTGCGGGCGGGTTGCTAGAGAACGGCACGGCGCGACAGAGCGATGACGACGGCACTGAGCCGCGCATTCTCCCGGTCAACACCAACTTTAGCCAGCCACCGCCGCAGCCCGCAGCCGGTGCCCACGCCGCCGAGGAGACCATGACTGTCGACGGTGTGTCGGTCCGCATCGGGCGGTCATCCAGCAAGTCCGGGCCGACGGTTAATGGCTACTCGTTTGTGCGCGAGCCAAGCGCACCGCAGGCGGGTGGCGGATACACCCTTCCGCCGGTGCGGCAGCGGGAGCGGGCGGCGGCAAAGATCGGCGCCCGCTACGCGGCTGCGCGAGCACAACGCGAGGCGCAGGCAAAGCGATTTTCGCGGTCGGCGACACCACTGGGCGCAGCACACGCGCTTCGACATGGCACCCTTTCGCCGGCGCTACGGTCGGCGCTGGCGCGGTCAGGGACTCGGCTGAGAACACCGGCGCTGGCACGATCAGCGAGCCGCGCCCCGCCGTAGCGGGTCGAACCCGATCACGCGCGAAGAACTGTGCGTGGTGGGCGCTTGGTTGGCTGCCGGTCCGAGACTGTTGACAGAGTAAAGCCCGGCAGAGGTTGGTGCAAGTGCTTAGGAAACTGGATGCCATGCCGGCGAGAGACAAGGAGCAACCAGTGGCGGTAGTCGTGCAGGAGAGCGAGCGCCGACTCGTGGGTCGTCTTCAGGTCCTGGAGCTGCTGGAAAAACTCAGGGTCAAACGCCGAGAGCTCGACCCGGAGCCGGGCGTTGATCCGTTCGAGCTTCACCATCCGCAGCTGCACAGCCTTCAGCTGCTCCCGCAGCTTAGGGGCGGCTGCCGCGTCGTCGATCATGTTCTGTGTCAGGCTGGGGTTCGCCGTCTTGACCGCCTTGTTGCGCAGCAGCTTGATCTGGGCCATCTCCTTGGACAGCTTCTCAATCCGCCGCTCGAGCTTGGCCTCGTTCTCTTTGACAAGCGCGTTCTCTGCCATCACGCCCAGCAGGACGTCTTCGCCATGGCGAGCAATGATCTGGCGGTTGAGCACACGGTACGCCTCAAGGTCGCGGCGCATCTCCTCCATGTCGCGGAGCAGCGCCGTCCGGCCACGGTTAGCGGCGAGCGCGTCGGCGTGCGCGCGCTTGGCCCGCGCCGCTGCCCGCAAAGCAAGCTTTCGGTCTTCGTCAGCATCGACCGCTGCGTTGGCTGCCCTCGCCGTCGCCGCCACCACCCGGGTCGACGCCTCGGACTTGGCCTTGCGGGCAGCGGCGCACGAGCCGTTGCAGAACTTGGACTGCTGCACCTCCACAGTCAGCACCGCGCGCTGCAGCCTCCGCACCTTAGCCTCGGCCGCCGCTAGCGCCGTCGTCAGCCGCGCATTCGCCGCAGACAGCTTGTGGATGACCTCTTCAGCCTGCTCCGCCGTCAGCTCCAGCTCCAGCTCGGCCTTCCCGACCAGCCGGACCTCGTCGATGCTCTCGTCCCCGCTCTCGCTGCCATACATGACCTCGCCGGCTCGCGCCTCGCCAGGACCCGTCTTCCTCATGCCTCCACTATAACCTTGGAGAAGAGTGCAAGCTGTACTTCTGCCTCGCACTGTTGGAGCCTTTGCTCTCAGACAAGGCGTCGGCTCTCCTCCCCCGCCACCACCCGTGTGGCATCGGCACCTGTTGTGCCCACAATGGCATTTTGGCGCCAACATTCGCGCCCAAACGTAACCGAGTCATTCACTCCTTCTACGGCATGGCACCCGCTCCTGGAGCAGAGTGGAGACCATTTGCCGTCGAGAGCGAGTGCGACGGGCAGCACAAGGTTCTGGTCTCCTCCATCCTTTCTCCCTTCTCTCCTTTCGCTCTCACCTCTCCCAACGACCGCTTTGAGCATAGCTATATGGCCGACTCGGGCACGGGCCCAGTGCGGACAGCGACAGCAGCTGCGCCAATCGCAGCGCAAAGTACAGCTGCAAGTGCACCGGGTGGACGGAAGGTGACATCTGCCAGTCATCCGTACCGCGCGTCCAAGATGATGGATGTTGTCTCAGGGATAGGCGGGACGGACGGAGCGCCGTTGGTCAGCAAGAGTCCTCAACATGATGCAACCGATGCAGACGGTGAAGATGATGTGGCTGTTGGCGACGACGACGACGTCACTGCTAGAGTCGGAGCACTCCATGTGGCGCACGCGCCTGGTCTCAAGTCGACCTTCACAGGCACCTGCCGCGATCTCGATGCCGATCTCGGGCGGCTAAGCGAGGTCTACGGGACGACGACAATCGTGTCGTTGCTGCCGCGGACCGAGGCTCAGCGACTGACCATTGGGCCACGAATCGAAGCAGAAGCTGCCGCCGCTGTGGGCATGAAGCTCCTCCGGTTTCCGATTGTCAACGGCGGCATTCCCGACGATATGGCAGTGTTTTCCGACTTTGTCGATGCTCTTGTTGCCCGCATGCTCGCCGGCGAACGACTGCTGGTCCACTGCCGTGCCGGCTACGGACGGGCAGGTATGGTCGCTGTGGCCATGCTCCTCCGATCCGGAGCTTGCACTAGCCTCGCTGCCGCCATCGCCCACGCCCGCCGCAAGCGGCCATCATCTCGCACCCGCATGGTCGAGAACGAGAGGCAGGAAGCATTCCTCGCCGACTACGCCACCGCCGCAGGCCTGCTTCTCGAGTAAGCGAGTGTCTCGTCGCCCGCCACTGCACTCGCCATGCCCGCGCTCTACGCCAACGCGCCCGCGGAAGTCGCTGACGAGGCTGGCCGGCTTGTGGCTCTGGCGTGGTGCTTGCTGGGCTGCGGAGCAGTGGCAGCGGCGGTGTTGGTGGCCGGTGTCACCGCGCCGTACGGCCGATACAACACGGCCGGCCGGTCGTGGATCTACGGATGGAACGTGCCTGGTCGGCTGGCGTGGTTTGTGCAAGAGATGCCGTGCGTAGTAGCGTCTGCTACTGCGCTGGCGTATGCGCCGGGCGAGCTCTCGCGCGCGCAGATGGCGCTGCTGGCCGCCTTTGCCGTCCACTACTTTCACCGAGCGTGCGTCTTTCCGTTCCGCATGGTTGGCTCCAAGCCGTCGAGCCTGATGACAACGGTCCTGGCCTTTGCCTTTTGTGCGGCTAATGGATACATGCAAACCCGCTGGATCACGGCCCACGCCCAGCCCTGGCTCGACTCTGTGCCTGCCCTCACGATGGCCACCGGTCTTGTACTCTTTGTCGTCGGCATGGCCATCAACATCCACTCGGACTCGATCCTGCTCAACCTGCGGAAGCCAGGTGAGACTGGGTATGTCATTCCGCGCGGCGGCATGTTCGACTACGTCTCGGGAGCGAACTTTTTCGGCGAGATTGTCGAGTGGCTTGGCTTTGCCCTCGCAGGCGGCTGCCACCTTGTGCCGCTCTCGTTTGCGCTCTTCACAATGTGCAACATCGGGCCACGCGCCCTGCACCACCATGCTTGGTACCTGACTAAGTTCCGCGACGAGTATCCTCGTCACCGGCGGGCGCTTGTGCCGTTTGTTCTGTAGGCCCAACCTCGCTCTCCAACCTTTCTTGCCAGGTTCATTGTGTGGACGCTGCATCAGCCGGGGCTGCGCGGACGTGCGCCATCTTGCCGGCGTTCCAAGCGTCCATGTGAGTGGTGGCGAGAGTGGGAACAAAGTCGCGAGAGTCGGACGGGACCAGCTTGCCGTTGGGTGCATGGACCGGCTCCTGCGACTTGTGCCAGCGGTACGAGAGGGTGAAGGCGGTCTGGATGGGGATGTCGGCGCAGAGCGGTGCCATGGCGTGCTCGGCGATGGCGCGGATCTCGGCGACGTGACGATCAAGGTCGCTAGTCTCAGGCAGCTCGACAATGATTTCGTCGTGGACAAAGCCGACGATGCGGTAGCCCGAGTGGAAGAGATCCCACAGCGCGAGCTTGGCACCGTCGGCGGCAAGGCCTGAAAAGGGCGTGTTGCGCGCCTGGGTAAAGTTGACGCACCCGCGGACTCGGCCGGTAAGGGTAACGACCGACTGACGGAAGAGCGCGTCGTAGACCTCATCCGAACCGAGCTGGCGATCAGCAAGCAGCGGAGTGAGCTTCGGGTTCCGGTTCAGCTTCCGGAGCGAGGCCCAGATGTTGGCCACAAACTTCTGCGAGTATGGCAGGCCGTCGCGGCGGAACGGACGGCCGCGGACAACCGATTTGATGTCGAGCAGGTTGGACTTGCCGAGCGTGTCAGCCTCACCGTCGACTGCAAGGTGGTACCTCAGCTTGCGGCGGACAACCGCCAGTGACCGGCGCAGGTTGGACGCGAGGAGAACGAGCGACTGCTCGTTGAGATACATGCCGATCTCAGGGAAGACCTCGTTGGTAAACTGCCGCCGCAGCTCCTTGGCCTCGGGATAGGTGAGCGATACGCCAAACGAGGCTGCGTACTCGCGAAGCGAGCGCGCGCCCTGTCCGCCGGGCAGACCAAAGTTGATGGCCTTGGCTCGCTGGCGCAGATACTTGTACCGCGCCCGAGTCGCCTCGTCCGACGAGTGCTTCTGAGCTTCAAACTCGGGCAGGCTCATATCGTCGCAGACGGCGGCAGTAAAGGCGTGCGGGTCGACGCCGTTGCGGATGACGTCGGCGAGGACTGATTGCCCGTACCGCGCCTCGCACACCGCCGCCAGCGTGCAGAGCTCGATGAACGAATAGTCGACGGTGAGCAGAACGGCGCCAGGGCGGGCGACGTAGCACTCACGGAAGCCCGGCATCGACGGCGTGCCCTGCAAGTGCGGCTCAAACGTTGCCGTCCGCCCGTTGCGCATCACTGCCACGTACCGCGGGTGGACAGTCATGAGCTCGGCGCCGAGAGGCTGCGGCCGCAGATCGCGGGTGCCCTTGGCCACGCCCTCGTCTTCGGCGCTCGACGGCTTGCCCAGCGCTGTCCACATCTCGTGCAGCGGCGCCACAATGTCGAACAGCTTGCAGTACTCGATAATGGTGCAGTAGCGGGCGACAAACTCGGAGAGGTGCGCAAACCGCGCCCACTTTTTCATCCGCACCGAAATGTCCGATCCGTCGCGCGGGAGCGAAAACATCTTGTACTCTTCGTCACGGGTGAGCAGCGGCGGGTCTTCGATGGAGAGCCCAGCCGCCTCGCGCTCCGCGCGCCGTTTGTCCACCACTGCTGCCAGCGCTTCACGCCGTGCGCGCACCAGCGCCTTGCGGGTTCCGGCCCGGGACATCCGTGGCTTACCGGTATCAGTGGTGAGGAACGAGATCTCGTCGAGCGGCGCCTCGCTCAACTGCCACCCGTCTGACTCGGCCTCGTCGACCATCAGCGTCTCTTCCTCGATCGAGAGCGAGAAGAGCGACGAGACTGCTGCCTTTTCGGTCGCATTTTCAAACTTCTCCTCTTCGCCGTCGTCATCCGATGTTGCCTCGACCACGTCTGAAGGCAGGGTGCCGACCGCCGACGCCACCTTGGCCGAGACACCAGCCACAGTCTCGCTTGCGCTCGGTGGGTCATCCTTCGCGGCAGTCTCGCCGTTTGCGCCAGCGCCGACACGCTCGTACTGAAACGCGATGCGGTAGAGCGGCATGTGGGCCTGGATGTAGGCGCAGTGCTCCTGGATGGTGGCCTGAAGCCTTGTATAGAGCGCAGCAACGGTGCGCGGGTCGACGGCTATGCCGTTGAGTGTGGCGTCCTGCAGCGCGACCGCGCCCTTGATCTGGATGACCTCGGAGAGCGGGCCCCACGAGTCGACCGCGTGCTGGAACATCGAGTGGTTGCGGTCAAAGCAGCACTCGTTCATGACGTCGACAGCCTTGCAGTCCATAATGTAGTGAACATTGAAGATGAGCGCCGTCATTGCCGTCAGCTGGTCGTGGCTCAGCTCCGGGAGCTCCATGTCGGCGTTGGTGGTGCACGCGCCCACCATGCCTGCCAGAAGAGCCATAAACTGCTTGTCGTCGGCGACCTTGGAGACTCTAACCTTGGCTGCATCAAACAGGGTTCGCGGCTCGATGTCCCAGTCGGCCGAGACGTCGAGGGCGAGTGCCCGATGGACGAGCTCATCGAGCGAAGCGCCAAGCGGGATCGACCCGGACCCGGCGAGCTGGAGCAAGCCGTCGAGGAGAACCACGTCCGAGATGAAACCGCGGTTAACAATCTCCAGCCAGAGGCTCTCAGCCTGCATCGACACCGCCGCCAGCGCGTGCCGCAGCTTGGTGTACTGACTCAGCGCGTGTGCGACGACAAACTTGATCTCGCCGCACTGTCCGAGCCAGTGGGCGAACTGGGCGACGTCCATGGCATGGCATGCGCTTGGCGAGCCTTCTGAGAGCATGACCATACCTCCTCCGGGATAGTCGGCCTGAGTCCATGAAGGGGAGGACGGGAGGGGGACGGGAGGGGGAAGAAGGGGCGGTGGCAGTGCTGTGAGTTGGTCCTGCTGCGTGGAGCGACTTCTTCCATTCCTCCCTTTCTTTCGCTTGTGGTCGGGCGGCAGGGTGGGGGGGGGGGGGGGGGGGGGGAAAGGGGGAAGGGGAAGGGGAAGGGGAGGGGGGAAGGGAAGAAGGAGGAGGTAGAAGAAGGAGGGGGGAGTGAAAGGTAGAGGGGGGGCATACTGCGTAGTAGAGCGCCACGACGTGGCCCGTGGGTGTGAAGCTCATAATCGAGAGACGGGCACGGTTGGCGACGAGTGGGAGAGATCACGCTTTGATGGCTACCTGCTACTGCACTGGCCAGGGCATGGTGGTGACTGATGGCGTGTGAGGCCGGCTGCGGAATATGAAAGGCGTTTACGGGCCAGCGGGGCCGGGACCAGACTTCTTGATCTGGCGACCGGCGCGGATGATCTCGTCGACCAGGAGGATGTTCGAGGCGATGACAGTGCACGAGTGCAGAAGCATGCGCTTGACGCGGAACGAATCGAGGACGCCCTCAACCACGGGGTCCATGCACTCGCCGGTCATGACGTCGACGCCGACAAGGCGATCGTTGAGGAACGCGTCCTCAAGCTTGACGATGGTCTCGGTCTGGTCAAAGCCCGAGTTGGCGGCAAGCGTCTTGGGGATGATCTGCAGGGCCTGGGCAAAGGCCTCGACACCGAGGCGGGTCTTGCCGCTCACGGTCTTCTTGTACTCCATCAGCTTGGCCGAGAGCGAGTACTCGACAGCGCCGCCGCGGAAGGGCGGTGCCGTCCTCGATGGTGTTCTTAACAGCGCGGAGGCCGTCGCGGACGGCGTCCTTGATCTGCGCCACAGTGTGGGCGTTGGGGCCCTTGATGAGGACCGTGCACGAGAACGGGTTGGTGACGTCCTCCACGAACGTGTACTTGTCCTCGCCGAGCACGGTCTCGTACACCTTGCCGGCATAGCCGAGGCACTCGGGCTCGAGGTCGTCCACAGAGTTGACCGCGTACCCGCCGCACGCAAGCGCAAGGCGCTCCATGTTGCGCCGCTTAGCGCGGCGCAGCGCCACAATCCCCGCACGGCACAGCAGGTCCAGAGCCTGGGGATCGATGCCCTTCTGGTTGATGACCACAAAGCCCGACTTCTCGTCGGTGCAAACCTGTGTTGCATACCATTCCACACACGTGGTCTCCGGGGGTGAGTTCGCGCCGACGCAGCGCTCTTGCGCTCATTTCTCTCAAATACATGCAGATGCAAGGTCGGTTATCAGAATTGTCGTTCTCTTCAAAACGCCTCGGTCTTTGCCGGGCGCTAAGACAGGGATAACAAAGTTCATCATATACAACCGCCGAGGGGGCGAAAGGGGGCAAACAAAAAAATGGGGGGAAAGGGAAATACTTACCGACTCCTTGAAGGCGATGATCTTCTCAACGCGCTCCTGAACAAAGCGGCGCTCGGCCTGGACCATCTTCTCGCGCTCCTCAGGCGAGGCGTAGAAGAAGCCCGAGTTGAGCTCGGTCTTCTCATACTCGAGCGAGACGTTGCAGATGAGAATGTGGCAGTTGTCCTGGTACTTGAGCATGCCCGGGTGGCGTGCACCGTGATCGAGGACGAGGCCCTTGATGAGCTTGGTGTCGGCAGCGGTCTTGTGCAGCATGGACATGATCTCGACCATGAACAGGTCGATCTGCTTGCCCTCGCGCTGAATGGTGAGGACGGCGTCGACAACAATCGAAGTGAGCTGCTCGGCGAGCGCCGGCGCAAGCTTGGTGTGGAGCGACGAGCGCGCGACCTGCATCAGCAGCTCACGGTCGATGTTCACGTCCATCTTGTACGACTCGAGCTGCTCGAGGGCAAACGCCTTGGCCACGTCAAAGCCCTGAGCAATGACCCGCGGGTGGAGGCCCTCCTGGAGGAACCGGTCCGCCTGCCGGAGGAGCTCGCCAATGAGCAGCACGCACGACGTCGTGCCGTCGCCGGTCGCGTCATCCTGTGCCGTTGCGGTCCGGGCAATGAGCGCCGCCGTCGGATGCTGCAGTTGCTATAATTGTTCTCCCGCAAAAACCGAGTTGTGTGTGAGTCCCGCTCCCCTTGCTCCGCTCCCTCGGAAAATTCCCACTCCCAGAAATCTACCAATGCGACCGACGTACCATCTGGTGGAGGAGCACCGAGCCGTCCTTGGTGAGGCGGACATCGCCGGCACCGGACACGAGCCTGTACAACGCGCGCGGGGGTGGTGTGAGTGGGGGTCGGGGGAGGGTGTAGCTTCGGTGGGGGGTCGGGGGTCTTCCTCCTTGTCCGCGCCTTGCCGCCGGAGCGGGTCGGTCGCGCCAAAGCGAGGGATTTTTCGCGGCTGCGCGCCAAGCGATAGACGTACATTTTGACGGTCCCACGGGGACCGAGGTTGGTCTTAAGGATGGACATCATGCCCCGAGCCGCCGTGATGTTGATGTTGACGGCCGTGCCCTTGCGGGCGTGGTCAGCGTTCGGGTTGAGCATTTGAACGGACGCCACTATGTGCAGGAAGGGTCGCCCCGTGTGTGAGTTGCCGTCATAAAAATGGGCGCCAGACGGGCAGGGCCCGTCGGTCGCTGTAGATTCTCAAGCTCCCCCACGCCGCCCTACGCTCCCTCGCAAGCGGGGACAACCACAAAGACGTAGGGTGTAAGCCCAAACATCCGCTTTGTGGTCTTCCCCCCCCTGGCAAACCCTCAATCCTCGCCCTACACAACTTTGCCCAGGAAGATAACATACTCTTGGTCGAGGTGAGCGAGAGAGGAGTCACCAGAACCAACTCAAACAAACACAAACAAAGGCAATTGAATATTCATAATTCGCGCAAACGGCAAACCCGTTTCGTTCGCTCCCGTCACACGCATTCCGTCAAAAACTCGTTCCGCCAAACTCCGTTCCGTCAGACTCAGTCCCGCCAAACTCGTTTGTTGGTTCGTTGGCCTCTGCAACCGTTCGTTTGTTCGTTTGCACCTTCCACAATCGTTCACTCGAGCAAGAGCTCACTCCAGCCAGACACACACATACACACACACACACACACACACACACACACACACACACACACACCACACCACACACACACACTCTCGCCTCTTACATTGGTATATTTCCCTTTCCCCTCGCACGTTCTGCACATGTGGGCACTGGCTTTGACCGTCATGGTGGCGGTGGCGCTGTTGGTCGGGCAGGCGCAAGGCGTGGGTCTCCTCCGCATCACAGTCGGCTCGGCTGGGAGTTTGGAAATGACGACATGTTCGAGCTCAGCATGCTCTGATGCCACGGTGTTGTACTCGGGCAAGCTGGATGGTGGACTTGGTGCCCCGTCGTCTGGGCTCGGCTCGTGGAGCGGTGAGGCCTTTGCTGGCCCGCAGCTTGCAGCTCCAGTCCCGCTGGCGGTCATCGACAGCCTAATCGCCCCGACGCACCCGAGTTGGCAGAGTGGGAGCGTGGCGCTCGCCGCGCTAGGCGCGCCGCTGGATGTGGCCAATACCATAGTGCGGCCAGTGCTTGGCAACGTGACGTTCAGCCTCGGCGCGGTCGGTAACATTCCGCAAGTGGCGCACGTCGTCCGTGTCGGCGGCCCGGCCGGCGTCCTGGCTAACTCTGTGGCAGTCTGCGGCGAGGCGTTGCCTGTGGTGGCGGCGCGCGGCGATGTGCTCAACTGCCAAGTACTCGTGCCCGGCAACGGGAGCTACCCGCTGACGGTCACCTTTGCCGCCGCGTCGGAGCTTGCGACAGGCTCTGCCGGCGTGTTTGATGTCAGCGTCCCAGCCGGGGGCGCAGCCTGGGTGCTGGACGCGGTGGCCGGCGCACCTGGCGCGCGCGACGGGCTGGCAGCAGTAGGCGCAGGGCGGGTGGCGGCAACCAAGGCCGACACTGCGGCGTACCTCGACATCCAGCAGTGGAACGAGGACCGCCAGGCCCGGGTCCGCGTCATGGTCGGCGTCATGTACGCGCTGATTGCGATAGTCATGACTCTTGCCGCCCTCAACGCCGCCGTGTGGCAGGCCTGGATGTTCCCAATGTTCCTTGCTGCCCCGGCCATGTGGTGGTTTGCCACGCTCTTTGTCGGCATGCACGCACTGTCGTGGATGGGTGGGTTCGGGGCATGGGCGCTGACCTCGGGCCTCCTGGTGCTCTACGGCATGATCGCGCCCATCGTGTACTGCTGCATCCGCATGCGGGTCCGCAAAAAGTCAAAGGCCCGCATCGCGCCGTCGCCGACCGAGCTCTCGACCGTGTCCGAACAGGAGGAGGCCGCCAAGACGCCCAGCGGGTCGTACTCGTCGCAGTGCTCGTCGAGCGGCTCGGTCGAGTCGCCGAGTAGAGATGAGGCCAGCGGGAGCGAGAGCGATCACGAGTACGAGAGCGACGACGACGGCGATGTGTCGGCACGGTCGGCGCGGTCGTCGGCCACGCTCTCCGAGCTCGCCAACTACACCCGACGCCCGGCGCCGCTGTCGAAAATTCAGAAGACTGCGCTCCTGATGGTGCTCGGCGTGGTGGCGGTGGCGACGGCAACGGCGGTGACGGTCTTTATGGTGTGGGATCTGAAGACGTACAAGGTGACGATCCGCGAGAGCCGGACAACGCTTGTCGAGTATCAGCCGCAACTCATTGCCAAGTCGATCCAACTTGTGTATGGCTTTGAGCGAATGGCCAAGATCATCCGCTTTGGCTTTGTGCTGCGGGCGCAGAGCAAGGCGTGTGGGGTGTACTTTAAGCAGCGGCTGACGAGCAATGAGGACAAAAAGGTCCGCATTGCCGACGCCTTTATCACCAAGTACGGCATCGACATGTCTCTCTTCAACCGGACCGAGTACTGGCAGTTTGACTCTGTCAACGACTGGTTCATCCGGCGGCTGCGCGACGGCGCCCGCCCGCTGGCCTCGCCAGGCTCGACCGCCGTCATCTCGTCCGTGGCCGACTGCCGGCTCACTGTCTTCAACTCGATTGACCGTGACGTCTCGTTCTGGCTCAAAGGCGAGGACTTTTCAGTCTACCGCCTTCTTGACTCCAACCTCGACCTAACTCTGCAATTTGCCGGCGGCTCCATGGCGCTGTTCCGCCTCGCGCCGGCCGACTACCACCGGACTCACTCGCCCATTGCCGGTACCATCACAGCCCAGTTCTCGGTCAAGTCGACGCTGTACTCGGTGAATGCCGACGCAGTCCGCTCAGGCTGCGGCGCAGTGTACAACGACCGCGTCATCACCATCATCGACTCGGGCGTGCCCGGCCGCAAAGTTGCCTTTGTCGCCATTGGCGCCACATGCGTCGGCTCAGTCGCCATGATGAAGGGCGTCGGTGCAACCGTCACCCGCGGCGAGGACATCTCCAACTTTCAGTTTGGCGGCTCCACTGTCGCCGTCCTCTTCCCGCCGGGATCGATGGCCTTTGACGACGACCTCATCGTCGCCACCTCGTTCCAGGTCGAGACGCTGGTCAACGTGCGGACTCAGATCGGTCGGTGGCTCTAAACCCCCCCCCCCCCCACGTCCCTTGTATCACAACAGAAAACCAGTCGCAGATGCAAGCTTGCCGATGCAGGCCTGAAACAGCAGGAGTGGGTGGACAAAGTCATGGCGACGTGAAGTAGTCCGATTATTGGCCGTTGACCAAAGCTGTGGCAGTGGCGGTGGAGCACCACTGGGTTTTCTCCACCACCAACGCCAATCAAGAACCTTGTTGGCGCACACACCCCGCTTCCGTCGTCCCGGCTGTGACGTGGTCAGTACAACACGAGTACGCCTCACTTTTCTCTCTCGCTGCGACCCCTCGTCAAGGCCAAGCCCCAAACCCAGGGTTGAGGAGACCAAGAGTGCGTGCAAGCTCCTGAGGCAGCCGTACAACACAAGACAGAACCAGCCATGAGCTCGGAACATTCGGTTGAGGACATGGAGGTGGAGAGCAAGGCCTTGGCCGCCAGAGGTGGCTCCACTACCCAGACGAGGTCGAAAAATCGGCCCACGAGCCGAGCGGCCGACGGGAGCGACGACGACGACGACGGGCGGCGGCTCCGAATGAGCACGTCAGGCGCTTCGCTGGCCAAGCCCGGCTCGTCAGGCAATATGTCGGTCTCGGACGGGCCGTCACGTGACCCTGACGAGCCGCATGATGTCGGCATTTCTTCAGACGACGGCGCCGCGTCGTCGGCCTCGCCCCCGCCGGGCACCGCTCCGCCGCATATGACCCAGGGCCACCCTGACCACGGTCGCTCTGGGAGCGTGGGGAGCAGAGCAGACTCGGAGCAAGTAACTCCGCCCGAGGCTGCCGGCTCCAGTGACGGTGCTGCCGACGACGGCTCGGTCGTTGTTGTCTCGGCCCTCACCGCCGCCGACCAGGTGGTGGAGCTCGCGTACACAAACATTGAGTTTGTCAACTCGGGCGCGTTTGGGGCTGTCTTCCGGGTCCGTCTGGTCGGATCCGGCAAGGTCTGCGCCATCAAAAAGGTGCCGCAGGACCCCAAGTTCAAGAACCGCGAGCTGCAGACCATGCGCCACCTCGCCCACCCCAACCTCATCGAGCTGCTGTACTACTTTTACTCGGAGGATTCGTCGGGCGTCTCGCACCTCTGCCTCGTCATGGACTACCTCCCGTCCACCGTCCACAAGCAGGCTCGTGCCTACCGCAAGCACCGTCTCCGCATGCCGCTTTTCTGGGTCAAGCTCTGGACCTACCAGCTCCTCCGCGGCCTCGCCGCCATCCACGCCTCGTCGCTCGTCCATCGCGACGTCAAGCCGCAGAACCTGCTCGTCAACCGCCACACCGGCCTTCTCAAGCTCTGCGACTTTGGCACCGCAAAGATCCTCACCGGCGACCAACCATCGACCGCCTACGTTTGCTCGCGCTACTATCGCGCGCCCGAACTCATCCTCGGCGCCTCGCATTACTCGGTCGCCGTCGACATTTGGTCGGCTGGCTGCGTCCTCGGCGAGCTCCTTCTCCAGCGCCCGCTTTTCCGGGCCGCAACTCGGTCGACCAGCTCGTCGAGATCATCAAGGTCCTCGGCACCCAACGCCCGACGAGGTCGCCGTCATGAACGCTGCATATCCGGAGCACAACTTTCCGTCGTCGCCCCTACCCCGCTCTCACGCGTCCTGCCCTCGCGCGTGCCACCGGCGGCCATCGATCTGCTCGGCCAACTACTGCAGTACACTCCGGCGCTTCGTCCGGCCTGCATGGACGCCCTCGCCCATCCGTTCTTCGACGAGCTCCGCGCTCCCGCCCCAGAGCTCGTCGAGTGCACACCCATCCTCACCACCATCTTTGACTTTACTGAGGCCGAGCGCGCTTGCCATCCGCCCGAGCTTCTTGCCGCCATCGCCGGCCAGCCCATGCCGTCGCCGTAGTAGCCCCTGCCCGGATGCGCTTGCCCCGCCGAGGTCACCCAGCCCGCGGAGCGCAATGAAACGTGTACACCACAAGCGTTCTCCCACTAGCACGAGCACCCGCCAGACTTGGCCTGCGGCTGCAGTCGCTGGATCTGAACTACCGTCGTGTCCACCTCGTCTGCTTGGTCGCTCAGCATGCACGCCCGTGCCACGGCTTCAAAGCCCTCGCTCACTCCAATGTCGTTCTTGGCCGACGTCATGAACAGCGGAATGCCGTGCTTGGCGCACCACGCCTCGGCCTCGGCCTTGGTCACCGCCCACGCCTCCTGTTCTTCGTCGACCTTGTTCCCAAACACAATCATCGGAAACGACGCCGGATCCGCCACAAACGCGCCTTGCAGAAACTCGTTGCGCCAGTAGTCGAGGCCCGTGAGCGATGCCGCCGACGTCACATCAAACACCAGCACACATGCATCAGAGCCGCGATAGAACGGCCGTGCCAGCGACTGGAACTTTTCTTGTCCTGCCGTGTCCCAGATCTGCAGCGTCACTATCCTCCCCACGCCCATCTCTGCCTTTGTGAGCACTGGTCATACCTCGGCAGCCGCCAACGTGTCACACGCCCGCGTTCGATCTCCCCACCCCCCCCCCACCCCACACACACACATGCCCATAACCCTACCACCGTTACCACCATCGACAAACCCACCCTACAGCTGGTGTCTTCATAGCCCGTACTCCCCCCCACATCTGTTTTTCGGCCCCTCTCCTCTCGCTATTCCCGTTATGGCCGTACCTTCCGAGCCGTCGACCTCGATGTTCTTGTTGCGGAGGTCACAACCGATGGTCGACCGGTATGCCTGGTACTCGCCCTCGATGTACCGTCCCAGCAGTGATGTCTTGCCCACGCCAGACTCGCCAATGACCACGCACTTGAGCAGCGTCGAGGTGAGGGCTGCCATCGCAAGGGGGGGGGGGACAAAGAGAGTGTGGTGAGAGAAGCGTGTGAAGGAAAGGCGGTAGGCGACGCCGACCGACGCAGACGCCGAGCTCGCGCAGCCCACCATAGGTGGCTCCTCGCTGGCGGCGATCAATGGATGTGGGCGACAGATGCAGAGTTGGCGGCGAAAAGGAGCGATATGAGCATTTTAAACATGGACTGTGGTCGATGCTGGTGGCTTGGCTCGACTGCCGATCTCGGTCTGGTGTGGACGGCGAGAGAGCTTGCCTACTACGGCAACAGCTGGAGCTCGCGCCTGTTGTTGAGCCAGCGGTTTGCGCCCCACTTGATGCCTGACTCGACAGTGCATCCACCGTGTAGCGAAGCGACGTCAAGTGCGCCATCAAGGTGGCCGGCGGCGTGCATCGAGTAAAACATGATGGCAGCGCCAGGCTCGGGCTTGACATTGACCCCGGCGGTGCAGTTGGTGTATGACGAGAGCGGGCCGCGGCCGACGCCTGCGGGCGCCGCCGCACGAGGAAAGTACGTGGCGCCGCCGGCCTCAACGTCGTTGAGGTAGAAGAGAACAGTGATCATACGGTTGCGGCCTGAGGCCAGATCAGCCCGGCTAATGTGGACCGCAGGGTCAAAGTAGTCGTGGTGCGCCCAATAGTGCTGGTCGTTAAAGTAGCGAATGACCTGCAGACGCTCACCGTTGTGCGATGGCACCCCGGTCAGCGCCTCGATCCGCGCATTGAGCGTCCATGTCACCAATGTCCACCATCCGAGCCACGCCTGGCTCGACGTCCGGACCGCTGAGACCTTGGACGTCGATGAGCCGCTCGACGATGTGTCAAGCACCTCGGACCGCTTCATCGTTGTGTTGGCCGCTGCCATAACCTGCTCCGCCTCGCTTGCAGACACAAAGCCACGCATGAGAAACAGTCGCGGCTCCAGCGCCAGCGTCTCGACCTCGAGTGGCTTGCCGGTTGCCGGCGAGATGAGATGCGGAACAACAGCGACGTGCCCGATGTACAGGCCCGGCCAGAACCAATACTCAAAGGCCAGCACAAGATAGTAGTGTCCGCCGTCCACAACCTCGTCCAACGTGCCCAGCTGGATGCCCACGCCGTCAAAGACCCGCAACTCGTTCGGACCGACAGCATCCGCCCCCAGCGCAGCCCATCCACGGTGCGCTACATCAAACAAGGTCTCGCGGCATGGCACAACCTTGAGTGCAGCCGAGTCGTTGGGTGAGCCTGTGTTGTTTCCGCCATTCGGATGGACGTGCACCGTAATAGCTTCGCAGCTTAGACTCTCGTTTGGCTGATCGTCCGGCGAGATGAGCACCCGCGTGTCTGGCGTCGCCTCATTGTACCCGATGGCCCCTGTCTCCTTCCCCGTAACAACTCCAAGTAATGCATGAGTCTCGCATATCGCTCTCTCTTTCTCTCTCTCTCTCTCTCTCTCTGACTTCCATCACTGATGCCAACGTACAGAACCAGCCAAGATAGGCCAGAAAGACGATGAGGCCGACCATGATCGAGATCAGCACACCGAGGATCCAGGCCTCTGTCGAGTTCAGCGACCGCAGATCGTCCACAAACCGGTGCCGCATGCTCGACGTCACTCCCTTGCATACCTCGTCCCTGGATTCTACCCGCAGCCGGGCCTGTCTCTCCTTCGCCTCTGCGATGTGCTTCACTGCCTGTCCGTCATGCCCGCCCTGTTCTTGCTCCGCCCGTCCTTCCACCACACCTACTGCTCGCCCCCGCCCGCCTCCACCATCCATCCCCACCTTGTCTCTGCTATCTGTCGTCGACTCTGTCCCTTGTCCCTTGACCTTGGCCATCTAGAGAAGTCGTGGCTGAGAACTGAGAGAGGCTTGTGCTGGCCGCCTGAGTGAGCCAGTCCAGCCTTGACCCATGCCTGACAAACATGCGAAGAAGGAGAAAGGGGTGGGGAGGGGGTTAAAGCCGCTCAGTAGATATCATCACGATTGCCAATACGATTCAGCTTACCATGGCAACTCGTGTGATGATGACTTGTTTAACACACTGATGATGCTGGTACCCACCCATATGTACGTGGCTGTGGTGTGAGACGCGTTGCCCAACCAATGATCCGGTGACCATTGCCAAGACGATTCAGCTTACCATGGCAACTCGTGTGATGATGACTTGTTTAACACACTGATGATGCTGGCACCCATAACTACGTGGCTGTTGTGTGAGACGCGTCGCCCAACCAATGATCCGGTGACCATTGCCAAGACGATCCAGCTTACCATGGCAACTCGTGTGATGACGACTTGTTTAACACACTGATGATGCTGGCACCCATAACTACGTGGCTGTTGTGTGAGACGCGTCGCCCAACCAATGATCCGGTGACCATTGCCAAGACGATCCAGCTTACCATGGCAACTCGTGTGATGACGACTTGTTTAACACACTGATGATGATGGCACCCATAACTACGTGGCTGTTGTGTGAGACGCGTCGCCCAACCAATGATCCGGTGACCATCGCGGCGGAGTTGTCGAGGTGCAGCTCCAGGTCACCACACTCACGCACATACACTTCCAGAAATCAGTATGGCTGCACACGACGACGAGGTGACTGGTGGGGCCGAGGTGACCTTGAGCGGAGGATGCCACTGCGGAGCGCTCCGCTTCCGAATTGCTGTGGAGCTGTCTGAGGAGGGGGGAGTGCCAGCTGCCGAGTGCAACTGCACCATGTGCTCCAAGAAGGGCTTCCTCCACATCATCGTGCCCGATGCGGTCATGCATCGAGAGGAAGAGGAGGGTGCTCTTGGGACGTACACTTTTAACACCCATACTGCCAAGCACCACTTCTGCACCCGCTGTGGTACCTGCCCCTACTACGTTCCACGATCTAACCCGGACGGCTGGTCTGTCAACGCCCGTTGCCTTGATCTCTTCACCACCGGCATCGACTTCTCCAAGCTCACCATCACACGCATCGATGGCCAGAACTGGGAGTCGGCCGTCGGCGACTCGCTCGCCCATCTCTCCCGCGTCCCTGCTGCCGCCTCCTCCTCATCGACTTCGGCCGTCATGGATGACTCGGCCTGATCCTGATCCTGATCCCCCCCTCCCCTCCCCTCCCCTCCCCTCTCCTCTTTCTCTTGCTCATCGTAACACATTATTTGTCAGGTCATTAATGCCTAGCCCTGCGCCCTGCCCGATCTCCATCGCCCCGCCCTGATCGAGTCATTGCGTCCCGCGTGCTGGGGCGCAGGCAAAGGCATCCTCAACGCAGTGGAGGTAAGCAACCACACCTCCCCCGCCCCCCCCCCCCCTCCCCTTTGCACTCCCTATCATATGGCGACCGTTGTCGTCATCACTCTTGCGCTTGTGCTGGCTCTGGGCTCTCTGGCGCATGGGGCCGACGTGGCAGAGTTGGCGGCGGCAGCAAGTACGCATGGCACGGTGGAGACAGCGACGGCTTTGACGGGGCTCTCGGACAAGTTTCTCTCTGTCTCGTTTGATGTGGCCGAGGTGGCCGAGGTGTTCTTCTGGAACACGACCCACACTCCGATTCCGTATCAGAGTCCACGGCTGGTGGCCCTGGCTAAGGCTCTGACCCCGGCGACGCTGCGGGTTGGCGGGACGGCTGCTGATTGGATGTGGTATGACGTGGATGGGACTGTCCGTCCAGCACACGGCTACAAGTACACGCTCAACGCGAGCCAGTGGGACGCGCTCAACGCATTTGCCCATGTTGTTGGCTTTGAGCTCGTCTTTGGCATCAACGCCGGCCCCGGCCCACGCGCCGCAGACGGATCGTGGGTGCCGCACAACGCCCGGGCGCTGATGGAGTACTCTGCGGCGCGCGGGTACAGCGTTTCTGGGTGGGAGTTTGCCAACGAGCCAAACCTGTTTGTGGTCAACGACATGGGTCTTGTGCCGCCGACACGGTTTGCAGCCGATATGGCGTTGTTCGAGCCGCTTGTCCGCGAGGTGTACCCGGCGTCCAAAGTCATCGCGCCCGACGTGGCGTACCAGCTTCCGATCATCGGGGAGGCGTATCCCGAGTTTATGCGTGACTTTGTCCGCGACACTGTGTTAGAGTACAATGTGACTCTCGACGTTGTCACCTGGCACTGGTACCCGCTTGTCTCGTTCCGACTCCCGTTCCCGTCCAAGCTCGACCCATGGCTGGCGACGGTAGCGCGTATCATGGCGCCGCATACGCTCGACGCCATGGACAAGCACATGACCTCAGTCAGCAGCATCATTGCCTCGTACTCTCCAGACGCGGAGATGTGGCTTGGCGAGACGGCGTCGGCGTCGTACGGCGGGCAGCCGAACGTGTCCAACGCATTTGCCTCGGGCTTCTGGTACCTTGACGAGCTCGGCCAGATCGCTGCTGCTGGCGGCAAGCGTGTTGTCCGCCAGACACTCACTGGTTCCGACTATGGCCTGCTTGACTGGGTCACGCTTGCGCCGCGCCCAGACTACTGGACCGCGCTCCTGTTCAAGCGCCTGGTCGGCGATGCCGTGCTTAGTGTCCAGCTCACCGACGGCCCGCGCGACGCCAGCGGAGACCTGCTCGTTCGCGCCTACGCGTACTGCGGGACTGAGCGTGACACTGTCGTTGTCACTGCCATCAACCTGCAGCCGGCCACGCCGCTGGAGCTCACCCTCGACTTTGGCGCCACGCCGGCGGCCCGTGCTGACTACGTCCTCACTGCGCCGGGCGGCGACCTCGGCTCGACGTCGATGCTGCTCAACGGCAAGTTGCTGGAGCTGAACCAAGCCGGGAGCCTGCCGGACCTGCCGCCACTGGCAGCAGTGGCGACGACGCCGCTTTCGCTGCCTCCGGCGTCGTACGGCTTCTTTGTCGTCACCATCGACGTAGCAGCCTGTGGTACCCTCTAGTAAATGCTGCATCCCTGCTGCCTCACATCACCACGCAGCAAGCACAGCCGTTCGACGACGACGGCTGAGGATCGCCGTTGATGTCTGCCGACGAGATGGCGGTGGCGTTAGCAAAGCGGGCGTGGAAGGCCGCCGACTGCGCCGGCGACATGGCCGAGCCGAGCTCGGCCGGCTTTGCACCGAGCTCGGCCTCGACTCGCTCGGTCAGGCTCTTGGCATAGGCCTGTGCCACCGGCGACGCGTAGCGGGTGACCGGCGGGAGGGCGCGGACCGAGGCCAGGGCGGCATCAGCGGCGGCATTCCCCCCCAGCACCACCCGATGCAGCTGATGCGGCTTCCACTTGTCGAGAGTAGACGAGCGAACAAACGAGAGATGCACACCGATGGCCCGGTGGGTGCCGGCACACCCAATACACAGCATCACACCGAGTGTGACCGAGACCCATGGCGTCGGTGCGCCGGGTGCCCTGCACTCGAAGCACAGCTGTATGAGCACACACACACACACACACACGCATGAACATGAACATAAAGACAGCCTCAGTAAGTCCCCCCCCCCTCCCCCCCCTCCCCCCCTCCTCTCCTCCCCCTTTGACCCGTACATTGTTGGCCGCATGTGCATGTAGGTCATGGAAGACCGACGTGACCACACCGGGGTCCACCACTCCGTCACCATCAGTAGGGTACCTGGCAGCAGCTGCACCACCACCACCACCACCACCACTACCACCAGCACCAGAAGCAGCCATGTACACCCTTGCTCTTGCACACACACACCCCGTACAGTGACAAGTGTAGCCACACCCAACTCCCCCCCCCCCCCACGGCACTGAACGCTATTCG